ATTATTTATATTATTATAGAGATATTATAATGCTATATTCATATAGGTAATAAGATTCTAAAAGAAATCTATTTAATTTTATATGTATACTAATCAATATATATAATATATATTATATTGATTAGTTGGACCATTGTAACATTTTACGTTTTTAGAGTTACGTAACCTTGCGGACTTACGCCTACGCCGTGCCTCAGTCCATTCGTCTGTACTTTAAAGGGCTGGATTTTTGAACCGTAGTAGGTAGCCACGTGAAATTTTCACAGAATAACCTTGATAGGATATTATTCGTTTATATCCTGATGGTTATATAAAAACGTAAAGTTAAAATGTAACATGAAAATTCCTTAGCACACTAATCTATGTATACTAATATTAAAAAGAGGTAAAGTTTGTCAGTTTGTGACGTTGTAGGGGGTAATCTCTGGATGTACCTACTGAACTGATTTAGATGAAATTTGGTAAGAAGATAGTTTAAGACCCTGGGAAGGACATAGGATACTTTTTATCCCAGAAATCATCCCTTAAGGGGGTGAAAATCGGGATAAAAGTTTGTATTGGGAAGCTAGCTACGTATAAATAGATGTGTACTGCTGACAATACAATAACTAGTATTCAATGGAAGTAATAAGTGATTTGCTAGTTTTACAATTAATTATTATTAAGATTGAGAAATATTTCCAAACTCATGATGATTATTCATATTTCACGATAATCACGTAGGTCTTCTCAAATAAGGCGCAACATAATAAATAAACTCAACTTAAATCCACTTCACTCCAATAGCTCAAAAATCAAAATTACCCGACTTTCAGTCAATATTGGCAATAAAGAACCTAGATTATATATAGTTTACCTATTTATGTATATAAAAATCAATGTCCGTTCGTTAGTCTCGCTAAAACTCAAAAACTGCTGGACCGATTTCAAAATAGTTTTTTTGTTTTGTTATGTGTCAGGGGTCGTTTAAGTATAAAAAATAGGAATATCCCAAAAAAACAGTTGGAAAAACGAAAAGTTCAGAACTGTTTATTTGTTTTGTTGTATATATATATATATATATATATATATGTGTGTGTGTGTGTGTATATATATATATATACATACATAATACATATATAGTCTATCTATAGGGATGAAACCGACCGAAGCGAGGGTGAGTCGCTAGTATGAGATAAAAATCACGAAACTCCGCTCGTAGAACCTAAGTTTTCCGAAATGTTCGTATATTCGTATACTCGTACTAAGTAATAATAGATTTCCTATTTCAACATGCTTCGCTATTATGATTCAATTTTTAATTGTAAAAATTATGCGATTTTAACTGATTTAAAAAAAGGATGAGGTACTTACTCAATTTAACTGTATTTTGTGGGTATGTTACTCGATATCTTTGCGAATTATGGAATCGATTTAATAGTAACAATATAACACAACAAATTAAAAAAAATATTTTTATAATTTTTTTTTGTTAATAAATAAAATAGAGCAAGTTATAAGCTACGTATAAGTTTAATAGCAACAACAGATATAATAAATATGTATATTTCTATGAATTTATCACGCATCATCTTCGAACAGGTGAATCGTGAAGAATGTTATGCAATGCAACGCCAATCACGCACTCGGTCTACCCTGAAGTGGATATGGCGTGATTAGGTACCTAATTAGCTTGCTATAATGAATATAAATAATAAATATTATATTCATATGTTATGCGTATTGAGCTTATTTTATATATTTTATTTTATTATCTAGATAATAGGTATATAAAAGGCAAAAGTGATTCACTGATGTATCAACGCACAGACCAAACCCTTAAGGCTAGAAAATTGAAATTTCGCACACGTATTCCTCATATGACGAAGGCATCTACTAAGGAAGGATTTTTCAAAATTCAATCCCCTTGGGGATGAAATAAGGGATAAAAGTTTGTATGAAACTTTTTATTCCTTGGACATATTTGCATGAAATTTCGTATGAACTGAGTACGGCAAAAATAATGAGTGACGTATTTTAGCGTTCTCCTGCTAGTTTATTATAAAGGCTTACTAAGTAAATTTACATAAAACATAAATTTAACATAATAATATTTCGCTAATTTTATATACATTTAATTTAAAAGTATGCACAGCTCTTTATAGAAGTATTTCCGCCATTTCAGCCATTCAAATTGTACAACAAACAAAAAAAACTAATCTAATAGTAGGGGAGCCCAAGAGGGGATTTTCTGTAGTTACTCGAGCGCGGCAGATTAACATAAAAGAGGTTACCTTGCACTCTATTGAGTACTTTCACCACAATATAAGTCTTCTATATAAAGGGGCGCGTCTAGGGAAGCCGATTAAAATATTTAAAAAATGTTTTGATAAGGTAGAAATACTTGAAACCGTCAGATTAAGGTGTGGTTGGCTAGTCACATCCTGAAAAGTGTCCAATTTAATAATCTGCCGATTTGCACAAGCCTAAGAGGCAAAAATCATCATAAACTTTATAGTAGTAGTATTTCTACCTTATCAAAACATTTTTTAAATATTTTAATCGGCTTCCCTAGACGCGCCCCTTTATATAGAAGACTTATATTATGGTGAAAGTACTCAATAGAGTGCAAGGTAACCTCTTTTATGATAATCTGCCGCGCTCGAGTAACTACAGAAAATCCCCTCTTGGGCTCCCTTACTATAAATATTTAAATATTTTTTAAATAAATTTAGGCTGTCAGAGAAAATGTCTATATCACATTATATAATTTAAAGCTTCATAAGAATGGTGAAATGGTGATGGTGTGATGAAATGTGAATGGTGGAATCGTATTTATTTTTTCATTGAGGGATACATATATTTCCATCATTTCCAAAACCAAACCATATAGGTACAAACAGATTCTGCTAGGCTAGTTTAAGCAACACATATTGCGAACAAAATAACCCGAGAAACCGGGATAAATACTAATGTAAGCCTTATCTGGAAACCTATGCGTCTCTCAGGACTATTAACTGTTCGTAAATAAAAAAACACGTCGATTCGTTGCTGTGTGGAGGCAGGACTAATACTGTTTTCTTTAAAAATATAATGCTACTAAGAAAGCGCAAAATATTATACAAATAAATACAAAATATATTATAATAGCCATAATATAATCCCATGGGTATCGTAATAAGTATAAAAAATTTCTTAAAAAATACAAAATCTATGAGCGCTAAATAACTGTAGGTACAATATGTATGTTATATACATATATACGAATACGTATTGGATCGTCCCTATCGTATTAAGTTTAAACTTTATAGAGGTTCTGTTGCCAAAGTTACATAGGAAACGTGAAACTTTCCTCAATAAATAAACTATAAAATACAAAAACATCTTATCAAATAGAAAACACAGTTCCAGTGATCAGCGCGCACAGACAAACAAGCGAAATCTTAAGAAATGAAGTGATTATACAAATATGTACATAAAAAAAGCGAGCGAAGCTACGGGCAAAAGTAAAGTAGTCAACATTTAAATTAAAACTTTCACGGTCCTTATAAACTTTAACTAAACCAAAGCTCATACTAGCTAAAATTTTCTCTTCACGTATTAATATATAGGTATAGATATTTATATTCCGTAATCATACTTCGGATTACACGAACGAAGGCACACAATCAAGATTTTTTACTAAGCAAAAAATCGTTCGCTAAACATTATTGAGTCGACTCCACAAATTCGGAAAGAGAGACTTATACGGTATACTTACCTATGAGACTTTGTTAAATTAGGCAAAATCTCATATCAACTTCGGTATTTATTTATTCACAGCTCTCTTTATAGACCCGCTATTTGAAATTTCGATTAACTAGAGTGCTCTGATTTAAGTCCAGTTTTTAATAGCTAAAAGTTTATCTTTTTTGGCTGTTTCATGATTATTTTGTCCATTTAACAAATCTATCACGAACAATTAATGTGTACGGTTTCACGTACATTTTTAGATTAGCTTACTTTGCGCGATATCTTTTCGAGGCGATGCGTCGCTACTTTATTTATTAAATATATATTACTTTAAATTAAAATGGATATAGTATGTTATCCTTAAGAGATAGACATATGCCATCAAGGGTTTAGGCAGCGTTTTCGTTGAAAGCTCCCAGACGTCTTATTTTTTCCAACACCTCCAACAAATATCGTTATATTTTAGCCAATGTATACAAAAACTTAACAAATTATATACTAAAACATTCCTCTTGAATCACTCTATCTATTAAAAAAACCGCATCAAAATCCGTTGCGTAGTTTTAAAGATTTAAGCATACATAAGGATATAGGGACAGAGAAAGCGACTTTGTTTTCTACTATGTAGTGACGAGTGCATTTACAGATACTGAGCCGAACAGACGTGGCCAGTTAGAGTCGTCAAAATTATACTGCAACTTCAGTAATTAAAATACTTCAGACTTTTAACAATTTTAACTTGTGCATTCCAAACTCTAATAACAACTATATTGTACTGTTCTAACTGGGACAGTACATAATGATTGTTTAACATTAAGTTAAATCTAACAATTTTACTAACAAATAACTTATTTTTAGAGAAAATATTTTAAATAGTAAAGCTGAAGAAAATTCATTTCTACTAATATTAAAAATGCGAAAGAAACTCTATAGGTCTGATTGGAGATAACCTATGCCTATAAATATACATAGATATTATGTATAATATGTACATAGTATAATAGCGCTTGTGGTTGAATTGGTAATTTTAATGAAATTTTATCGGAGATACCTCGAAGTTGGAACCCTGATGGAAGACAGGATTTGTAAAATAAGTACACACCTAACGATGAAAAATGGATTTGCCTGAAATGGTATACATTATTTTCATATACAGACTTAAGATTTAGCATTTCTTTATAGAAATAAGAATATCATATTTGTTCAATATATTTTGACTCAATAAAACGTATGCCTATGTAAAAATACATAAAGCCTGTAATCAAAACGATAAAACATCAAACATCAACCTGTATCTGAAACATGGATATCGAGTCGTCCAGCATCTGTACACGCACGGCGAGCATCTTGCCGCCCTTCTTGGGCGTGGCGGGAGGCGTCCGCGCGCCGCCGTCCACGCCCGCCGGCGTACTCGCCGAATGGTGCATACGACCTGTCCAATATATAAACTTTTTAGAATATACCTTTTTAGGGTTAAGTAATTTTCAGTCCTAAACATAAAAGACTGGTTAAATAATTATAATGTTCACCTGACCGGTTTCGGCCACGGCGACCAATCTCAATAAGACAAGCCATTTGCTCATTTGTGCAGAAGATATTATAGTGCAGGAGAATTCGCGTAAACACAAGTATCCTCTCTATTATCTCTGAAACTTTGGTGGAACAACAATTCTACACAGTCAGTGAGAGATCATGTGCAAGACCAATATCTTTACGTGTTCTATTCGTGTAGAAACGCGGGATTAAAACACGTTCCCAAATTCCAGTTGTTACTAAGAATTTATTAAAACAAAACCCAAGTAAATATAGTTGGTCCGACATGGGTCTCGAGCTCCAGGGCTATGTGAACTTGGCACCCGACTTTGGAAAAATTGTTCTTTTTTAGGTTTATTTGAACGATTTCGGTTAGTAGTAGATAGTAGTGAAGCTAACTTCGTTTGTAGTAGTGTCAAAAAAAAAAATACAGACAACAAAAAAAAATGTCATCCCCCGAAGTTGGTAAAAAAATTTTTTTTCGCTTGATTCGTATAGAAAAACGTTAGTAGTGGTTTGTAGTGCAATTTTTTTCGTTTGTAGTAAAACAAAAAAAAAATTTTTTTTCGAGTATTTTTCCAGAACGATTTTTACTACATACATTCATTGTTTCGTTTGTAGTACCATTATTTCATTTGTAGTAACGTTAATTTTGGTTTGTAGTACCATTACTTCGTTTGAAGTAACGTTAATTTCGTTTGTAGTAACGTTAATTTCGTTTGCAGTACCATTATTTCGTTTGTAGTTGTTTGTAGTAACGTTAATTTCGTTTGTAGTAACATTGTTTCGTTTGTAGTTGTTTGTAGTAACCTTGATTTCGTTTGTAGTACCATTATTTCGTTTGTAGTTGTTTGTAGTAACGTTAATTTTGTTTGTAGTACCTTTGTTTCGTTTGTAGTAACGTTAATTTCGTTTGTAGTACAATTATTTCGTTTGTAGTTGTTTGTAGTAACGTTAATTTCGTTTGTAGTTGTTTGTAGTAACGTTAACTTCGTTTGTAGTACCATTGTTTCGTTTGTAGTACCATTAATTCGTTTGTAGTACCATTATTTCGTTTGTAGTATCATTATTTCGTTTGTAGTACCATTATTTCGATTGTAGCTGTTTGTCGTAACGTAAATTTCGTTTGTAGTACCATTATTTTGTTTGTAGTTGTTTGTAGTAACCTTAATTTCGTTTGTAATACCATTATTTCGTTTGTAGTTGTTTGTAGTACCATTCTTTAGTTTCTAGTACCATTATTTTGTTTGTAATGGTTTGAAGTAACGTTAATTTCGTTTGTAGTACCATTGTTTCGTTTGTAGTACCATTAATTCGTTTGTAGTACCATTATTTCGTTTGTAGTTGTTTGTAGTAACGTTAATTTCGTTTGTAGTAACATTGTTTCGTTTGAAGTTGTTTGTAGTAACGTTAATTTCGTTTGTAGTACCATTGTTTCGTTTGTAGTACCATTAATTCGTTTGTAGTTGTTTGTAGTAACGTTAATTTCGTTTGTAGTACCATTGTTTCGTTTGTAGTTGTTTGTAGTAACCTTGATTTCGTTTGTAGTACCATTATTTCGTTTGTAGTTGTTTGTAGTAACGTTAATTTTGTTTGTAGTACCTTTGTTTCGTTTGTAGTAACGTTAATTTCGTTTGTAGTACCATTATTTCGTTTGTAGTTGTTTGTAGTAACGTTAATTTCGTTTGTAGTACCATTATTTCGTTTGTAGTTGTTTGTAGTAACGTTAACTTCGTTTGTAGTACGATTGTTTCGTTTGTAGTACCATTAATTCGTTTGTAGTACCATTATTTCGTTTGTAGTACCATTATTTCAATTGTAGCTGTTTGTAGTAACGTAAATTTCGTTTGTAGTACCATTGTTTCGTTTGTAGTTGTTTGTAGTAACCTTGATTTCGTTTGTAGTACCATTATTTCGTTTGTAGTTGTTTGTAGTAACGTTAATTTTGTTTGTAGTACCTTTGTTTCGTTTGTAGTAACGTTAATTTCGTTTGTAGTACCATTATTTCGTTTGTAGTTGTTTGTAGTAACGTTAACTTCGTTTGTAGTACGATTGTTTCGTTTGTAGTACCATTAATTCGTTTGTAGTACCATTATTTCGTTTGTAGTACCATTATTTCAATTGTAGCTGTTTGTAGTAACGTAAATTTCGTTTGTAGTACCATTATTTTGTTTGTAGTTGTTTGTAGTAACCTTAATTTCGTTTGTAGTACCATTATTTCGTTTGTAGTTGTTTGTAGTACCATTCTTTAGTTTCTAGTACCATTATTTTGTTTGTAATAGTTTGAAGTAACGTTAATTTCATTTGTAGTACCATTGTTTCGTTTGTAGTACCATTAATTCGACACAAACGAAATTAACGTTACTACAAACAACTACAAACGAATTAATGGTACTACAAACGAATTAATGGTACTACAAACGAAATTAACGTTACTTCAAACCATTACAAACAAAATAATGGTACTAGAAACTAAAGAATGGTACTACAAACAACTACAAACGAAATAATGGTACTACAAACGAAATTAAGGTTACTACAAACAACTACAAACAAAATAATGGTACTACAAACGAAATTTACGTTACTACAAACAGCTACAATCGAAATAATGGTACTACAAACGAAATAATGGTACTACAAACGAAATAATGGTACTACAAACGAATTAATGGTACTACAAACGAAACAATGGTACTACAAACGAAACAATGGTACTACAAACGAAATTAACGTTACTACAAACAACTACAAACGAAATAATGGTACTACAAACGAATTAATGGTACTACAAACGAAACAATGGTACTACAAACGAAATTAACGTTACTTCAAACCATTACAAACAAAATAATGGTACTAGAAACTAAAGAATGGTACTACAAACAACTACAAACGAAATAATGGTATTACAAACGAAATTAAGGTTACTACAAACAACTACAAACAAAATAATGGTACTACAAACGAAATCAAGGTTACTACAAACAACTACAAACGAAACAATGGTACTACAAACAAAATTAACGTTACTACAAACAACTACAAACGAAATATTGGTACTACAAACGAAATTAACGTTACTACAAACAACTACAAACAAAATAATGGTACTACAAACGAAATTAACGTTACTACAAACGAAACAAAGGTACTACAAACAAAATTAACGTTACTACAAACAACTACAAATGAAATAATGGTACTACAAACGAAATCAAGGTTACTACAAACAACAACAAACGAAACAATGGTACTACAAACGAAATTAACGTTACTACAAACAACTACAAACGAATTAATGGTACTACAAACGAAACAATGGTACTACAAACGAAATTAACGTTACTACAAACAACTACAAACGAAACAATGTTACTACAAACGAAATTAACGTTACTACAAACAACTACAAACGAAATAATGGTACTACAAACGAATTAATGGTACTACAAACGAAACAATGGTACTACAAACGAAATTAACGTTACTACAAACAACTACAAACGAAATAATGGTACTACAAACGAATTAATGGTACTATAAACGAAACAGTGGTACTACAAACGAAATTAACGTTACTTCAAACCATTACAAACAAAATAATGGTACTAGAAACTAAAGAATGGTACTACAAACAACTACAAACGAAATAATGGTATTACAAACGAAATTAAGGTTACTACAAACAACTACAAACAAAATAATGGTACTACAAACGAAATTTACGTTACGACAAACAGCTACAATCGAAATAATGGTACTACAAACGAAATAATGATACTACAAACGAAATAATGGTACTACAAACGAATTAATGGTACTACAAACGAAACAATGGTACTACAAACGAAGTTAACGTTACTACAAACAACTACAAACGAAATTAACGTTACTACAAACAACTACAAACGAAATAATTGTACTACAAACGAAATTAACGTTACTACAAACGAAACAAAGGTACTACAAACAAAATTAACGTTACTACAAACAACTACAAACGAAATAATGGTACTACAAACGAAATAAAGGTTACTACAAACAACTACAAACGAAACAATGTTACTACAAACGAAATTAACGTTACTACAAACAACTACAAACGAAATAATGGTACTGCAAACGAAATTAACGTTACTACAAACGAAATTAACGTTACTTCAAACGAAGTAATGGTACTACAAACCAAAATTAACGTTACTACAAATGAAATAATGGTACTACAAACGAAACAATGAATGTATGTAGTAAAAATCGTTCTGGAAAAATACTCGAAAAAAAAATTTTTTTTTTGTTTTACTACAAACGAAAAAAATTGCACTACAAACCACTACTAACGTTTTTCTATACGAATCAAGCGAAAAAAAAATTTTTTACCAACTTCGGGGGATGACATTTTTTTTGTTGTCTGTATTTTTTTTTTGACACTACTACAAACGAAGTTAGCTTCACTACTATCTACTACTAACCGAAATCGTTCAAATAAACCTAAAAAAGAACAATTTTTCCAAAGTCGGGTGCCAAGTTCACATAGCCGAGCTCCAGATCTGGACATACAGCTAGCCACTACACCAACAGTACTTGCACAATATAAGTACCTACTCGTAAAACATTTTTTGGAACGTAACGGATGCCTTTTAAAACTGACTCATATCCCACGGGAACCATTTGTTATACATAAATATGTTAACACCTCCAGGTAAATTTCTAAGAAATTAATTCAAATCTCGAATAAAATTTAAAAGAAATCTATTGTTAACTGACACGCCGGCGTGTCCGCTGTCGAGGAGGGGTTAAATATAAATATGTTGCAACATTAACATACAGTACCATCTAGTTCCATGGTAAGCTACGAGGCTTGTGTTATGGATACCAGATAGTTGATACACTACACATATATAACTTTAAATACATACATATTATAAATATAAACACTCATGACTGGAGTACAAACTTTCGTGCTCATCACACAAATGAATGCCCCCAGCGGAACCGCGACCGCTGGCACAGCAAGTAGTACATACATACATACATATATAGTCACTATTTGTCTTATCACATTAGTAGTACAAATGCGAAAGTTTGTGAATAAGTTCTTCGCCCTGTACATTTAGAATTAGGATAGTTTATTTTCAATCAATCAACACTCAGGGATCGACGTTAGGTACGTTGATGAAAAGTAACCTATAAAGAAAGTAGCTATATTGTAGGTAAAAAAAACCTTTCACTATCACCCTTTCACGTTAATATGTAGTACTTACAATAAATAGTACAGAATTTAGTTAGATGTCCTTCACGAAAATTTTTTTGCGCATTTTGAGGAATTATGTATGACCTTTTTAGTAGTTCTTTCTACGTAAAGAAGAGTTAACTGTACAGATTCTTTTTCATACATCATTTACATATTTACACAGTAGAGTCGAGTGTTAGGTAAATTAGAAGCTGCTGTTTCGTTAAGAATAGGTATACGTATACGATCTGAGAACAAATAGATAACGTGTTAAGATGAAAAGTAACGAGCAAAAGATATTTACTTATCATCTAAAGACCTACCTCCTAAAGAGATATGCATACTTTGAATATGCTAATATGTTTTTTTTTAATTCGATGCTGCATTCACTCATTACCAATGTTCCATGTAATGTAATTAGACTATCTAAACACAAGTTCTTTAAACATAAACAAACATTCAGAAAAAATACGAAAGACATCGTTATAAACATGTAAAATTTAATTTTTTAACGCCTCCTTGGTTAATTTCCTATCAAAACTTTAATTTAATCACGTGGTTCAAGCATTGAAATCTATACTTATAATAAAATTGTAACAAAGCCAAATCTGTACATTAAATATTTTTTGGAAAATCTTATTGAAATAATCATTATTACAGAGGTCGTATCTATAGTTTTTTGAATTTTTGTCTGTCCGTCTGTCTGTCTGTTACCGCATCACAGAAAAACCACTGAAGGGATTTTGATGAAATTTGGTATGGTGATAGTTGGTTATCCTGGTCAACATATAGGATACTTTTTACCGCGGGAAAATGTCACAATTCTGAAAAAAAATACAAAAACTGCAATGATAAATACTAATATGTAAAACCTAAGAATTTGGTTTTCGGTCATCTAAACGCGGGCGGAGCCGCGGGCAATGCTAGTCATTTTATAAAAGCCATATTTCTCAAGGGCGAAACGAATTACAAATTTCGTTCCACGGTAGTTTAATTGAAACGTTCTTATCAACAAACGAGACGCATAATAATGTTAATCAAACAGAGAGTTTCGTGGAGACATGAATAATCTGCTTATCTAACATCATCCCGTCAAAAATATTTTAAAAGTAAAAGTTTCTCAACTGAACAAAGTTATTCTTATCACTACTAAAAGACTGGTTTAGAGATAACGATTTATGACTTACAGAATCAGAATGTCCCTTTAAATTTTCGAAGTTTTAAATAATTCTTCCACAATAGACACTGCACTAAGCGTTTTTCTTCGAGTATTAGGTATAAATAAGTACAATTGGTACATCCTGTAAATATACATTACAAATTGCAATACAACAAGTGCCTAATAACTACATCGGCCTTTAATACATACATACATATTACATACATTGTATAAATAAATAGCATTGCAAAATAATGAATCATTAGCATTCTCGCTGAATTGTGGCCACGATGTGCAACAACAAAGCCAGAAAAGCCGCAATATTAAAACTATTTGTTAAATGTGATGAGACAGGATTCCGACCAAATAACTATCAATAAATTCTTTTGAAAATATATAAGTACATTTAGTCAAGAGCAAGAAGCTCAATCGGAGCTCTAGCATCGAGGGTCATTGTGTCAACTCAGTACACAATATATATATTCATTGATAAAATTTTAGTTGAAGCTTTTTAAAAAGTTAAAAGAAGATAAAAGTAGAAGGTTATAAAGTATGTTACTAAATACTATTATGTGCTTCAAAATTCACTTATTGTTGTGGTCGAAATATAACCATTACGATATTATTATATAACTAACTGCCCACCCTCGCTCCGCTCGGTTTCGTCCCTAGCTATGTTTTAACGTTTAGTATAGATTTCTCAGAGATGAAATTTTTCCCGCAGTAAAAAGTATTTCTATATGTTGACTCGGATAACCAGTATCATCGTACTAAATTTCATCAATATCTGTCCAGTGGTCTCGTGAACTGTCGTCACAGACAGACAGACAATAATCCTAAAAACTATAGACTCGTCCTCTGTAGTGCCTGTCGATAATAATGACTGTTTCAATAAGATTTTCCACAAAATATTTAATGTTCAGATACAAAAAAATCTTATTGAAATAAACATTATTATCGATACAGAGGCCGAATTTATAGTTTTTAGAATTTTTGTCTGTCTGTCTGTCTGTTACCGCATCACAGAAAAACCACTAATAACTACTAACTAATATATGATACTTTTTACAAATAAAAATATAAAAATATAAAAACTGCATTGTAAGAGTATACTAATATGTAAAACATAAGAATTTGGTTTTTGGTCATCTGAACGCGGGCGGAGCCGCGGGCAATGCTAGTATTGGAATAAAGTCGACTTTGTTTAAATAAACAGAACTAGGCAATAAAAGTATCAGTCAGCAATAGTGTTACAAGCTGGAGGCCGCCCGCGGCTTAGCACAAATCAGTTAAGCAGACATGGACGTCTAATGGGATTAAAATATCGCATAAATAAAATAACTCAAAGATTGAGGTGAGCTACAGATTTCTTTACAAATGGAATATAACTCTTTACCCGTCTGTCTCACATTAGAAAGAGTTACGTTTCTTCATATATAATAAGCCACTTTAAATTCTCTCTAATTAGCTGCTGCTTGTTGGTATGGCTTCACTTTCTTCAGTATTTTTAAATCATTTAGCCCGCAAGCGCGAATAACGGGGATGTCCCAATCTCCCGCTGTATCTTTGGTTCTATTCCACAAACTGATATTAAAAATCGAGTCGTTTCCGACTGATGCGCGCGTCGTCAAACATCATAAAACTGTAGATTTATTACATAAAATCAACATAAAACAATATTTAAAAAAACTTGTTGCAACTTTTAATCACAGGTCAATATCTCTAGAAACCAAAGCAAATCTAACCCACGGGAACCGTACATTTTTCCGCGTTAAAAAGTAGCCTATGTGTTATGATGTGATGCTCTCCTGACCGATTCTGGCCACGGCGGCCAATCTCATTGAGACTAGCCAACTGCGCAGGAGATATTATAGTACACAAGTGTACGCGCAGACACAACGTGCACTCTCTATTCCTCTCATTCTCATATTCTGGTGGGACGATTATGATGTATGAGCTATATTATTGTAAAGTTCCATTAAAATCCATTTAAAAGTTTTTGTGTAAAAGAGTAACGAACATCCATACATCTATACATCCAAACATCCACACAAACTTTCACATTTTTAATATTAGTAGGATTTAGTAGTAAATTTAAAATGTCAAAATTCAATAACTAAAAAATTACAATAAAAAAGTTTTTGTTGTGTTTTTTTTATACCGTATTTCTATATACATATAACAAGAATAACTACAAATTAATTGTAATACAATCATATTGCCCGCCCAAAATAGATTAATTTGCCAAATTGATATATGCCCATATTTTAAGGACATTGTGTATTATATTATTGCTAAACATAAGCACCAAATTTTATTAATTACAAGCTACTCTCACTCGCTTCACTCGGGTTCGTCTCTAGGGGATCCTTTATATAGGCATAACTTTTTTATTTATGAACCGATTAAAATATTTTTGAAGTCGGTTGAAAACAAATACTAAATATTAAGTAAAGCTTACCACAAAAACCGCGCCCAAATCGATAAGCCGCTTCTGAGATTAGCGCGCACAAACGCATAGACAAACAGACAAAAATTCTAAAAATCATTGTTTTTTGTCCTACTGCGTTAATAAAAAAGCTCAATTATAGTTTTCTCAAATTTTCCATGTACAGACAGCGACCAGTTACAATTTTATTATAAATATAGATTATATATTGAGACCTCAAAAAATACGTACGGTAGTTCTTGATGAATTTTTCGAGATTACTTATACCATATTATTATTTTAAACAATATTTAACTTTATCTGAATCAAACTGTACAACAAAAACGAGTGTGAAAATAGTTATAACCTGGCAAATTCCATCCAATGGTCGACAGGTGGCCGGTGGAATTGCAGCTGCCGGGCGGTAGCTCTGTCTCCATCATATCGAGATCCTATCACTTGCGGCACACACTACACTCACTCCCATTGTTAATAATTGTACTACAGACGTATTTCTTTTTGGTGTTTATCTGTAACAACATTCATTCAATTAATGTTAAATGATTGATGACGGTAAAATATATTAAATGTAATAGAGTACATTTTATCTATACTAATATTATAAAGCGGTAAAGTTTGTGAGGTTGTAGGGGGTCATCTCTGGATCTACTGAACCGATTTAGCTGAAATTTGGTAAAAAAATAGTTTGAGGCCCTGGGAAGGACATAGGATACTTTTTTCCCGGAAATTATCACTTAAGGGTGTGAAAATGGGGATGAAATTTTATATGGGGAATCAACCTAGGGACGAACCCGAGCGAAGCGTGAATGAGTCGCTAGTTTCTAATAACTCTTAACACCTCCAGGTAAATTTCTAAGAAATTAATTAAAGTTCTAAGAAATCTATTGTTAACTGACACGCCGGCATGTCCGCGGTCGTGGAGGGACGAATCTACAATACTGGGTGTTACTAGCATTATATTGTTTGTAGGTTTTATGCAGCTTTCAAATCTAGTAAAATAGTTTTTAAAATCAGATCGGTAGTTTCAGAGATCACCCCTTACATCAAAACTTACAAAATTTACTTCTTTATAATTTTGTGTAGATGGCCGCACACTACTCAACCATGGCATAAGTCGCGGTCGCCTAATGGATATGAGTTCTTACTCTTTAAATTAACATAACTCTTTCAATCTAATAATATCTATACATATATTAAAATTCAAACCAAGTCGAATCTGAACATTAAATATTTTTTAGAAAATCTTAGTCATTATTATCGATATGGAGTCCGAATCTGTAGTTTTTGTCTGTCTATGTCTGGGAGCGCATCACGAGAAAGCCACTGGACTGACTTTGATGGAATTTGGTATGATGAAAGCTAGATATACGGGTCAACATATACGATAATTTTTACTGCGGGAAAATATCTCATATCTGAGAAATTTATACTAAACGTTCAAAAGTAACTAGGGACAAACCCGAGCGGAGCAAAGGTGAGTTTTGTCGAGAATGTTTAACCATAATTATATCATAAGTAATATCATTTTAATAGCTCATAGTTATGATTGGATTGTAAATATTCAATAATGACCTCTATTAGGTAGTCAGTGGTAGCCCTGTGGTAACGTTCTCGCTTGGGAAACCGAGTGAAGCGGGTTCAATGCCCGGGTCTCGCACCTCTGATATTTTCATGTGCGAATCATTTCCAACATGATTACCACTTGCCTTACGGTGAAGGAAAACATCGTGAGGAAACCTGCATATCTGAGAGAACTTAACAAGTTTTCGAAAGACATGTGAAGTCCGCCAACCCGCACTTGGCCAGCGTGGTGGACTAAGGCCTGATCCCCTTGTATTGAAGGGCAGCCTCGTATGGAAGGATGTGAAAAAGGGCTGAATAGACCTCGATAAGAATCCAAGTAATTTTAAAACACTATTCATATTAGAATTAACAGATTTTAATGCAATTTATATCTTGTATTGTGGTCTTTTTTGTCTTCTCTAAATAATATATTCAAGAAAAAAATTATATTATTCAGAAAAATAGTTTTCACTATAATATGAATCTATTTAAAAGAAGGCTTACAGAGACCTCTTTAATTTTAAGATTCTTATAAGAGTCCATATAAATACTTTTCAAATAGAAATAATTAATTTGAGTTTCTTTTTAACACAATTTAAACCAGTGCATTCAATGAAAAATAAATTCATATTTGTAGTCCAGTTTTAAATATATTTCAAATATACATATTTATATTATTCAATAAAGATACTACAATTTTACTATTTAAATATGGTAAAACTATACGACTTTTAAAAACTTATTAATTCTTACATACAAAAATGCATGTGTGCAAAATTTTACTTCAACTCTCCTGGCCCAAAAATAGCATTATAAGCAAAATAAACAAATGGTAGGAAATAATCATCCATAATACACATAAAATATGTTAATGTATAGCTTATGTACCTACAGCAAGTTTGTCTGTATCTTAGCATTGATCATGAGAACATATAATAATAATGTTCTCAATTTACAAGAAAGCCCCATTTCAATAGATTGAGTAGATCTTGAACTGAGTGCATATTAAGTGGTTGCAATTAAATAGAAACAGATATACAATCCAAGCCACAAGCAAGAGCACTAAAAAGAAATTATGATGATATAGTAACAATTAAATTATTAATACTGCCATTAATTATAGTAATAATTCCTATAATTAATTATAGGAATTTTTCTACTATCCTATTTTTATTTTACTACTATCCTATAATTATAAAGAAGTTTTTCTATCAATTTAAATTTCAACTACAAATTGCAAGCTAGTAACTAATGAACTCATCAGAATACATAGAGCCTCATTAACTACATGGTCTCACTTGAAGTTTCAGTTGCTATCAATTTTGCATTTTTATATAATCAAGTGTAAAACTCAACACAAAATATCTAATTTCGTTTTATACCTATTAATTAAATTGATAAAAATTACCTTTACTTTAGGTAAACTATCACTGTTATCACAATCTTTTATACAAAACAGATTTTAAGATTTACTAATCACTTATATATTTTATTCTATAAATCGTTTTACAATCGCAAATAAATTGAATCACTGCATACGGGGTGCAAGACCGGCGGCCTACATCACACCCCCAGACATAAATAGTAGCCTCAATGCAATAACCAGAAAATAGGTCACACGGAGGTGCGCCCGCCTGCCGGGCCAACCGACAGAGACAACTCGGCGCGACCTCCACCGCGGCCCGTTCCACGTTACAATCTAATAAGCACCCCTTGCAAATTTAATTACGCAAACTAGTCATAATTTTAGCATACCTAACAATTTCTTTTAATAATTCACTGAACTTCTCAATTAAACATACTATATTTATAAAAACACATCTTTCCTTACTTTCTAACACCCGCGAATAAATGAGAGGATCGACAACGCATCGAAGTCCCAACTCCCGAGTTCCCGACTGTCAACTACCACTGGAGTCATTGATCTGATTTGTCATGTGATGCACCGCCACTTTTTGAGACACTTGATCAACATAAAGTCAATTTTGTAAATATTTGTTAGTGTTTTTTTCAGAAAATAATGCTTTATATGTAATATTTGTATATATCTATAATATTGTAATCAACAGATCTTCACACACCCAACATCACTTTTACGCCATATTTATTTACCTTCACAATGTTGCCAGAAAAACAATTACAACTAACAAGTAACAACATAGCGGCGAAACATTACCAGTAGCAAATTTCAAATATTTTAATTGATAAATTTAATTTACATAAATTGAATTAATTAAAAAATAACATTAAAAGTGAAAATATTATTTCTTTCCATATACGTTGCTAATAAACAAGGAAGGCCTAAATGTAAAGTGACACAGCAATCTTTCGTTTCAATCATGAACCAAGTCCCTTCTTAAGTGAGCATCACTAATTCAGTAATTTTATTTGTCATCCATGATTAGTTGCCTGTCAAAAATGTCAGAACACTAGTGACTAGTGGCTATGCTAGTCGCTACCTATAGACAAGGATGAGAAAAAATAATCGATTTTTATATGCCTCGATTCTCTAAATATTAATAATCGATTTTAATTAATCAATTATATTACTTATTCTCTTTTTTTTAAAGGTAAAAAAGATAAGATATGCGTTGTTGGATTAAACCAAGCTATAATACATATGTATGGCTATTATTCATATTTTAATTGAATTCGCAAACAGCGCCATCTGCGCGATAAATGAAAAAAACACGTGGACTTGGTAATTTTATTATGTACAAAAAATGGAACTTCACGAATTGTTCGATCAAATCGATTTTTTTTGTTAATCAATTTTTTTCAAATCGCTTTATTTTAAAGAGAGAAAAATCGATTATTTAACAATCGATTTTGTCCCCTCCAAGTCACATTCCTATCTATGGAGGGTAGAACTTATGACAACCAACTTTTATGGGAAACAAGTTGAAAAGTGTCCAGTGGTGAGCAGCAAAATGTAATTTAGAAACTCACCAATATAGCGCTAGCGTAACAGTAGAGGTGATGTGAAATTAACAATTTTAAATGGAGTGAAGTGTGCTGAATTATTATTCCTTGTAAATAATATGTAATGATATTCTATATCGATATTTGCCTATATTAGAACTATTTTCAAAAATGCGTCACAACAAAGCGGAAATCTTTCTTTCTTTGTTCAATTCTCCATCTTACTCATATGGCTTTTGGCGCTATGTTTTAAATTCACCTACTTGTTTTCTGTGGCGCCACCGATATAATGTTTGTTAGCGGTCACTTTTTGTACGAGAGATAGTTCTCCTTAGTTCTACCCTCCAAATGGCTATGGCATCTGTGTAGTCAACTGAATCAGTGAACTTTTTATTTTGTTTCATTTGAATGACAAACTATTTCTATCTTGCTTTGACTTGTACAAAGTGTACTTGAAAGAACAAGGATAACAGAGCACCACAGAAAAGCTTATTAAATACAACATGTAACAGCAATGAGATTTATGCTATGCAAAGTCGCCTTTCAGTTCCGTGTAAACGCAAGCGGCTAGCTCCCCTTAATCTGTGGCTTTGGTAGGACAGACTTCTGTGATCTGTCATCTGTAATCTGTTTTCTGTGAATCTGTGGTAACTGGTAAACTTTTATTTGTCATCCATGTGGTAAACGCTCAGCGGCTCACCTTCTTTTTGTTTTGTGATATTGTTGTAAAAGTGATCTGTAGCAATATACTCTATGAAGTGATCATAAAACGGCATTACTTCATGAATAGGTAAGTAATAAATAGTTTTAATTGCATCGATAAAGTATGTGAATAAGATTTCAGATATATATAATTTTGCGCGGCAAAATTGCGACCTACCCGTACATTTTTATTGTTAATTTTATTATAACGTTGTATATTATATTCGTTATATTTATTATATACGTAGTTTACTATTGTTACTAAGCATTTAATGTAAAAATTACATCACGGAACTTTCGTATTATTGAAAGAAAAAAATAGGAATATGGTCTTTAAAAGCGGTATACACAGATGCGGTATTTCATTTGTTTACTTTAGAAATAGGTATTTGACTAAAAAGCATATCTTTTCATTCTGCTTAACGATTTCTTAATATAATCATATCTTCGAAAGTTAATTAGTATTTTAAACTAAATTCAAAGAATTTCTCAATTGTTGCTGAAATTTGAGAGGTCTTTTTTTTAATTTTAAGTGCTTGGTTTGTAGTTTGATTTATCGTAAACTAAACGCTTCAAACACTTGAAACTCTGTCTATAACAAATATCTGGACCATACTTTAAAAAAAGTTATTAACCTAAGCCACTTCACCTATAGTGTTCTCGGTATTGAATGATAAACGGTTTTTTTGGCGTGCGGGTATAAAAAACGCTAAAATTTTGTAAGGTTTGTGTGGTGAAGATAACATATGGGGAGGTGTGTTCTTTTTATTTATTTATTTATGTGAAATAATGTATTTTTATGTAAATAAAAAGTTTTTTTTAAAATAATGGTTCTAATTCTAAATTATAAAGATTTTTGTACATGTGGGTAGGTAGGTAGGTATAAATATTTTTGTACAAAGTCGCTTTATTTCAAGTTAGATTTATTAATACATTGCAAGGCAAAACTGGAATAAGCATTAAGCTACTTTTAATGTGTTAGCTTATTTAAGACGGATCCAACGACATAAGTTATATATACAGTCCGCATGCAAAAACAAAACTTTAAAGATATCATCATTTGAAAGCACGACAGCCGATAGAAAGGGTGGCCAATTCACTCATGTAAACAAATCTACTTTATACGTCAAAGTCGGCCACACACAGTAGGCTGTAGGATTGTCAGTTTTTATTTGTCAATTGTCATCCATGTTGTCAGTTGTCAAATATAGTATTAAAGATAGCACAGTGCTTTATATTTTAGACAAATTATTATTCTAAAACGTACTTATAAGTTTATATAATGTTATATACTAATATCACTTGAACGAGTAGAATATAAAAAATGGAAACTACGCCACTATTAACTCGTCCTAAAAAGAAATCAATATGGTCAAGGTATAGTTAGCTTTTGTTTTGGTTTTATTAGTTCAACTTCTTTGTTTGTTAATGTTTTTATTTATTTTAGTTGGGATTTCTCATGGTTTCGTAAACGGAGTTTATGCTCGAGGGTTATATATTTGGGTCAATTGCCTGACGATGAATTTCCGCCCAACTATGTTTGTAATCAGGTAAGCTTGACCTCATTTAGTCGCAAATTAAGAGAATATTAAAGCTAATAAAAATACTATATAATCACATGATGTGTTTTAAACATAAAGTTTGTACAATAAGTGTTAATTAAAATAATCTTTTATTTTTATAAATTGCTTAATTATTATTCTTAAAATTATATTAATTAAGTAGCATACATTTAAATATTTATTTATTTTAATCGAAATAAAATGTAAAGTAAACATTGCATATAGTGAAATTGAATATTTGTTTCAGAAATACAATATCATCACATTCCTGCCTCTTGTGTTGTTTGAGCAGTTCAGGTTTTTTCTCAACCTGTACTTTTTGGTAATGGCCCTTAGTCAATTCATACCAAGTATTAGAATTGGTTACTTATATACATATTGGGGACCACTGTGCTTTGTATTAGCTGTAACAGTGTTTAGAGAAGCTATTGATGATTTTAGGAGATATAGGTATCATCTTTTTTTTAGAACTGGTACTGATAATATTTAATTAATTAATTTATATTTTTTTCTAAGATAACAAAAATACAAGCTAAATAATAAGTAATATTTTTTATATTATGAATTATAATTTATAATAATTGATTAAAATAAGATAAAACACATTTAATTTTTTTACAGACGTGATAAGGAAGTTAATGGACAGCGATATGAGCGGATAGTACTAGATTCTCCCGTAGATGGATATAGACCATTTTTAACAGAATGTGTAGCTGCATCAGCATTACGAGTTGGGGATATTGTAATGTTACATAAAGGACAAAGAGTGCCGGCTGATATGATTCTACTAAGAACTAATGAGACTATGGGAACTGTATTTATTAGAACTGATCAATTGGATGGTGAAACTGACTGGAAATTGAGGTAAATATTTATTTAATACTTTATTGGTTGTATCTTCTGGTTTCACAAGTGTAGCCTGTTATTATTGCTAAGCTTTTGTGAAAATTAAAGTAATGTGTCTATAGGTATATCTATACATATAATAAAATTATAACTAAGCTGAATCTGTATATTAAATATTTTTAGGAAAATCGTATTGAAATAGACATTATTATTGATACAGAGGCTGAATCTATACCTTATAGAATTTCTGTCTGTCTGTTTCTAACCGAATCATGGAAAAATCACTGGAGAGATTTGATGAAATTTGGTATAATGATAGCTGATTATATAGTATACTTTTTACTGTGGAAAAATATCTCATCTCTGAGAAATCTACACTAAATGTTTAAACATAAGTAAGAACAAACTCGAGCAGAGAGAGAGTGAGTCGCTGGTCTTATATAAATATGCTATCTAATACAAACGATTTTTTAATTGTATCCAGTGAATAGTTAATAATGTGAGTGAACTTAATGGCATCTTCTGAGACTGATTCGAAAGAGAAAGAGAAGGAGTCAGGTGGGACAATATTAGACAAATGTGTAAGGGTAGCAGATTTTAATTGGGAGTTTAATGTTAAAGGAGGGATAGTAAAGTGGTAATTTAGCTTGTTGAGATCAACCGAAACTTCGCTAGAAGTCGGGGGTTTGCCCACGCCAAGAGACTCAAGAAATCTCCAAACTTGCGCTTGGGAGAGATTCTGAATTGTGGAGTGAATATAGCGACGTTTGGCATCCCTACACATTCTGTTGCAGATGTTACGAAGTTTTTTGTACGCTGAAAGATTGTCCTCAGACGGATATTTTTTGTTTTTGGACTTTGCCCTGTCGCGTTTAGCCATTGTTCTCCTGATCATTGGTGTTATCCAGGGAGCTGGAGCATGTTTCATGCGAACTGGTCTTACCGGGGCGTGAGTATCGTATAACCTAATCAGTTCAGAGGTTAGTGATTCGACCATAAAATCAATATTATTAGAAGAAAATATTGGTGACCAGTTGCATTTCTTCACATCCTCTCTTAAGCGTTCCAGATCCATGTGCTTAAAATTGCGCTGAAAAAGAATCTTGCCTCTAACCTTTGGAGGACGCAGCTTATATGCAAGGTAAATTAAGTCATGGTGGGAGAAGGGGGCACTCATCTGGCCGTGAGATATAACAAGATTAGGATTAGAGACTAAGGTCAGATCAATGAGAGATGGCCTACAGTTAGGAAAATAGTGGGTGGGAGAAGACAAGGGGAGAATATACAGATATACAGGTATTAGTAGTTACAAACATACATTATCTCCCATTTTATAATAATAGTAAGTTAAATACTATAAAAGTAAAACCCAGCAGTAGACTGTTAATTTGTTGATAAAAAATGAGCTAATTAGAAGTTAAATATTATGATTAGATTTTTTTTTAAAGATGCAGACCACTATTACAGTTGTCTTAATGATTTTTATAATTATGTATAGAATATAGATCAATTATGAGTTGTTTACATTTACCCTTAGCATGTTACAATGACTTAAATTTTCTTTAAATAAGTAGCCAGTTAGCTAGCAAACTAAAGAGTTTGTTTATCTGCTAACTATTAGCCAGATTAAAAAAATCTTTTAACATTTGTTAGTCTATATAATATTGATATATGTTTATGAGCTACCTAACATCATGCTACAATTCCCAATTTCAAAGCAATTATTACAGGTATATACATAAATAAATCACACGGATCAAGCCGCGAGGAAAAGCTTGTATTAAGTAAACAAAGGCTATGAACACATTTAGCAAGTTGTTTGAAAACCATAAAACAATACAACTGTATCTCGTTTCATAATATTTCTGTATACATGTAAATAAATAGGATAGTACACTGTACAGGAGTGGACTACTGCTTATATTATAATGCAGATTATTTAAATATATACTAGTGTGTAATGCACAGTAGCTTGTTGGTTCGATTCTCGCAAGCAGGTTACAGATAAATGCCTCGTCTAATTTAGGTAATGTGGAGTGTTATGTTAAAAAGTACATCTATGTACTATATCGTATGTAGATATATTTTGTATTTGTATGCTTAGTAAATGGACAATATGATCAAAAAAATACTTGCTAAAGCTTCAAATGGTAGTTTTTTTTTTACAATTGAAGAAAAAATATTATTTCCAATAAAATTCAATCTTAGTCTACTAAGTAGACTATATAATGCAAAAGGATCTTTTCAAATAGCTTCAGAGATTAACATGTGCAGATAAATAAACAAGTGATGAAGTTTTCTCTTTATGTATTAATTAAAGTAAACTTGAATTGAAAAACGATTTTTGCTAAAAAAATCTCTTAGTAATTGAAAAAAGTTTAAAAGTTGTAATTCATGTCTCTATAGCAAGCAATACAGTCAAAATTTCAGTTCTTAAGTAAAAAATGTTTGTTACCTCAGAACTTCGTCATTTACTAACCGATTTGGACAATTTTTGATTTGTTTGAAAGGGTATACTTCCAGATTGGTCCCATTTAAATTTCAAAAAAAATACCACCCCTAAGGGTGGTAAAATAGCTAATGATGGATTTAGCCTAATTCTAATTGTCATATTGACTTGAAACTTTGCAAGTGTTTCTATTTCCGTTCATAGTACAGTGGTTCGGTATTGTTGACCTGATCTGATGGTAAGGCCAGAAGGTGGATAGGTGGAACTTTTCAACGGTTAATAGTAGATACTTTGAGTTTGGGCTTATTTTGTTCGATTCGACAAGCCTAACACGTTAGAATTCTTACTTTGCTACTACTGTCTTCACTAAAAAGGGAAAAATAACATTTTGTACACAATTCTTTGATATTTGTAGTTATTTTACTTGATATATTCGTCATTGGCTTGTGTTTTTATATTTTACTATCGACTCACCCTCGCTTCGCTCGGATTCGTCCCTAGATACCATATAACGCTTAGTATGTATGTATAGACTATATAAAGCTCCCAGGCGGCTTATTTTTTATGACGCCTCCAACAAATTTCGTTATATTTTAGACAATGTATACAAAACCTTAACAAATTATATACTAAAACCTTTCTCAAGAACCACTTTATAAATTGGTGAAAACAGCATGAAAATCGGTACAGTAGTTTTTGAGTTTATCGCGAACATACAGACGCGGCGTAGGACTTCGTTTTTTAATATATAGTGATAGATACACAGAAGTTATTTAAATTATTTATTAAAACTGATTTAAAAACCAGTCGTGCTGTTGTTAAAAACACGTTTAGAAAAAAGAATGTTAGTCACGTAATAAATAAATATATGTGTAATTTATTCCGATCCGTTTTAGTGTTTTAAATACTATCAAAACAAACTTTAAATTTAAACTGAAATGTAATATGAATGGCTTAATTTGGTAATTTATTACATATTATATCAGGAACAAAATGTAGTGGTTCCACATATATGTATGTCTATATAATAGCCACTAAACTGAGATAAATTCAACTCACTTAATCATTGATTAATCACGAAATCTCAGAAAATATAAATGCTACAATCTTAAAATTTAACAAGTGTATAACTCATAGAGAATATTCTGTGCGCCAAAAAGGTATTTTTGGAAAATCAACCCCTGAGAGAGAAGAGGGGTAAAAAGTCATTGAAAATAAAGTTTACAATTTCAAAAAGTTTATTACATCTATACTAATATTATAAAGAGGAAAGATTTGTTTGTTTGTACCGAATAAGCTCCGAAATTACTGAACCGATTCAGATGAAATTTAGTAAGAAGATGGTTTGAGACCCTGGGAAGGACATAGGATAGTTTTTATCCCGCCAATCATTTCTTAAGGAATTGAAAATGGAAGTGAACGGTTTGTATGTGGAACCAACCTTGATATTTCTACTATTTTATGGTAGTTAAATTATAGTTTATTCGTGCGGCGAAGTCGTGGGTACGACTAGTTTACCTTTATGAACATCTTGAAATAAATATATACATATTTATTTATGATATCAAAATTATAATTGTATGGATAAAAGCTGTTGACCTAAAAAAATATAAACATGGAAACCTAATTAAGTTTTAATTACACATCTGAAAAGAAGAATGTATTAAAAATATAAAATACTTGTGAGTCAGTTACACAATATTATCTATCAGTCGGTTTCCCCTCGGCCATGATAAGTGTGTTTACATTTTAAATGCATTGATCTACTTAAGAAATGAATCGTTGTATTAATCTTATTTACTAGCAAGCAATCTCGTTATCTTCTTACTCATGTTAACATCTGAGCTTTGATTCTTGGGTCAATCATTTATTATATATAATCTATACATATAATAAAATTTGACGACACGTTTGGCTCAGTTTGTAGTGACCCCACTTGCACTGCCAGCGGTTGCGGGTTCGAGTTCCGCTGGGGGCATTCATTTGTGTGTTGAGCATGAATGTTTGTACTCCAGTCATGGGTGTTTATATTTATAATATGTATGTATTTACAGTTATATATGTGTAGTGTATCAACTATCTGGTATCCATAACACAAGCCTCGTAGCTTACCGTGGAACTAGATGGTGCTGTGTGTTAATGTCTCAACATATTTAATTGTAACTAAGTCGAATCTGTACATTAAATATTTTTTGAAAAATCTTATTGAAATACATATCATTATCGATACAGAGGCCGAATCTATAGTTTTTAATTTTTTGTCTGTTTGTCTGTCTGTGGCCGCATCACGGAAAAACTACTAGAGGGATTTTGATGAAATTTGGTGTGATGATAGCTGGTTATTCGGGTCAACATATAGGATACTTTTTACTGCGGGAAAATATCTCATCTCTGAGAAATCTATACTAAAGTTTAAAACAGTAGGGACGAATCCGAGCGGAGCGAGGGTGAGTCGCTAGTACATATATAATATATTCTATTTTATTTAAATAATCAAAATATTTCTAAAAATATTTCTTTCCAGTAAAACACTTAAAATATTTCTTTTGACTTGGTAACGTTTTTATTTAAATTGCTTATTAGTTCTGCAGATTTGCTCATATTTATGGAGTATTTTTCTATGTATCGTGTGTATGGTGGATTCAATTAGGAAATTCCTTTTTTTTTACTTTTCGTCTTTAGATTTTAAAAGTTATAATACATATAATAGTAACACTTTAAAGATGTATTTTACAATATATATCGAAATTCATTCAAAACCAAAAGAAGATGTGCAAACAACTACTATAATAAAATCAAAAAGCTTAACAAATCATTTCACTAACAAGGAATAGGAATATTTATTAATTCTTTAGTAAAATAGAATACTTGTCATTCTGTCAGACTACTACACAATATTACAGCGACTTCACACAACGGCAACTTACGGCAAAACCTAATAAGGTTATAAAATTGATTCGTTTATTCGGCAAACCGTATACGTAAACCGATTCGGAAAAACTCATCGTGTGGACGAAACAATAGGGAAATATGCGTGATTTTTCTTATTTTTTTACAATTACTAACATCGTTATATAATTGTAAAAAAAATATCCTGCTCAAAAAAAACTAATATTTAGTATCAAAAAAATAATATATTACTGATACGGATACTTAAATGCCCGCCATTTCGCGCGCTTGGCGTGACGTCACAGTATCATATACAGAAAAATGACGACTAGTTTGTAGGCGACAAAATCGCTAATCGCTCTGTTATATGATAATACTTTGACGTCATATTCGGACCAATGGCATGCGTTTCAACTACTTTATATTTCCCTTCTATATTTCCACTTTTTAATTATAATTATTTTCTTAACCAAAAAGAAATTACATTAAAAAATATTGATATAAGCTTAATTCGAAAACAATAAAGATTATTTATTTATTTATATTTTATTTATTTATTAACGTAAAGGTCTGATGTCGCTTTTACATGTAAACTGAGAACTCAAATATTCCTAGTTTCCTACATCCGTGTGAACACCTTAACCAAACCTAATTTTATTGACATATAGGTACATATTATTTTCAGAACACCACTCACGTCTACTCAAAAACTACCCACAGATGCGCATTTACTCGATATTAACGCGCAATTGTTCATAGAAAAGCCTGAAAAGGATATACATTCGTTTATTGGTACATGCGCACGCTTGGACGAAGAAGACACGGATTCCCTTGGAATAGAGAACACATTGTGGAGTGGCTGTGTGGTGGCGTCCGGACAAGCTACCGGATTGGTTATCTATACAGGTAAATTTATACATATGTATAATAAAATTGTAACTAAGTCGAATCTGCACATTAAATATTTTTTGGAAAATCTTATTGAAGTTGACATTATTATCGGTACAGAGTCTGAATCTATAGTTTTTAGAATTTTTGTCTGTCTGTCTGTCTGTTACCGCATCACGAGAAAACCACTGAACAGATTTTGATGAAATTTGGTATGATGATAGCTGGTTATCCGGGTCAACATATAGGATACTTTTTACCGCGGGAAAATGTCTCATTTCTGAGAAAAAATACAAAAACTGGAATGTCAGAGTATACTAATATGTAAAACCTAAGAATTTGGTTTTTGGTCATCTGAACGCGGGCGGAGCCGCGGGCAATGTTAGTATCCAATATAACATTACAAACGGAAAAGTTTGAATGTGTGTCTGTATGTGCGTGTGTGGTGTGTATGTTTGTTTGTTACTTTTTCATGTTGAAATGGCTGGACGGATTTCTTTATCTGTATTCTAAATTTTTAATACCTGGAGTAAGACATAGTAGATTGTTACGTACTTGTGTGGTAAAGCTATTACTTTTATAAGTTCAATAAAGATTAATAAGCAGTATGGTATAATTTAATATTATTTTTTAGGTAGTGAAACTCGCAGTGTGATGAACAATGCAACACCACGTTCAAAAATCGGTCGGCTAGACCTTCGAGTGAATGACTTCACAAAAGTATTATTCGTAGCTACGATGTTTATATCACTACTTCTTATCGTGCTGAAGGGCTTTGATGGCCCTTGGTACGGGTTTCTGTTCAGATTTGTTCTTCTTTTCTCCTATATCATACCTATAAGGTAAGTTTGATGTTTTTTTTTGTATAAACGTACAATGCTCTTTTTTAATTTTTTTATTACCTATGTAATTTAAACTACTATATATTTTCTCTTATAAATATATGAAAAACGTGCTGTGATTATATTATATATAAGCAAAGGACTTTTTTTTTTAAACTACTAACTAGTAGATAAATACTCAGTCAATCGTTAGGGAATAGAAAGCTTAAAAATTGTATTAAACCAAAAATTAATTCGTTGTCAAGGAATTATATTATATTATTTCCATATAATTTTTATATTTTTATCCTTAAACGATTTCTAAAATGCTATCTTGTTAAGCCTATTAATTTGTAAACTATTTTATAATATAATGATTATCAAATTATTGTATTGAATACACATAAATAAGTCGCTAATTTTTCCAGTTTACGAGTTAATTTGGACATGGGGAAAGCGTACTACTCGTGGACAATACAACGAGACAAGAAGATCGAAGGCACCGTGATGCGGTCGACGACCATCCCCGAAGAGTTGGGACGCATTCAGTACCTACTTGCTGACAAAACTGGGACCCTGACCAAAAACGAGATGGTCTTCCAGAAGCTGCATCTTGGGAACGCGTTGTTTGATAAGAATAATTTTTATGAAGTGAGTGTATAGAAAATTTATGCAAGCGGTTTCGCTTACATATTAAAAACAAACTCTTCTTTCCCTTCCCATTACGATTATGTACGGAAGTCTGCCCGATTTGTTGACATTTATGGTTACTGCTCTTCTCCTTTCAATAGTAACTTGATGATATATAGCCTATAATCTTCCTCAAGAAACGGGCTATATAATGCAAAATTCTTTTTTAAATCGAATTAGTAATTCCTGAGATCAGCGCGTTCAATCAAACAAAGAAAGAAATTCTGCCTCTTTATAATGTTAGTATGGGTAAAATACACGTGGCTCTATTTTTATGATTAAGTATCGTGCAAGTGCTACTGAGCTTAATAACTTACTATATGAGCTTAATAAATATTGAACTCATATCATACAACTGAATTGGAAAAAAAATGAGAGCTAAATATTTACAATGCGCGCGCACACCGACTGCCAAAAAGCGACATGATGAGGTTAGCTGAGAGCGACATGATGAAGTTAGCTACATTCCTTTTTCAAACAGAGAGTTGTGACATACGGGATGAAATCTTTAGCTATTATTGTTCTGTTACGCCAAAGAAGTATAACTTGTTGCGTGCGTACATAAGTACACACGTATGTTTATGTTTAAACTATTGTTTTTAACTTATAGGTAGAAGCCCTTCTCACCCAATACGTAACGAACGACGCGCCATCTTTGCCAAGCACGCCGGTGGGAGACGGCGTGGCGCTGGCGCCGACGCCGCGGCAAGTGTGGCAGGCGGTGCTCGCCCTGGCGCTGTGCCACAACGTCACACCCTCGTACGATATTGACGATCAGCGGGCGGATGAGGCGCAGTCGGGTGCGTTCATTGTATTAATTATACTCTGAAACATCATAATATACGTTCAAGTACACACACAAACATACATTCATGTCACCGTAAAATTATAAACACCGCTAGATTACAATCTATGTAGCGAGATTGTAAACTGTCGATTCGACCGCTTACAATCTAGCGGCACTTACATTTTTACGGTGACATGTACACACATACGCACGCACACATATGTAGGGGTTCAACATAGGGACATATAAAAGGGAGCACACTCCAGCAGAACACACACTCGCAAATGAGTAGGTATATAGTTTATAGGTTGTGTCTGTCCAGCCGCTTAAACATGTACATATGTAGTACAATAGTAATCAATTAATAACATATAGAATTGATATAAAACTCATTAAAAATTTATATTTTTAGAAAACTCCAGCTCAATGTTACTTGGGACAGTATTTTTCTGGAGCCTTCTGTCCATGTTTTATATTTATTATGTATCTATCATGTTATACAATTTAGTGTATTTAATATCATTATTAGATATGGGCAGTTCTGTAATGTCTGAGAGCTGTGGCGGCTCCGTCCCGCAGCAACAGCTCTGCGACTACCAGGCGTCCAGTCCCGACGAAGTGGCTCTTGTCAAATGGACTGATATGGTATTGTTGTTGTTTTTTTTTTAGTTTTTTTTTAAGGACTTGTGGCAAAAGTTTAAAAATTACTTGCCCAGAAATTTTTTCGTACACGATTTTTTGTTGATTGTATTCGGTACACGATTTATTGATCTGTATCTAATCAACTTTGAAGAGTAATAGGGCATCAATGAATAGATTTATCTACTGCATAGATATGTTTTTTTTTGTTTTAAACTTACATACACTGAGTGCATTGACTTGCGGCTAAATTCACACACGTATTTAAGTTATATACGAACTGTAACTTTTACTTTTTATTACCTTAAAATATTAAATTATATATAAGTTTTCAATTCATGATCAGATGGGTGTGTCTCTGTACCGCCGGGACCTGCACAGCATCGCGCTGAAGCTGCGCGCCTCCAACGAGATTATGTCGTTCAACATCCTACAGATATTCCCCTTCACCAGCGAGGCCAAGATGATGGGCATCATTGTGCAGGTTGGACTTACTATACTTTAGCTTTTATAATTGCATTAATCTAGTGTATATTGCTTAATGTTCGTCTGTGTTCTTTTTTAATTGATGCAATCGGTGGTAAAAACGCTTCTTTTAATTAATTGAATGACAAGAACAATTCCACTTTGTACACTTTAAAATCGGTGTACAAATTTAAATAAAACTAAATATTTTTTCGGATTTTGTCGCAGTTTTAGTTTTTCAAAAACCTCCAAAAAATAAGTTTTATTTAAGAAATAAATGATAATTATATACAGCCTGTATATTGTAGGAAGAGAGCAGCCATGTGATCACGTACTACGTGAAGGGCGCGGACGTGGCGCTGTCCAAGTTGTTCGACTCCGCGTGGCTGACGGCGGAGTGCACGCGCCTGGCGGCTGAGGGGCTGCGCACGCTCGTTGTCGCTAAGAGGACGCTTACAAAGAACGAGTATTTGGAGTTTGAGGTATGGTATTTTTTATAGATTTTTTGAAGTGATACTTCTTTAGAATCGTTGTGATTTGAAATTCGATGAAACGAAAATGCGACACTAAAAAGAGACAAACACATAGTTCTATAAGATTAAGACGGCGAGAAAATGAGACAGAATACATTGCAACGTTGCCACGGTAAATGTTGTTATGGTCTGCCAAATATATGATTGTAATATGCCTAATACGCTTTATTTAAATTTTGATTTATTTTAATTTAATTGTGATATTTTCCAAAGAAGTTTCGCTTCTGCCGTGAATAAATATTTTTGTAGATTAGTATGTACTTATATGTAAGTATATATGTTTGTATGTATGTATGTATGTATATATATATGTATGTGAATATATATATATTTGTATAATCATAATATTTAGTTAATATATGTATTTTAATATTAAGACAATTCCATTCAATGCTGTACTGTACCTACACCGCACTATATTAACTTATTTTCTCACTTCTGAAGGGTTTCTGGAAGAAATCTCTTAAAGAGATAAGTTATTAGAGATTAAGTTTTGTCAACATTTTGTTATTTTATTTTGTATAACGTATATTTTATGGTACATAAATAAATAAATAAAAAAATAAATAAAATAAATTGCATATACACACACTCTTTTTTTATTTAGTTACTAGTCTAACAACAGCCTGAGGCAGTGGTAGCCCAGTGGTAACGCGCTCGCTTGGGAAACCGAATGAAGCAGATTCAAATCCCGTATCTCGCACCACTGATATTTGCGAATCATTTCTAACATGATTACCACTAGTCTTACGGTGAAGGAGAAACATCGTGAGGAAACCTACATGTCTAAAGACTAAATACAATCCAATTTTATTGACAGAGCGAATACAAGGAAGCGCGTCTGAACGGGCGCGCCGCGGCGTGCATGGCGCGCCTCAACCGCGGCCTGGTGCTGCTGGCGCTGACGGGCGTGGAGGACCGCCTCGCCGACCACGTGCCCGCCACGCTCGCCGCGCTGCGCACTGCCGGCATCAAGGTTATACACGCTTTGTTTATAGTTTATACGCCTTTATTTTTAAGTTGGGAAACAATTATAGGTAGATTGGCATACTACATGTGTTATATGGCTATATACCACTTATGGTTATGTGATGTCTTCTCGCTTTCTAGAAAAGCCAGTACTACCCACAAAATATTTTCAAATTCTAAATATTTTATTCAGCATTAAATTATTATTTTTTTTTTATTTTACCCAATATAAAATGATATTAGTATATTAATATGCAATAAGTTGGAGGATATCTGTGGAAACTTGATTGGTTTTAGGATTGTTTATAATCTAAATATTTATTGTACTGTATGTTTTCGATAAAAAGCAAATAAATAAAGTGTCGATATCGACAACAGATCTGGATGCTGACCGGCGACAAGCTGGAGACGGCGTTGTGTATCGCGCGCTCGCTGCAGCTGGGCGGCGGGCGCTGGCTGGCGGCGCGCGAATGCCGCACGCGCGGAGACGCGCACGCGCTGCTACGGGACTTGGCCGCCGCCCCTTCCGCGCCCACCGACATCGCGCTTGAGGGGGAGACTCTTGAGGTGCGTGTGTGCGTCTTTGTATGCGAGTGTATATGTATTTTACGCTTTGTTTCTTAACGCTGAAACGGTTGGACAGACTTGAATTTTTAATTTTAATACACAGATAGCCTTAACTAACGTATAGGCTATGATAGTATTTAATATTTATACCATTTTGAGTCTCAATTGAAAAAAAGGTAACGCATTTACTTGGAAAACTAAGTGAAACAGGTTTAACCTCCAGATGAGATTGAGTTTTCGAAAAACATGTAAATTTTGTCATCTTCCACTTAGCCAGCATGGCAGACTGTGGCCTAATCTCTCGCATTAAAGACAAGTATGCGCTTATTAGTAGGACATTAAATAAATTTTAAACAAAATCTCTGCAAATTTCTAAAAGTTGTGTATCTTATTTATCTAAATTTTTTTGTTGGCATACGCCATTGGAAACCGCGACTGGTTACGTTGAACCGCAAACGTGCGGGGTCGCTGACATAAATCAAACAAGTAAACACTAGTGTCCAATGCTCACAGGTGTGCCTCCAGTCGTACGAGGAGGAGTTCGTGTGCGTGCTGCAGCAGTGCGCGGGCGTGGTGGTGGCGCGCTGCTCGCCCACGCAGAAGGCGCGCGTGGCGCGGCTGCTGCGCGCGCGCGGCGCCGTCGTCGCGGCCGCTGGCGACGGCGGGAACGACGTCGCCATGATACAGGAGGCTGACATTGGTGGGATTTGTGTACACTCGCTATATTTTCTGTTTAGATATATGATGATGATGTTCTCCTGACCGATTCCGGCCACGGCGGCCAATCTCATCGAGACTAGCCAACTGCGCAGGAGATATTATAGTGCACAGGTGCACTCTCTATTCCTGTCATTCTCATACTCCGGTGGGACGACTGCTCGACACGACCAGTGAGAGTTAAGGCGCAGGACCGACGGCTTTACGTGCTCTCCGAGGCACGGGGGTGAAACACCGCCAACTTCCCAACTCCGGGCTGTCACTGAGGCTTACTATACAGAAAGACTCATAACTAAACTTGGCCCGACCCGGGACTCGAACCCAGGACCTCAGGGTGTGCAGCCGTACATGCTAGCCACTACACCACCGAGGCAGTTAATATTATAAAGATATATACTAATATTATAAAGAGATAAAGTTTGTGACGTTGTAGGGGGATCGCTGGATTTGCTGAAACGATTTAGATGAAATTTAGGTAAGATAGTTTGAGACCCTGGGAAGGACACAGGTTAGTTTTTATCCCGGAAATCATCCCTTAAGGGGGTGAAAATGGGGATGGAAGTTTGTATTGGGAATCAACCTAGGAATGAACTCGGGCGAAGCAAGGGTGAATGGCTAGTAATTATAGTGGTAAAGCTGCTGTTAGTTTTGAAAAGGAAACGGGCTCAGTAGTGCCCGGCAACCCAACCGGGCGCGAAGCCAAGAAACGCACAGGGAGGTGGCCCACTTCGGTGGGCGGTGGGAGGTGGCCCTCTTCGGAGGGCAGTGTACCATGCGGGTAGCTCCTGGTACCTCTCTGATAGCAGAGTGGACTGTGGAGCAACCCCGTGGTTGTTGTGGTCTGCTTCGGCAGACCTGCCGTCGGGGCGTCGTAGTTGAATGCGTAAGCAATCCTGCGACGCCCCATTAAGACGGGGGAAGGTTTTGTTGGGTTTTAGTGGGTAGTACTGGCTTTGCCGGTGAGTCCCACACCTCGTGCGTAAATGCATTTCCCAACGGTAAAAAAAAAGTAAATAACTTTGTGTCAAGAATATTTTTACAGATTTTTAATTTATAAAATATATTATTAATATTTTCTTCATTATGTGTTTATTCACACATGTACTCTTGATTCTTTTAATTTACAACATAAAGAATATCTCAATTCCGAAACATTACTAAAAGTTTTTTTTTAATAGAAATCAAAAAGTTGTTGGATAACTTGTTTTGAAAAAATATGAATATAGCGAACGGTTTTGTTATACTTGCTATATTATGCACTACAGTACAGTACCAACTCATAGCAAGTAGGGCATAAACGACCATGAATCAGTAGACTGTTGTATAAATGTCCTGCATTGCGCAAAAGTGGACATAGAGGGCCATGAATTAGTAGACTCTTGTATAAATGTCTTATATTGTACTCCAGTCATGGTTGTTTATATTTATAATATGTATGTATTTAAAGTTATATATGTATAGTGTATCAACTATCTGGTATCCATAACACAAGCCTCGTAGCTTACCATGGAACTGGATAATGCTGTGTGTTAATGTCCCAGCATATTTATCAATGACTAGCGACTCACCTGTTCTCCGTTCGGGTTCGTCCCTAGGTGATTCTTTAAATTGACGTAACCTTTTTATTTATGAACCGATTGAAATAAAACAAATACTAAATGTTAAGTGAAGCTTACCACAATACATTAGTGAAAACCTCATCCCAATCGGTTAACCGAGCCGTTTCTGAGATTAACGCGTACAAACACACAGACAAACAGACAAAAATTCTATAAATCATTGTTTTGGGTTCTATTGCGTAAACTAAATAAAGACCCGTAACGATAGTTCTTCTCAAATATCTTCCATGTACAGACAGCGATCAGTTACACTTTTATTATATGTATAGATTTATTTATTGCGTAGGTGTGGGCATCGAGGGCGCGGAGGGGCGCGCGGCGTCGCTGGCGGGCGACGTGTCGACGCGCGCGTTCGCCAGCCTGGCGCGCCTGCTGCTGCTGCACGGCCGCCGCTCGCTCACGCGCTCCGCCGCGCTCTGTCTGTTCATAGTGCATCGGGGGCTCATCGTGTCCACTATGCAGGTAGGATTATTATATACTACTAGCGGACCCGACAGACGTTGTCCTGTGTACACGTCTTTAATTTGAAAATTTCAAACTTTTTTTAATAATTTTTTTGATGAAAATTATTATTCAAATTGTGAATCTAAACCATTCCCAGATCCCCTTGAACACACACAAAAAATTTCATCAAAATCGGTCCAGTCGTTTGAGAGAAGTTCAGTGACATACACACTCACAGAAGAATTATATATATAAAGATTGAAGTAAGACTTCTTTATGCACGCTTGACTTGGAGAGTAAACAGATGAATGCGTGATGAAAAAATGTACGTACGCTTGTTACCATGGTAACCGTTGTTATTGTCTGATAAATGATATATAATATTATATACTTTCCTTCTTCTTTCTAAATGATATTCTATAAATATAAGATTGAAATATGCCTAACATGCCTTATTTAATTATTTTTATTAAAATTTATAATTCCTTTTACCTTTTACAAACAGAGAGTTGTGACATGCGGGATGAAGTCTTTAGCTATTTTTTTGTTCTGTTACGCCAAAGAAGTATAACTTCTTACATGCGTACATAAGTACACAATTTAAACTAGTCCTGCTGGATGAGGAATTTTTATACTAAATAGAGCTAACTTCAAACTGCATTGTCAGGTCAGTTGGCCTGACAATGCAGTTATAGAACATGTTATTATACTTTCTGCATTATACTTCAAAACGATGGGATCCTAGCAAATATTTAAAAAAAATGTAAAAAGTTTACAATAGTATTATTTAACATAATTTTTTTAGGAAATATAACCTCCACAGGTTATATTAAATATTTTGAATTTTCCCAATGTATATCACATTCGAATTAATTTAAAGTTAGTTATCCATATTGTTTCTAGGCGGTGTTCTCCGTTGTATTTTACTTCTCATCAGTGTCTCTGTACCCCGGCTTTCTGATGGTGGGGTATGGAACAGTCTTCACAATGTTACCAGTATTCTCATTAGTGAGTCACATTTTATTATCTTTTATTTACTTATTATATTATATTTTAATTATTATTTTAAAACTCAAATCTATACTAATATTATAAAGTGGCAGAGTTTGTTTGTTTGAACGCGCTAATCTCAGGAACTACTAATTCGATTTGAAAAATTATTTTTGCATTAGATAGCCTGTTTATTGAGCAATTAGAATATGTGCTATCGTCATGCTACTAAGTACTGCCCAAGGGGGCGGAGCAGTAATCATAAATATCAACAAATTGGGCAGACTTTGATATATAAATTATTGTAAAAATTATGTTTATAATCAAACAAACACGCGGGTGAAACCGCGGGGCACTGCTAGTCAAATATAAATTTTTACATATGTTTATATGCGATTTAACATGTTATTATAATAAATAATTAAATACACTATTTATAGGTATTGGATAAGGACATATCGAGTTCAACAGCGCTCAAATATCCGCAACTGTACAAACAGCTCACTAAAGGCCGGCAGCTTTCCTACAAGACGTTCTACATATGGATAGGGATATCTATTTATCAAGGTAATATTCTAATATTAACTAACGATGCTTTTTTTAGTTAAAATTTTCAAGTTGTATATAGTGTATACTGGCGTCTTGCCCTCACTTCTCTCGGTTATTTTCTTAGGTGGCTAACAGTGGCTTATATATATCGAAGCAGCATTAATTTTCTCTATTATTTTCCATTATTTTATCATGACTTATACAGTGGGCGTTATATGGGAAGTGTTGGTTCAAATGAAAGTCGTTGCAATCACAGTTGTATTTCAGTTTAACAATAATCACTTTGTACATAGTTACACAGCACTTCACTATACCACCATGTAGCACTTCACTATTATCACGTGCAGACAATACGGAACGCAAGACAGTTTCTTCTAGTGTTCACTGTGCGACCGACCAAGCGTAACTCAGCCAAGCCAGGTCGAGTGTCACGACGTAGACTCTGTCGAGCCCAAAAAGGTGGCGCTCGCGTTCCGATTAGTTGTGATTATGACTCGTCTCCGACATACATTACTCAGATGTCTCATCTCAAATCCGTTCAGCTCTTTATACATACACACGCACGCACGTAAGCACACACGTACACACACAAACATATACATTTTCGCATTTATGATAGTATTCCGATAGTCTAAAGCCGTCTTATTTATACATTTTTTTTCCACAGGCGGTGTAATAATGTACGGAGCGCTGGTCCTGTTCGAAGAGCAACTCATACACATAGTGGAGATCAGCTACACGGCATTGATCCTCACAGAGCTCATCATGGTGGCGCTCACCGTGGACACGTGGCACCGCCTCATGGTGGTCGCCGAGCTGATCAGCCTGCTCATGTACACTGCTACCCTACTCATATTTACTACGTATTTTGGTAAGTAACACAGATAACACAATAACAAGAAATACAGATAATATTAAAAAACTATCATGTATAAGCGATAAATGGCGCTTAACTGAAAACCGTCGTGTAACTTTAATTTTATAAAATTAAGGAAAAGAATAAACAACTCATGATATTATCTAATTTTACGTAGTAGCTGATTGTTAGTGGAACAATAAAATTTTAAGATAAAAAAATATTTACTTCTTGCGAGGATTGAAATTTCCAGTATTATAGACATTGCTAAAACATATGTACTTACAACGATTACACATTTTATTACAACGATTTGCACAATGAAGAAAATATTTTAGTACATATATAGACGTGGGCAGTTGTAGCCCAGTGGTAACGCGCTCGCTTGGGAAACCGAGGGAAGCGGGTTCAAATCGCATGTTTCGCCGCTGTGATATTTACATTTGCGAATCATTTCCAACATGATTACCACTTGTTTTACGTCGAAGGAGACCATCGTAATGAAACCGCATATCTAAGAGAACCTAGCAAGTTTTTGAAAAACATGCTAAGTGCATTCGCGCTTGGCCAGCTCTGACCCTCCCGCGTATTGGAAGACCCTTTTCTACCAGTGGGACGTTAAAAGGGCTGAAATCTGATTACGTACATATAAACGTAATATTTATTTATATGTTTTTCTATAATAAATCAGATGCTGACTTCATACGTCATTGGGAGTTTTGGTGGAAGGTAACAACGATCACACTCGTCTCGTGTCTACCGCTGTATATAGTCAAGTATATGCATAGGAAGTGGAGTAACCGCCAGTACAAAAATATACGTAAATAATTGTGCCTAATGCATCATTGGCAATAAGTTTTGTCACATTTACATTATTTTTTAAGAATAACAAATTATTTGATTTTTTACTCTGTGGCATAGATTTGTTTTATTTTATGTTACTAGTAAATTTTTTTTAAATATTTTATAGCTTTATTTTGACAAAGTTATGTCGAACTTATATTAGCAAATCCGCGTCGCAGTGCTTATTTGTCCAAACGACCAATTTATCGTAAGAGTTTTTAATACACAATTATTCACTTTTAAATGTCAGTTCTATTGTTATTAAACATTTTACTTTAGTGAAGCCGAAATATGTATTTTATCTTAGTTTAAAAATTGAGGAAAAAAATCTATTGTAAAGTACAACAAGTATTGGTAGTTTGAACAATTAAGCACCAAAGTGAAATATAATTTAAAGTTACCTTATACGTATGAAAAATATCGTTTTCTTACATGTATGTTATTTAGCAAACTTTCTCTGGACATTCCTCTGTAGTCCGTACATTGTATCCATCGATCAAAAAACTACTAGATACACAATCCCCTGCAAAAGTTCTCTTAAAACTGTCACCAATTGTATATAGGTAATTATTATATAGTTGAAATAAATATAAAACAATGTAAATTGAACATGCATTCCCAAAGTTGTTTTCAAAAGTAAAAAAAAATTAAAAGCGCGCTCAAATGTTCAAATGAGCGCTCATTCAGTGAGGACATTTTTGTCGCTGACTATATATCTCGTACTCTTTTGATCGATGATTGTATCGCATGTCGTAGTATTAATTTATAGTATTTGTGATAGAAAAAAAATCATTACATATATATATTTAAATTACTCTTCTAAGTATTATGTTTATTGGCTCTTGAAGTATGAAACGTAAGAAGTGTATGATAGTATTCTAATACTAAAACTGATCTGTAATGACGTTGGGAAAAATATATACAGCTATTGATTGGTAACCACTAATATTATATCCTAATAAATAATAATGTCCTCCGATTTGGGCTTTAATAAGATTGGCTAACAGCGCGGGACATAATATAGTGCAGTACGTATACGTATTCCATTCAATCTCAAAGCCCGATGTGACGTCAATTTGACAAGTGTAGGACTCATAGACCTATAGAATGGACTGAGCTATAATCTCATGAAACTGACCAATCTCTTGAAAAAGAGAAAGCGGAAGGTGCGGCTAATACCTGTCTTATTCCTTCTTGTCTTTATTTTGAATTTGCAAAATATGGAATGCTTAAAAAATATAATATTTCATTACAAATTGGAATGTAAAATAGTTGTAAATATTTATCTTCATTAATTGTATTTCAATTAATACAGGAGACTTCTGGCCGCACATTCGTTTCGTCTCTGTCGCCTGTGTGTGCCTTTCCGCTATTTTTAGCTGGTGGCTAGCAAAGTAACACTCAGTACACTCTCTTAAATCTATGATAGGACAAAAACTCTCTTTCGGTATGCGAGAGTAAATTCCACCAACTTCTCAACTACAGATTACTACTGAATATTTCGTGACGAAAGAACCTAATAAATATTTTAACCCGACCCGGGACTCGAACATAAGAGCTTACGGTCTGCAGGCGTACATGCTAGACAATAGACCAACGTAAATAACGTACCGTATTCACGTTATTTGTTTATCTAAATATTATTTTTGGAGGTGGTTTGACAATGGTTTTTAGATAAGAAATTAAGATTATTCTCCTTTTTTATAGAATATACTAATTACTATTAATTTTATTATCTGTTCGAATACATCTTTATTAAAATTATTCAGTTCTAATCAATACTAATGAATACTATATAACATTAATACATTTTACACTTCACTTAAGTTTTAATCTCTCCACGACCGAGGACACGCCGGCGTTATAGTTAACGATAGATTTCTTACAAATTTAATTAATTTCTTAGAAATTTACCTGGAGGTGTTAAATCGACATGTTAATAACAATGCAAATTGGACTGTATGAACGATTTTATTGCAGCACTGTTATAATTTCAAAGGTCACTGGATAAGTTTTGCAATACAACTTTTATTTTTATAAATACCAATCTTTACATTATATTTATTTAGACAAATATAATATATTAACTAAACAAATAATCCTGACTTATTGTATATGACCTGTGGAGATATTAAATGTAGTTTTAAAAAAGATATAATTATCCTCCATTAATAGAATTAGTAGGTTGCAAGACCTATCTAGCAGAGATCTTTTGTACTTAACATTTTCAGGACATATAAGAAAGACTTTAACATGTGATTTTTCTCATGATGTGTTCAAAATTTATGTAATTTTCTTAAATATGTATTATGAAAGTAAAAAAAATCAGTGCCTTTTATTGTGTCAGTATTTTGAAATCATAATAATAATTATTATATTTTTATTGTTTTCTGTTCATTTTTCTGCTATGACTTTTGGTAAACATATTTTATTTCTATTTTTTTTTTATGTAAATATAGAATTATTTGCTTATTTAAAAGAAAATGTATATCTTTTTATGTTTTATTTTCTCTTGATTTTGCTGATTTGCGAAACGTAAGTAAATATCGGTATTCCAAAGAATGAAAGAATATTTTTTTTCTTTTATTGTGACATTTTGCAAAGGCATGGGATGATATTCTACAAATTGCTTTAAATTTATAATACTTTTTTAATTAGATTTAATAGTAATATTACTGTGATTTCAATTATTCAATAAAAATAAACTAGCATTGTAAGAGTAAGTAATTCCATAAGATAAAATTAAACTCAAATATGTTTAAAATCTGCAGTTACATGGTACAAAATGTGTTATTTGTGATATAATATTTATTTCATAGTTTATAGAAGTGTTGGAGTTATTTTTTTATTTAAAATTATTTATGCATTATTGATGTTCCATCGTTTTATGTTAATCACATGACAAGTTTGTGTATGACACGGTACCGAATACAATTTAATAATGAAACGAGTTGTTTTATTTTACCCCAATTTTTTTTTGGCACTTGATTCATGGCATGGAGCTTAGTTATCTCTTGCACCTCCTATCTAACCTAGGCTACCTAACCTTACCGTATATGACCGTCTGCTTCAAACATATACCTAATGTATTTAATTGTTAATGCTTGGAACTACTTGGTACCATTTGTGCCATTGAGGGCATTAACGATACAAAATAGTAACATCTATACTCTCTTCACGGAGTGAGCCATCCAAAGCGCTTTCTTTGTCCCACAGTATACAAACTGATTAGGACAGAAAACAGTCTAGCTCCGCCAACTAACATTCGCAAACTGGTTTGAAATCATAGGGCTCGTTCATGTTGCTTTAGTGAGGAATTAATAATAATCCATACATATAATAAAATTGTAACTAAGCCGAATCTGTACATAAAATATTTTTTGGAAAATCTTATTGAAGTAAACATTATTATCGATACAGAGGCCGAATCTATAGCTTTTAGAATTTTTGTCTGTCTGTCTGTTTGTTACCGCATCACAGAAAAACCACTGGAGGGATTTTGATGAAATTTGGTATGGTGATAGCTGGTTATCCGGGTCAACATATAGGATACTTTTTACCGCGTGAAAATGTCGCATTTCTGAGAAAAAATACAAAATCTGCAGTATAAGAGTATACTAATATGTAAAACCTAAGAATTTGGTTTTTGGTCATCTGAACGCGGGCGGAGCCACGGGAAATGCTAGTTTTGTAATAAAATCAACAATAAAGTAAAATTACCGGTATTTTTAAATATTTGTATACATTATTTATTAATTTTCGCGTTCCGACGTATCACTGTCATCTACATTGATAGTAAATCAGGTAACTACATGAAGGACGTCTGAACGCTACGGAATGCAACGACGGACTAATTTTAACTTGCATTGTAAAGCGTGTTATTGTATCTGCAACTAATCACGTGGAAGCGTAAAATCTCAGTGCTTGGTTCATTCGGCGAATACAGTATAATAGTAACGCTAGTACTATTAGTGAGGGTACTAGTAAAACTACCGTGGATTTTCGCGTTCAAATCATTTTTATCATGATTAGGTATCACTAGCTAACTCTGTAAAGGAAACCTCGTGAGTAGACCTGAATTTCTAGATATAAGAGATAATCTGTTAACTTTTGTAAGACGTATAATCCGCCTCTTGGGTCAGAGTGTTCGATTATTGCTTAGTCCCCTTCGCAGTGAGTGAACGCATGTCCAACAGTGGGACGTTAAAAGAGCTGAATTATTATTATATTTCTAGTTTACTTTAGTCGATGGATCCATTTTAGTTCAGCAAATCAATTCAAAACATTCATGAACGTCACGAGTCTACTACCAGTTCGGATAGAAGAAGCTTCAGACCTGAGAAGAACTGGCGAAAAAAACTGTGACTCTAATTTTTTTTGTAGCGCGCTGTCAGCATAAGAAGCCTGTCCTTTATTTTGATAATATAGCTATTGCAGAGCCTCATTTATTTTTTAGGATAAAATGTATTTTTACAGCATTTTTCTCCCTATAACTTATAATTTTACGGCTGTTACGATAGTTGTAAATTTTAAAAATTATTCGCTTTAAACAACTACTTAAATAATATAATAATAATGAAGAAGTATATAATAATAATAAAAAAGACGATAAATATCTTACAAAATATAATCGTCTTAAATAAATTTAATGTCTTAACAATACACCTATAAAATCATTTTCCTGAAAATATTGTAAACCATTAAAAGTATTAAATGTTATGTTTGTGATAACGGAGTGGTGAAGGAGTTTGCTTCCAGTTCGGTGCCTGAAGTAGTAGCATGTAAGGAATGTTTGGATACCACCCGTCGAGCCCACGCCAAATCTCGCGAACTTCTAGACCTACGTGCTCTAGTCTTAGAACTGCCTGAACTAGCAGATTGCGCTGAAGTAACACTACTTGATCCTGACCAAGAATCCGTTGGCTGAATACCTCGATAGGTCTGCTCAGAATTAGTGGCCGTGCTTGTCGAGTACATTTGCAACTGAGGTTTAGTCTTGACCAAATGTCTCTTGACTTTCATTTGCATTATCGGTGTTTCTATTTTTGGCGGACTCTTCGGTCTTTCTGGATGCCCTACATCTATAACATTTTCACTCTTAATTTGGCTAGTCTTTGATGGTAAAGAATCGTCGCTAGAATTCTCACTATCGCTCATTATGACAGCCATTAATTTTTCGGTATTTTCGTGCAAATCATAAACTTTTTGGGTTTTAATAGAACGAACAGAAGGTGTTTTTGCTTTAGAGATTGATCTTTGTGCTCGTTTTTTATCCGTATAATAAACAGCATTTTGATGAGATGGTAACATTGCCGGTATATTTGAGTCTACTTTAGCGTAAGCCACATCTTTACTTACAGAAGAACGTTTAGATCCTTTGCAGTGACAACCATTTTCGTCATCCAAAATATAACTGTAGCAGATTTGTAATAGACAAATGGCTAAACTTATTAGAATTACAACAGCGACATATAAATGTGGCGTCCAATCAGTGTTAATATATACATAAGATTCCCTCAACGCTTTCCAAGGATGCCATTTTGACACTCCTGCATCTTCATAATCAAAAAGATTTCTTCGATGTAACCCCTTACCGTAACTTTGAACCGCAGCTGCTACTCTCAATACGCCACCATAAGCAGCATATAATTTTTCATCAATAAGACGTGGCGCGACATCTCTCTTCATCCAATGCCAGAGATCATTATTAAAATTTACAAAATCTGTATGACGACATGTACCTGGAGAATTACTTAATATGCACTTTGAGGCTGTTGTATAATACTTCAAAATTATATTTTCAGACAGAGGAGACATAAGATTCATTAAGCCATTTTGTTTATAAGGTAAAGCTATTGCATACGGATGAAGATGATCATCTAACTTAGGTGTAGGTAAATGAATACACGATTTTGAATCTCTTTTAGTTACTAGTCTAGCACATGGATCAAATATATCACTAGGCCCTATCCGAATCTTTTCAACTGTAAAGTTAGTCATTTCTGGAACACTTTTGGGTTTTTTCCAACCCAATCCTTGAGTATTAAGACATATTTTTAGCTGATCAAAGCAATCATGCAATTCTCTAACTTTTCTGTAAGAAACATATCCAGCGTAGTAAGCGAATCTACTTGCAGGTAAAATTTCACTTCTCATATGAGCTCCTATTGCGTCCGCTAGAACTTCTCTTAGCATAGTCGAAGTATGTTTATTAGAAGTAGTTTCGATAGTTTTAAAAGCATTACGTATATACCTTAAAGTTTCTGTAATATAAATATCGTTTACTTTATTAGGAGAAACACAAGCGGGTACTATATCTTCTAAAGCTTTCCTTGCACGCAGTTTACCTAATTCCTCTATACTCCAACAATTAGTATTGGTAAGTCTTTTATAAAATAAAGAACTACCGACTTGTGAGCACGATACTATTTTTGTAAATAAAAGTAGAAAAAGTGGAAAAAACATTGCATTTTAAAATCTTTGTGACGTGATTATGATTGTCACATTCATTATTTTGAAGGAAAAGGCAAATAACAATGTACATCTATACATATATTAAAATGTTGAGTCGAATGTATACATTATATATTTTTTGGAAAATCTTATTGAAATAGTCACATAGGCCGAATCTATAGTTTTTTGAATTTTTGTCTTTTTGTCTGTCTGTCTTAGAACGCATCACAGAAAAAACCACCGGAGGGGTTTTGATGAAATTTGGTATGGTCATAGATGGTTATCTGGGTAACTTATAGGATACTTTTTACCGCGGGAAAATATCTCATTTCTGAGAAAAAATGCAAAAACTACAAAGTAAGAGTATACTAATCTGTAAAACCTAAGAATTTGCTTTTTGGTCATCTGAACGCGGGCGGAGCCGCGGGCAATGCTAGTTAATAATAAATCTTTTATATTAATTGTCTGTAATGGTTTATCATCATTATATAATATATGAGATAGTTTAGAACTATATTCATAAAAAAAAATATTAAAATATTTTTTGTTAAAAAATAATGAGGAAATATATTCAAAGTACTCTTTGTCATGGATGTACCCTTTATCAATTACATTTTTTAATCCGAGTCGGATTATTTGACATATTATGAGAAATGTCAATGGTCAAATGTCATCTGACAATTGACTATTGGCGGTAGTTGTCTGTAAGATTCAAGATTTTCAGTTTTAACTTTTTGAATTTTAAATTAAAACCTTAAAACCTTATGTGTCTTGTTATTATTTTCTTGTTTATGTAAATGAGTTATGCAGAGTGTTTGAATAAAAACAGTGACCTTAAACTTTTAAAATGTCTAGAGTACGTAAACTCTACTATTATTTTAACATCAAGTGACTATTATTACTTTTCTGTCATAGATTTAAATTTAATAAAATTTTATTTTGTAAATGCATACAATTTAAGTACTTAGCTGAAATGTAAAAGTTAAATATTCTTTTATTACCGCAATTTCTAATGAAACCTAACCAAAGCAAAGTTTAATTTTGATTTTTAATCATTAGTGTTTTTGTAGTAGCTTAGTGCTGTTTGTGTATGTTTGAAACTAGCCGTACTTTGTACTTTGTAAAAGCAAAATGTCTAAATACAATTAAACATTCACAAGTCGGATGTAATGTTGTAATTATTTCATTTCTACTACTTTGGTTTTAGGATATAAGGTCCTTCTTTACCATAAAAAAGGAGAAAACTAAAAAAGATGAAGACAGTGATGTTATACCCGAATCACCAGATGTACAAATTAATAACAAGGTAAGTTTTAGTCCTTTATATTAGATCTTTGAGAACATTCAAAATATGAGAATACTTTAAAAAAATACAAAAATAATACACCAATACTGTGCAAAAAAGCTTGTTTCAAGTAGAGTATTATTAAATATTATGTGTAATCGGTCAGTGATGATAAATACTTATAAAAGTAAAACAAGATATTAATTTAGTCACAAGATTTATTACCAAAAGTAAGGTAATAAAGAAATAAAATTGTTCAGTGTGTTAAACTTACTAATTATTACTAAATGATTTAAAGATTTAAAAAACCTTTACTTACTATAATATTACTTTGAAAAACAGCTCTTGTGTGATTAAACTATATTTATAAGTTTTATAATAGGTAATCCTGAGCCTACTCAAATTTTTAATTATATATTGTAGAAAAAAATATCAAGAAAACGCAGACAAATCAAGGAAGACTCAGATGAAGACGGGACACCTTCAAAAAAGAAGATTACTCCACCAAAGGCAACACTAAAAGAAGTTAAAAAAGAAGACTTATTTGGTAGTGGCCCAATAAAAAGAACAGAGCCAATAGTGAAAAAAAATAAGAAAAAGACAGAAACTGGCATCCATTCAGATGATGAATTTGAACAAAGCTTGTTACAAATTGATGAAGTCCATAACTCTGAAAAAGTTGACATTAAAGAAGATATCAAAATCAAAGAAGACATTTGTGATAAATCAGAAAAAGTAGATAAAAATGATAATGAATCAAAAACTAAATCAAAATCACATAAAAAGGAAATTGTGGATAGTAAATCAGCAGAAGAGAACAAAATCAAAAATCATGATAACAAATCTATTAAAAGAAAATTAAATAAGAGTGACACTGAGACCCAACCAGAGATCCAGTCTACATCCAATGTAGATAAAGAAAAGAAAGATTTTAGTGTATTTCTTGACAATGATGACACAGATCACAAACCCGATATTGACACCAAAGAACCTAAACAAAAGAAAAGGAAATTAGACAAGAGCCTAAATGAATCTGGTATGCATTGGTATAATGATGTTAATATTGTTTTAGTTATCACTCTGGTAGTTATCATATCGCAGTCAGATATTAGCAACACCTAGATTATTTGATATAGATATTTTGTCCATTTACTTACCCTTCATTTAATCAAAAACTTTATCATAAAATTCGACTATTGTTGCTACATATTTTTTTAAACATCATTTAGTTTTAGTACATATGTACTAAAAGTAACTGGTTATTTAATAATATCAAAATATTATAACATTGCTATAAAGAAAGTGAGATATAACATCTATCATAAAGATATGTGTTGACAATTTCCCTGCTAGTATAAATAAAACATTTATTTATAGCTATAATACACTCACTTTGCACATTATTCATAAGGTGATACTTAAAGATTCGTGTATTTAAAGTACAATCGCCTGATTTTGCACATAATTGATTAGGATTATAATCATTAGGGCCTTTGCACACATCTCTTTTTATAAGTACAGTCGACATATTTTGTCAGCACAAACACAAGGAATCAGTGTTTTAACTTATCAGTGCAGTCTACACAGTTACCTAGTCTACTGTTTATAGCTATTCTTTATTACTTATAGCATTATCTATTATTAATAAACATTATTATACAATAAGGAATATATTTTTATACAATAGCTTACTTTGTTATATAATTGTAAAAAAATATCCAGCTCCAACAAACTAAAATTTAGTACACAATTTTTTTTAAATAAAATGCGCTTTTGCATGGGATTGTGTATCTAGTACTTTTTTAATCTTAAGTTTTCTTTATTATTGCAGTTCTATCAGATGAAGAAAGACATGAAAGGAAAAGATATTCGGCAGCTTTATATCAGAAATATTTGAACAGATCTGGACCTAAGCACTTAGGATCAAAAGAAATTCCAGAGGTTCTTTTTCTATGAACAATATAAATTATATTTTCTAAGAAATTTAAAAATAAAACTTTTTGTACAACATATTTAATAATAACTCAACTGTATTAGAATTGTATGACAAAATATTTATAATATTTTCTCAGTATTAAAAAAATTATACAGCATCCAAATGAAGTATGTAGTTAATTATATTTTAGGCCATCTCAAAAAATGAAATGTTTGACCTTGTGTAACCGAAAAAGAATTATAAGAAAAAAAAAACATTTTTTTTAATTTTTGTCTCTCTGTCTGTTTTGTGTCTTCCGGCCAATCTCCGAGACGACTGAGATTTTGACGGGACTTTCATTCAGACAGATACCCAATGTTAATAAGAACTTAGGCTACTATTTTAGAAAAAGAATTAGTGTTCTGCATAAAAAAAACCCATGAAAATGTAAACAAACTCCGCAAACCTAGTGATGCGAGGGTTAGCCCCTTGTAATATTATAAAACACTAATATAAATTACATTTATATTTCAATTTTCAGGGTGCACCTAATTGCTTGCGAGATTGTGCATTCTTGCTAACTGGAGTACTGGATTCGTTTGAGCGAGACGAAGTAGTGGCCGTTATTACGAAATATAGCGGATCTGTGAAAAATGGTATTAGTAAGAAGGTATTATTACTATCTGCATATTTTTATTTCAATAATCCAATTGATTGTTTTTTTTAAAGACTATTTATGACTTATTTTGGTTCTATAAAGACGTGTATACATTTATACTAATTGCCATTAGAAATATAAAATATATAACTAACTAGTATTGCCCGCGGCTCCGACCGCGTTCAGATGACCAAAAACCAAATTTTTAGATTTTACATATTAGTATTCTCTTACCATGCAGTTTTTGTATTTTTTCTCAGAAATGAGATATTTTCCCGCGATAAAAAGTATCCTACATGTTGACCCGGAGAACCAGCTACCATCATACCAAATTTCATCAAAATCCCTTCTGTGGTTTTTCACAGACAGACAGACAAAAATTCTAAAAACTATAGGTTCGGCCTCTGTATCGATAATAATGTCTATTTCAATAAGATTTTCCAAAAAATATTTAATGTACAGATTTGACTTACTTAGAATTTTATTATATGTATAGATAATTTTAGGGGTCGATTGTTTGTTCATGAAAGTTATGCCTGCTTTTCTATACTTTTTTAGGCTACTTATGTTCCGAACCTCTATGGCATAAAATCTATATATACTATAATATTATAAAGAGGAAAGATTTTGTTTGTTTGTTTGTACCGAATAAGCTCCGAAACTACTGATCCGATTTAGATTCAATTTGGTAAAAAGATAATTTGAGACCCGGAGGCACATAAGATAGTTTTTATCCCAGAAATCATCACTTAAGGGGTTGAAAATGAGGATGAAAGTTTGTATGGCAAATCAACCTAGGGACGAACCCGAGCGAAGCGAGAGACGAGGTTGAGTCGTATAAAATAAAATAACACTGCTACCAGACTTTTCATAAAATGGTGCTTTTCTTTTTATATCTATGGGATTTATACACTATAAGAATATTTTTAGCCATTTTTTATTGTATTTGTAGGTAACACATGTGCTTGCCGGTGAAGATGCAGGTCCAGCAAAATTAGCTAAAGCGCAAGAATTAGGCATTAAAATCCTAAGTGAGGATGAATTCTTAAAAATAATCAAAGAATCTACAGAAAAAAAACAATCATCCAAAGACAAAAAAGATTCAAATCACAATAAAACAGAAAATAAATCAAGAAAAGAATCAAGTACTGAGAAAAAAAAGAAAAATCATGACAATAATATATTGAATGCAAATAAAATTAAAAATGAGAAATCTGTTTCGCCTCCAAAAGTTGTGGAGGTTTCTGAAATTAAAAAAGAAAAAGCTGTTAAGTCAGAAACTATGAGTAGTGGTGAATATTGTTATACTTATAATCCCTTGTGTAGTTACGTTTGCAAGGATGTCTTGATGTTTGGATGTAAAAATGTATGGAAGTTTGTTACTCTATCACGAAAAAAACCACTGAATGGATTTAAATGAAACTTTACAATAATATAGCTCATACATCAGAACAACACATAGGCTACTATTTATCCCGGACAAATGTATGGTTACCGTGGGATAGATTAGGTGTTGTTTTTCTAAGCCGCTAGTTAAAAATAATATATTTGTGTGTGCGTGCGTGTGCTCGTACGTATTGTGTTTTTTTTTATTTGTGTAATTATTCCAATGTCACTTCCTCAAAAAGTACTAAAGCAATTTTTATGAAACTATTAATTTTACGGATGAGGAACAATTAAGTTAAGAGCGGTCCTTGGTTAAAATTATATCTACATATTTAAATTACAAATGGCCTCCTAAGGAGTTCCATTATAATGCCAACAAAAGACTATTCCCTTATATGTATTTTGTTTTTATTGTATATTTTTTTTATTTTCCTTTAAGTGAATGATGAACAACAGGCAGGTGCGAGTACATCAAAGCCCACTCATGCTCTGTCACTTATGTGGGTGGATAAATATAAACCACAAAACTTAAAACAAATCATAGGACAGCACGGGGAAAACAGTAATGTTAAAAAGTAAGTAGTGCTGTACATTATTTATCTATATATATAAAAGAAAGTCGTGTTAGTTACACTATTTATAACTCCAGAACGGCTGAACCGATTTGGCTGAAAATTGGCGGGGAGGTAGCTTAGAACCCAGAGACGGACATAGGATACTTTTTATCCCGTTCGACTGCGTTCCCGTGTGATATTGTTTGTCTGTTTGTACGGGCTAATCTCCGAATCTATTGGACCGATTTAAATGAAATTTTGCATGGTGGTACCTTATATCCCCGGACAACGTCTTAGATATTTTTTATCCCGGAAAATATTATGGTTCCCGTGGGATAGTTAAAAAACTATTATAACTTATACAACTTATGCACCTAATTTAGTAAAATTTAACATTCTGATACCTTATATTGCCGGTCAAACAACCGGTTACTTTTCATCCGGGAAAAAAGAACGGTTCCCGTGGGAACTAATATAATAGATTTTTATTAGTGTTTTTCTATAAATGTGTTATTTGATATGAATAAGATACTCTATACATATAATAAAATCCAAACTGAGTCGAATCTGTACTTTAAATATTTTTTGGAAAATCTTATTGAAATAGTCTGATATATTACTATTGATACAGCGGCAGCTTTTATAGTTTTTAGAATTTTTGTCTGTCTGTCTGTTTGTTTGTCTGGGAACACATCGCGACAAATCTGTACTAACCGTTATAACGTTCGTACGCTAGTAAAATGGATATAAATGTTGAAATTAGGCCAACCTACTTACCAACTCTAATAGGAAAAAGGTAATTCAGGTGTGTGTTATATCTCGTAAATTACACACAAAGATACATCAGATACACAACTTTTAATTCGGGATTTTTTTGATCGAGCGGGTAAAGGAAGCGAAGCGCCTCAGCTTCAAGTCTGGCAGTTTGCTTTCCTCTGTTAGTTTATCGGTACTCCTCTACAGGTCGTATTTTACCACCAATCTGGACGAACTTAACTGTAACGAACTGGAACTTGGTAGAAAGGTTTTACGATTTTGTAGAATTTTTTCCTCGTCGGGGAATTTTGATCTGAGTTGTACTTTCTCCAAAAAGATGCAAAAATTGGCCTACCGGATATCTCCACCTTATGAGATCCGATTTCAATGGTTCTTAATAACTTAAATTGGTCTCATAAAAATTTGGTGAAGATTTGATGATGAGATTCGGCGTCATGAGCAGAAAACTCTTCAAAATGCTGTTCAAAGTGCTCGCGAGATCAACTGTCCGCTACACTAGTTGAATAAACAGGCTTTGAATACAATGCTCAAAGGGAAATAAGACCATGCATATGAATTACAAAATCAAGCTCTAAAGATGATTTAGTAACTTTTATAGTGATTTTGCGTACATTACCAGTAAGGTTATCGGCAGCCACTACTCTGCCCAAGGTTGCGAGTTAGATTCTCACTCAGCTGTACTAATATTATAAAGAGAAAAGATTTTTTGTTTGTTTGTGCCGATTTAGCTCCGAAACTACTGGACCGATTTCAATGAAATTTGGTAAGAAGATAGTTTGAGACCCTGGGAAAGACAGGATATTTTTTATTCCGGAAATCATCTCTTAAAGGGGTGAAAATGTGGATGAAAATTTGTATAAGGAATCAACTTAGGGACGGATCCGAGCCAAGCGAGGGTGAGTCGCTAGTTTGGTATATTAATATAATTGACTGAGTTCTTGCAAATTTGTATTATTTACGAATTTTCTCTTTCAGATTGTTAAACTGGTTAACGAAATGGTATGTGAATAATAAGGCAAAACTGCCCAAACCCAATCCTTTTGCTAAGAACGACGACGGAGGTTATTACAAAGCTGTTTTATTATCTGGACCTCCTGGTGTAGGTAAGTAATAAATATCCATACTAATATTATAAATGTGAAAGTGTGTTTGTTTGTCCTTCTTTCACGTCGAAACGGAAGGATAGATTGGCGTGATTTTTTATGTGGAGATAGATGGAGGAATGGAGTGTCATAGGCTACTTTTTACCGCGGGAGATTATCTATTTCCTACGGGATAACACGTTAGAATAAAATCTAAAAAAATATTTATAATCAGATTTACTTCAAAATTGGTATTAATGCTTTTCAATAAAATTAAATAAATACGTGTTTTAGCATTTTTCGAAATTCATCCTATAAGGGGGTAAAATAGGGGATGAAAGTTTGTATGAAACTACCTTTTTAGCGATTTTTTTGTAGTTTTAGTTCGAGCGAAGCCGCGGGTTCTACTAGTATTATTCTGTATATTAATAATATCTAATTTTTTTTTCTATTTTTAAAATATCTATTAATCAATAATAATAATTTCTACTATTAAAATATTTCGCGGATTTATTTTGATTATGGGCCACGGGAGAGACTTAATTCTGTCTCTCTCTCACACACAAAAAAAAGTCTGCAAAAAATCCGAAAAGATAGTTTTATATTGAATGACTAGCAGAACCGCTATCGCTTTCGCTCGCGCTAAAAATACAAAAAAAACTTCTTTGTTTTGTGCTATTTGTAATAATATATGGAAATTTGCCCGATTTTTTGACATTTATTATTACTGCTCCCCTCCCTTGGGTAATAACATGAGGATGTATAGCCTATAGCCTCCATAAATAAACGGGCTATTTAATGCGAAAAGAATTTTTCAAATCGGATTAGTAGTTCCTGAGATTAGATCGTTCAAACAAACTCTGCCTCTTTTTAATATTAGTATAGATTTAGGATTTAAACCAACAATGTACGTTTTCAGGCAAAACGACAACAGTGTCGCTAGTGTGCAAAGAGCTGGGCTTCGACGCGGTGGAGTTCAACGCGTCCGACACGCGCAGCAAGAACCTCATCAAGGAGAAGATTGGCGAGATGCTGTCCACCACATCATTGTCCGGTTATGCTAAAGGTAGGAAGCTATAGCCAATGGAAATGGTGTTTATATTTATATTATGTATTTAAAGTTATATATGTAAAGTGTATCAACTATCCGGTCTCCATAACACAAGCCTCGTAGCTTACCATGGAACTAGATGGTGCTGTGTGTTAATGTACCAACATATTTTATCTTTATCTTATAATATATGCATGCTGCTTGTTACTTGTGATTAACTGTCTTAGTGGAGTAGTGGCTAGTATATTATATGGCCGCAGATCTGAAGGTTCTGGATTCGTGTCGGGCCATGTCTAGACATTGAGTACTTTTATCAAGAATTTCTCAGTAACAGCCCCGAGTTGGGAAATTGGCTGTGTTTTAACTGCGTGCCGTGGCGAGAGAGCATGTGTCGGGTCAGTCCTGCACCTTAACTCTCACCACGAGACGCGAGACTGTCATACACATTAAAAAAAATAGAGAAATCTCCAAACGTATTTATATTTTTGACTATGCTATGACGATGTCAATAGGGAATTTAAAAAAAAACAACAAAAAAAATATGTATAAAACCTAATAATGTCAAGATGTCAGGACAAATAACTCCTGTCAGGCTTTGTGAAGAGATTATTTTTATTCTTGGCTTTGATTGCTATTGTGTTGGTCGCTTAAATTTCACGTTTGAATTTTCGTATACTTTACTAGCGTATTACAAATTTTTGAAATCATTTTGTAAAATTGTGTGTAGGCACTGTCTGTAACAAGTATATAACGCCTTTGAGACGTCTAAAACCTTAGTCTCGTGACCATGATTGCTGTAAAGCATTCGAAACGTCAGGATCCAAAAATCAAAATAAAAAAAAAGTCGGAAAAGGTAGTTTTATTTAAAAAGTCAAATATTCGCGTAAACCTGAGAAAGTATTAAGCGTAAGCGTATTACATTTTTTTTTCTTTATTTTGCTTTAGGCAACTCAGGCAAAGGTGCTGTTTCAAAGAAACATGTACTTGTTATGGATGAAGTGGACGGCATGGCTGGCAATGAAGATCGGGGTAAGTTATGAAAAAAATCAAATTAAGTATAATTTCCCGAAAACATAGGTTATTTTCTAGTTTTTTTTTTATTATTACATACAACTAATAATGGAAACCAACCTATAATTTGCTAAATATATTCTAACATAATATTATTTTATAAGTAGAAACAAAAGTTATATACATTTATTGACTCTTATATGTATTATAATTTAAGTACCTGTTTAGAATAATTAGATTAGATATCCTAAATGTTGACCCCATTATTAAGGATAGTAAAGATAGTATGGTTTTTTCTTATCTTATTTATTGATTTTTTTATCTTTTATCTATCCAATATAAAACAAATCCCTAATTTTTTCGAATGAAATATTTTCCTACAAACTCATAATATCTAGTGCAATGCTAACTAAAGCTTCATAAAACTAGAACTCGTTCTTTTATATCACCTACACTTTTACTATGACAACGCGTGTGACTCAGTTTGTTGTGACTCTACTTGCTGTGCCAGCGGTCGCGGGTTCGAGTCCCGCTGGGGGCATTCATTTGTGTGATAAGCACGAGTGTGTATTTAAACTTATATATGTGTAGTGTATCAACTATCCGGTATCTATAACACAAGCTTCGTAGCTTACCATGAAACTAGATCCTGCTGTGTGTTAATGTCCCAACATATTTATTTATTATTTATTACTATAATCATGAATTTATCGATGTAATATTTACAGATATTGTGTATTGGTCTGCCTTTCTTTCTCTTATATTAAAACAAAGCGAACTAGTGACGTCATTTAACACATAGGTAGACGTAGCTTATGCTGTGTTGAAAAAATAGTGTTTTCCAATTAGTAACAGTTAAAATATTAAAATAATTATTTTTATTAAACTGTTTAAAATTTAAATTTAAAACTAAATTATCTCAATTAAATCAATATAAAATTTACTTAGTTAGTTTACTAGTACATATAGTTATTATGGTTAAATTCTTTACTACTACTACTTAGCTTGCTTCCCAATACAACCTTTCATCGCCATTTGCACCCCCCTTAAGGGATGATTCCCGGGATAAAGAGTATCCTATGTCCTTCCCAAGGTCTCAAACTATCTTCTTACCAAATTTCATCTAAATCGGTTCCATAGATCCAGAGATTACCCCCTACAACGTCACAAAGTCTTAAACTTTACCTCTTTCTAATATTATTAGTATAGATTAACCAAAGATGGTTTCCAGGCGGTCTCCAAGAGCTGATATCTCTGATCAAGTCCACATCGGTGCCTATAATATGCATGTGCAACGACAGGAACAGCGAGAAGATGCGCTCGCTCGTCAACTACTGCTATGATCTGCGCTTCAATAGACCCAGGGTGGATCAGATAAAGGCGAGTGCTGTTAATTATCTATATTCTGTACATATAATAAAATTCTAGTCGAGTCGAATCTGTAGATTAAATATTTTTTGGAAAATCTTATTGACATAGTCATTATTGTCGATACTGAGGTCGAATCTATAATTTTTAGAATTTTTGTCTGTCTGTCAGTCTGGGAACGCATCACGAGACAAACACATGAAATTTGGTATGATGATAGCTGTTTATCCGGGTTAACTTATAGGGCTTTTTACTGCAGGAAAATATCTCATCTCTGAGAAATCTGTACTAAACCTTAAAAGTAACTAATCAGTATAAAATTATGAATGATCGTAATATTTTCTTATATTCGATCGAGATCGAGATCGAGAATATATTTTAATTTTATGATAAAACTATTTTTTCTATGCTTTACATATGATAGCAATTATGGTCGCGGGAGAGACTCTCGTGACCATGATTGCTGTAAAGCATTTAAAATGTTAGGAAATTCCTATTATAAATTATAAATTCCTATTATATATAAATTGAACAGAGAATTAAAACACAAACAGGAACAAGTCCGAAAATATAGTTATTCTGAACGTTTTGATTAATCATTTACAACGCCATCTATTGTTTACTAGCGAGACTAAACAAAATAGTCCGAATTAGGCTGGTTCAAATTCTGTCCCAAAACTCGAATTTTGTTCTAAACTAAGGCAATTTTGGAAAATTGTTACTCATAAATTTTGTATTATTTCAGTCAGCGATGCTCTCGATCTGCTTCAAGGAGGGTCTAAAGGTCCCCGGAGACGTGCTTTCGCAGCTGATAGTATCTGCGGGGCAGGACGTGCGGCAAACCCTGCATCTGCTGTCGCTGTGGGCCGCCGACACCCATGTGGACCCCGCCCGGCTCAGCAGCGAGGCGCAACGGGTTAGAAAGGATGTCAAGATGGTATGTTGAGGGTTAATCCATACTATTTATTATTATAAATGTGAAAGTGTTTGTTTGCTTTTTTGTTTGTCCTTTTTTTATGAAACAGAGTGACGGATAGACGTGATTTTTTGTGTGGAGATAGTTGGAGGGCTGGAGAGTGACATAGGCTATTTTTACCGTGGGACATTATCTGCAACACGTTATAATACAACCCATAATAACTCATCATATCGATGTATAACGTATATAATATATAGTCTATCTATTCCATGCTAACCGTTACAACATATCTAGTTATATTATAAATACAAAAGGCTACCCAAGTCAAAATGTACTGCGAATCAATACTTTAATATTATAAAGAGCAATATTATAGCAATATAAATATGTTTGTTTTCATGTGATTTAACATGTTATTATAATTGTAACTTTTGTTTTTATTGTTAGTGAAAAATTGTTGTTTCATTTCATAAATCTCAACAAATCAGGCAGACTTCCATAGAACGTTTATAAAATCAAACAAATTTAACGCGGGTGAAACCGCGGGGCAGAGCTAGTTAATCATATTATATTCTTTCGTTCTCAGGGTCCGTGGGAGGCCATCCGCAAAGTGTTCAGCAAGGAAGAGCACAAAGGCATGAGCATTGCCGACAAGAGCGACCTGTTCTTCAGCGACTACAGCCTCGCGCCTCTCTTCGTGCAAGAGAACTATCTGAATGTGTCCCCGCACTGTCCGAAGTAAGAGCCTATATATACCTTCTATATTTTATACATCGACGCTGATAAACTAAAAACTTAAGAAATAAAATAAAAACTGACTTCCAGACACTAAAATGTAAAAAATAACTAAACGGGGTTTTTTATTTAGAATAGATACCTAATCAGATATTTTCAAAGTGGGTGCCAGCCGAACATAAAAACAAAAAAAGTGAGAACCCCCCCCCTCATTTTTGGAAGTCGGTTAAAAATATCATGAATGTACGTCGTCTGCGCTTATTCTGCATTGGTGAATATAAATAATAAAATCGTTCAAGTGTCAGTCGGATTCGCCCATGAAGGGTTCTGCACCAATTTACAAGATTTAAGAGATATAACGCTATATACTAATTGATATATTTGTACTGACAGTAATACTGTTTTTATTATTATTTTATTTAAATATTTTCACCAGTCTCATTTGACTATTAAAAGAATTTTTTATCCATGTCTGGACCGATGGGCCATGAGAATCATTAAAGAATTTTAAGTATCATAGAATAAAGCTCTAACTCAGCTTTATCTATTCAAATATCAAATGATAAACCCTTATTTTTTATTTTTATTATTTCTTATTTTTTAATAAATATTAAATACATGGATCTTGCAGACACGAAGTGCTAGATAGGATGAGCCGGGCGGCCGACAGCATCAGCCTCGGGGATATGGTGGACGCGCGGATACGAGGCGGACAGGCGTGGAGTCTACTACCCTTGCAGGTAAGTCATCCGGGGGCATCCGGGTCTGGATGAGGCCATAGTCCACCACGCTGGCCGAGTGCGGGCTGGCGCACTTCACATGTCTTTCGAAAACTTGCTAGGTTCTCTTAGACCTTAGACATGCAAGTTTCCTCACGATGTTTTCCTTCACCGTGAGACAAGTGGTAATCGTGTTGGAAATGATTCGCACATGAAAATATCAGAGCTGCGAGACCGGAATTTGAACCCGCTTCATTCGATTTTCCAAGTTAACGAGTTACAACTAGCCTACCACTGCTTTATTAAATATACATAATTAATTATTTTTAAAATACTAATAATAATTAATATAATTTTTAATTAAATATGTATTCCAACTTCTTCTATCAGTTGAAATGTAATTATTTCACCTTTGAACATTAAGTTAAGACCACCCCTAAGATTTATTAAGGATTTATTCGAAAAGAAAACAAATGCTATGGAACTCAACAAGAACATAATGTTAAATGGCAACATATTAAATATATTATTTTACTATGATTAACATTAAAATACATATATTGGTCCACTTAATTTGCCAGGCAATGTACAGCAGCGTGATACCGGGTCACGTGTTGGAGGGACATTTGGCGGCGCAGATACAGTTCCCGTCGTGGCTCGGCAAGAACTCCAGAAAGAACAAGATGCATCGCCTCTGCCAGGAAATACATGCGCATACTAGACTAAGGTAAGTCCGCCATTTTGGCACGCTTGGTGTGACATCACAGTCTACGACAACATTGTAATCAACGAATGAACACGTCTAGATTGTTAGTACCAATCGCAAACACCAAACAACAGCGCTTTGTTATGATAGACTTTGACGTCACATTCGGTCTGACCAATGGCGTTGCGTTTCAAGTACTTTGAATTTCCCACCTATTTTTGCACTCAATGATTATTTTCTTAATGAAATAGAAATTACATTAAAATATATAGGCTTAATTCAGAATCAGAACCAATAACCATTATAAAAAAAAATCACCATTTTTTAAATCACGCGCATGTTCCCTGTTGTCATCAATGCTATCTCTGATCTTATACAAAATTTTATTTTCAGTACATCTGGATCTAAATCATCCATATTCCTCGATTACGCGACGCACCTCCGAGACGCCGTGGTCACTCCGCTTATAAAAGACAAGTCAGATGGTATCGACAAGTCCCTCGAGGTTCTGGAAGCTTATCATCTGCTGAGAGAAGACCTGGACTCTTTGGTTGAGCTCTCCTTGTGGCCTGGACAGAGGAACCCTACTATATTGATAGATTCTAAGGTATTATATTTATATTATTTAGTATTATTTAAAAAAGAAATTAAAACAGCACTTTCTTACCCGAGTAAATTATTTTAATTCCTTTTATTATGTTCTATATTGTTTAGATATTTGTTTGTGTCTGTATAATATATGTTTATTTAGTAAATATAATATTTAACTATTTAAAGAATTATTAATAACCATTCAAAGTAGGAATATTTTATTTCACAGAATAAGTCTTTTAACACTCTTAAATATTAATATAATAACAAAAGTATCAAAAATATTACAACTAACTACTTTTGTGTTTCTTTTTATTATATTATTATTTATATGTATTATTTTTTTTATGGAATTTAAGGTTTTTTTTAAAACTTTCCCTATATTAATAACTTATATTAATATTATAAGGTAAAAGCAGCCATGACTCGCACATATAATAAGAAATCAAGTGCATTGCCGTATGCACCTGGAGCTATAAAAAGAGGACGTGCGCAAGATGATGAAAACACACAGGAGGATGAAGAAGTTGCAGAGGACAGTGATCCAGAAAACGATGCACTGATCAAAGTATGACCTATAGTTTTAAATAATCTTTTCGGATTTATTTTAATTTTTGATTCCCGACGTTTTGAATGCTTTATAACAATCATGGTCACGGGTGAGAACGTCGGGAACCAAAAAAAAATGAAAAAGGTGGTTTTATTTAAAATGTCAAATATTCACAATAATTTGAAAAATAATTATGATCTATTATTTTTATTAATTACTAGCGACTCACCCTTGCTTCGTTCGGGTTCGTCCATAGCTTGATTCCCCATACAAACTTTCATCCCCATTCTCACCCCTTTAAGGGATGATTTCCGGGATAAAAAATATCCTATGTCCTTTCCAGGATCTCACACTATCTTAACAAATTTCATCTAAATCGGTTCAGTAGATCCAGAGATTACCCCCTACAAGGTCACAAACTCACAATCTCACAAACTTTACCTCTTTATAATATTAGTATAGATTATGTAACATTAAGTGTTTTTAAACTAAGAAGATAATTTCTACTTCTTATTTATATCATTATGTGTTGAAGAGTGTATAGATCTTATCTAGATGAATAAAAGATGTATGTAACACAATTTGCTAATGAGCTAGTTACTAATTTTTCAGCAAAGCATTTTAAATTATATTTATAACGGTCTCATTTAATGGATTACAAAATATTTTAACTGGCGACTTTATTATATTTATTCAAAGTTAACATTTTTTGTTTCAGAAAAAGAAAACTAAAGAAACAGACAAACCCAGTACCAGTAAAGCGGGTAAAGGAAAACAAAGTGCCACCAGCCCTAGTAAAGTGAAGGGGAAACAAAGTACTTCTAAAGATAAAAAGAAAAAATAATACAGTATTACACATTACAGATGTTTTAAGTTGCCAATCTTGTTCTTATTTTGTATACAATAAACATATTGAAGTATATTTATAGTTTTTTTTACTTATATTTATTAATGCATTGTATGGAATAGAATGCTGGGAAGATACAGATAAAAGAAAGTTAGAGGATACATAATATGGCAGACTAGCGACTCACCCTTACTTCAATCAGGTTTGTCCCTAAATATGTTTAATAGATAGACTAAATAATATATGATATTTAGCCTATAACCTTCCTCAATAAAAGTGCTATCTAATGCAAAAAGAATTATTCAAATTGGATCAGTGGTTCCTGAGATTAGTGCATTCAAACAAACAAATTCTGCCTCTTTATAATATTAGTATAGATAGGCAAATATTGAAATGGATGTAGTAATAATTCCACAATTACTATGAGGTAAAAAATTAGGAATGAGAATATTATAGTAAGTTTGAAATTAGCCCCAGTGACAGAGAAGCTGAGGATCTATAATAGGTTAGCCTAGTATGGGGATATTGTGAAGAGGGAAGAAAGTCATATATGCAAAAGGTTAATAGATATGAATGTGGATGGATCTAAAAGTTGAGGTAAACTGTGGAAGGTATGGATAGATTGTGTGAGAAAGGCTGAGATGACAGCTCAAAGATGGAAGTGGAGTATGGATAGATTGTTTGAGAAACATTTTGATATCTGTTGAAACTTGGTTCAGGTTTTAGGATTACTTTTGTGTTTATAATGTAATTATTTATTGTACTGTTTGTTTTCCTTGAAAAGGTAATAAATAAATAAAAGGTGTGTGTGCTGAGATGACGGCTGAAAGATGAAAGTAGTGAAAAGAACATAGCATCTAATAAGGACAAGGCAAAGAGAGTAAAACTTAATACAAGCGACTCACCATCGCTCCGCTCAGGTTTGTCCCTACTTATGTTTTAACGGTTAGTATAGATTTCTTAGATGACTCAGAAGAGATATTTTCCTGCAGTAAAAAGTATCCTATATGTTGACCCAAATAACCAGCTATCATCCAACCAAATTTTATCAAAATCCCCCTAGTGATTTTTGTGATGTGGTAACACACACACAGACAAAAATTCTAAAAACTATAGAATCGGCCTCTGTATCGATAATAATGTTTATTTCAATAAGATATTCCAAAAAATATTTAATGTACAGATTTGGCTTAGTTACAATTTTAATATGTGTATAAATTTACTTAACTATTGGTATTAATTAAATAAAAAAATGTAATATGTAGCTTAATATAACAGGCACAGGCAGCTATTTTGAAATCACATAGTATATAATTTCATAAATATAATTTTATTTAGGAAAGGTAAAATTACATTAGGAAAATTGGCCAATGTGAAAAGATTTATTTTCTAATTTCAGTTTCATGGGTAATTACAAATTTAAAACAATGTTAATAGAATAATAATAAATAGGTAATAAACAATAACAAAAATTACTGATAGTACTGTTTTATTATTACATAATTGCAACTAGATATTCACAAAACTTAATAGTTCACTTCAGTTCTAATCCTTTCTAATTTTAGACACTCTAGGGTCATCGGGCCTCATTATAACGTAAGTTTTCTTGTACCTTCGGTTGTCACCATCGTTTTTATAGTAATTATAACATGCAATTCCACCCAATGCGCACCCAACAATAGCGAGACCAGTACTAGCTATAACTTCAGGAATCTCGGCCCACCCTTGCTTCAATAACTGGCCAATTGTTCGTCTAGCTACCGGGACAGCCATTTGTGCTTATTTTCTACGTTATTAATAATAAGTCTGGGAAATTACGTCTTCAAGTTCCATAAAATGAGAATTGTGATCATGAATGACAAATAAAAATTGATTGACATTTGACAAATTTGTCAATGTCATATTCGGTTATTTAGCTCCTGTTTAGAAACATATGCTATTTGTAACTATTTTTCTATTATATACTTACATATTCCTAGCAATTTGTACATTAATAGATATTAGTACCAACAATTAGATTCTAATATTATTTACACTTTTATCATATAATATAATATAATGTTTTTAATTAAAATAATAATTGTAATTAAATGTACCTGTAAAAGCTTAGTTTCAAATTAAGAAACATATATATTGACATTAGGTTTCTATGTCAAAAACTATACAATAAAAATTGTATATTTTCAATAACAAATAATATTAGTAAGCTTTTTATCATAGAATGCCAGAACCAAAACATATTGGTCACCAGGTCAAATTTGAAAATACACTTTTTGGCCTTTTTAAAAAGGCATGGTGGGAAATTCCAGAGATCATGGCATCGTCATGTTTAGCTATAGCAGGAGTAGTAATGGGATGTATCGCTGTTAATAATTATATTAAAAATGACGGAGATAACCGAGAATTCAAGAAAATATTTATGATTATGCGCCCTGAAGACCCAAGAGTCCCTCGTCTTAAAAACCCAGTGTTTACTGAATACAAAGGATAACACATTTATCTGTATTAATTAAATTTATGGATAAAATTTGTTTTTATTTACATTAATATTCATATTCTTTCTTTTAAATTTGTTTAGGACCTCAAAGGACTAAAGTATATTTCACATATCGAAGAGGATGTAAAAACACAGCAGAGTTCCTGCTTTTGATAATAGGATAGGAAAAAAATAGATTTATAAATGTCTGGTTGTCAGCTTCGACTAAATAAAAAATACCTTTTAGGTTTTTATTTAGCTAAAATTTCGAACTAGTTATTTGGTCGAAGTTTTGGGTAAAAAATCTGTGTTACGGAGCACCAGGTCAGCTCAGCCTCAAAATATTTGAGTAAGCTACTAACAGATAGTATTATGTGTGCATGTTTATTGATTTAAATTATTTAGGAACAGTCATTCTTGTAACTTGTAAATATATTGTGGCAAAGGACCAAAATTACGAAAAAATTACAGATAAAAGATGGCAGCAAAAGTGCAAGGGATTAAATTTTAGAAGTTATTTAAGAGTAGAAGCTAAGTTAGTAGCTAATCAAAATATTTGTATTTATCATAAAGTTTATGGATAATTTTTGTTTCTTCGGCTTGTGACAATCAGTAGAATTGCACACGTTGCTATAGTATGCAAATAGCCCACCGCACCTTAATCTGACGCGCTCAAATATTTCTAACTTAACTTTCTAACTTAAATATTTTTTAAACATTTTGATCTGTTACGCTGGACGCGCGACACCTTTTACAGAGGACTTATATATGGTGGAAGTACTCAACAGAGTGCCAGGTATCCCCTCTTATGTTAATCTGCTGCACTATTTGAGTAAATCCCAAAATCCTCTCTTGCAGATTAATTATAAGATTTACCATGGACGTACCGTTTATAAATGGAAGGTATGTCCATGGATTCTACGTAGAATCAGTTTGATAGATGACATTTGACACTGACAGAAGTCAGAAACATTGACGTGTTTGACATTGTCGAGCGAAAGGTCATCGACTCACCGCCTGAAACTTGCGAATTTTAAACATTTTTTATTCACCACTATCTCATTTAGTTACATCACAGTCTGATCAAGAGCTGTAATTATTACATTATAATAATCTTTGTTAGACGGTTGTGTTACGTTTTTTAGTTATAAAAAAAAATGGGTTCGCGTTTTCAAGTCGTGGAACAAGGTCCACCTATTGAAGTTTTCCAACTCAACAAACTTTTTACCGAAGATTCTTTTAAAAATAAAGTAAATCTCGGTGTAGGAGGTAATTTGTTTTTTCTCTTTAACTTTAGCTGGATGTTTTTCTTTTAATTTTATAGTTTTGTATAGAACTACAAACATCAAAATAGACCGGCAAATAAAAATATAAAAGTATTTTTTACTTACGTTTTTAATAAAATATTTTTGTTCATAAAATAGCTTAGAACAGCTGCTTGAAAGTTCAAACTATAAAGAAAAAACTTATTTTATTACATTTATTTTTTTAAAGCTTCTGGGGCTTAAATAAAAAAAATATGATTATTGTGTGCCTCCTTCAATACTTCTTTGCAATTCGATATCAATTCTAAGTTTTTACATTTGATAATTAGTGTTTTATAAAAGATGTCTTTAATATATCTGCTTAATTTTTTTAAGGACAAATATTGCATTAAAAAGTCAATAGTACATTAATTTTGGTCATGTATGCTTTGAACACTGCTAAGATTTTTTTAGTCTTAAAGTTAATTCTTCACAGCCTATAGAGATGAGAATGGCAAGCCTTGGGTTTTGCCTGTTGTGCAGAAAATGGAAAAGCAGATGGCTGCCGATGCAACCTTGCTTCATGAGTACCTGCCAGTTCTTGGTGAGTTTCTTACAATGTGATTAATCTCTTATAATTATTAATAATAGTCCGGTCAATATAGACATTTCAAGAATAAATTGCCAAAAATCCCAATCAATCCTATGTGTGCTAAAAGTTATTCAAGGTCAAAGTTTTCGGTTTTTTGGATTTTTCTCGAAAACGGTAAGTTTTATCAAAAACATAGACTAGACAAAAATTATAGATCATAAAATTGTCTACCAAAATGGTACTAATACTTTTTTCCTTACAATCACCATTCCTAAGGTATCACAATTCTAAAAGTTACCAGGGAAACCATGTTAAAAAAAAAACGCCAAGTATGCTACCTCACAGGTGGTGTGGAAATGTGTGCATATCATGTAGAATATAACACCTTGAACTTGTAGATATCGCGATATCTTAGGAATGATGATTGTTATAAAAAAAGTGTTAGGACCATTTTTGTAGATAATTTTATGATCTATAATTTTTGTCTAGTCTATGTTTTTGATAATTTTTGCCTGGGCTATTTTTTTGATAAAACTTACAGTTTTCAAGAAAGAACCAAAAGACAGAACATTTTAACATTTAACAACTTTTTTAGCACTGACTATAAGTAATAAATGGTATTAGAAGTGGATGATATCTTTAATATTATAAAAGAAGCTTGTGTTTTTTTACAGTGTTGCAGAATTTTCTTACTTAACTCATATTTATATCAAAAAAATGTAAAGTGTACAGTGACTCACTAGTGGTTTGTTTTTGGATTTTTATAGTCTGCATGTAAACTTCAACAGTAATTACTTAGGTACCTCAAATATCAAATATTGCACCCAGAACTGTTCAAAATGAATTGTTTGAATGTCTTATGAATTTATACAAATATTATATATAATTTTGTTTGTACAAATCAAGAAAACATTATCAAAAAATAAATGTACACTTAACATTTTATATAGTACTAGCATTGCCCGCGGCTACGCCCGCGCTCAAGTGACCAAAAACCAAATTCTTAGGTTTTATATATTAGTATACTGTTACAATGCAGTTTTTGTATTTTTTCTCAGAAATGAGATATTTTCCCGTGGTAAAAAGTGCCCTATATGTTGACCCGGAATACCAGCTATCATCATACCAAATTTCATCAAAATCTGTCCAGTGGATTTCTCGTGATGCGGTAACAGACAGCCAGACAGACAGACAAAAATTCTAAAAACTATACATTCGGACTCTATATCGATAATAATGTCTGTTTCAATTAGATTTTCCAAAAAATATTTCATGTACAGATTCGACTTAGTTACAATTTTATTATATGTATAGACTAGCGACTCACCCTCGCTTCGCTCGGGTTCGTCCCTAGCTTGCTTCCCAATACAAAATTTCATCCCCATTTTAACCCCTGTAAGGGATGATTTCTGAGATAAAAAGTATTCTATGTCCTTCCCAGGGTCTCCAACTATCTTTTTTGCAAATTTCATCTAAATCGGTTATGTAGATCCAGAGATTACCCCCTACAACGTCACAATCTCACAAACTTTACCTCTTTATAATATTAGTATAGATTCATAGAATAGATATAGGTATTTCTTCTACTGAATATATTAATGTTAATTATATCCTAGCAAACCTCATAGGATAATATCATCTGTGTGTTTTTAATTCTTGCCTACATGTAAACATTAAAATACGATTATTGTATGACGATTACTAGACGTAATATTAGCGTATGATTTCTTGCCTCAAAACAAGTGAGAAACTCCTCCAGATCACCAAAGGTCATTTCACTTAAAAATATGTTAAGCAAAAATAACATACAAATTTTATTAAACTCGTTGAAAATTTAAGGCACTACATACGAGATAACGACTTGAGCACGTTACCACGGTAATGTTGTTATATGTAACATTACGTCACAGCCGTGTGCTTGTACAATGTACAGTGTGCAAAAAATATACACTACGTAATGTTTTTAGCTAATATTTTTAGACTTTTATCTCTATTTATTGGATATTTACATAACCTTACATTACGAATGACAACATAATACATAGCAGTTGTTGTTTATTATTAATTTATTTACGTAATTCTTAAATGTGCTAAAATCCGATAAGTGCGAGTTTGACTCGCACATCCAGGGTTCCATAGCATGAAACATTTAATTTTACAAATTTATTTACAAATTGTTGAGTTTTAATATACTAGGTAATTTGTTTTGTTTAACAGAAAAATAAAATATTTAGTCATCTACGATATTCATTTTATTGACGGCATAAATAAGTTAATTTTACGACAGAACTAGAAACGCATAAATGTACATATTATATAAATATGCCAAAAAAACTACTCCAACATATTTTTTTTAAAATATATGGATTGCCTTACCTATTTTTTTATTTTCTAAACTAATAATATTATAGAGGCAGTGTTTGTTTTTTTGAACGCGCTAGTCTCAGGAAGTATATTCCGATTGGAAAAATTCCTTTTGCATTAGATAGCCCGTTTATTGAAGAAGGCTATATATATCTATCTATTCCATACTAACCATTAAAACGTACCTAGGAACGAACCCGAGCGAAGCGAGGGTGAGTCGCTATGTTTGTGATATGACTATAGAATTTTCTAGGATTCAAATGAACTTCTTATCTATGAGATTAAAGTAATTTAGCTCCTAATTATTGCTAAGATGTTTTTGCAGTTTGATAAGGGAAAGGTTAGATATGTTATGTATAAATTGGGTCAACATCCATTTGAAATGCCACAGTAAATTTACATTTGTGACGTCAATACATCAATTTTCTAAAATTATATTAAATGAAAATAATATTTTATTTATCCCATTTAATAATAATTCTAAATAAAATTTGACGACACGTTTAGCTCAGATTGTAGTGACCCTACTTTCTGTGCCAGCGGTCGCGGATTCGAGTTCAGCTAGGGGCATTCATTTGTGTGATGAGCACGAATGCTTATACTCCAGTCATGGGTGTTTATATTTATAATATTTATGTTCTTAACCTTATGATGATGTTCTCCTGACCGATTCCGGCCACGGCGGCCAATCTCATTGAGACTAGCCAACTGCGCAGGAGATATTATAGTGCACAAGTGTACGCGCAGACACAAGTGCACTCTCTATTCCTGTCACTCTCATACTCTGGTGGGACGACCACTCGACACGACCAATGAGAGTTAATGGGCAGAACCGACGGCTTTACGTGCTCTCCGAGGCACGGGGGTGAAACACCGCCAACTTCCCAACTCCGGGTTGTTACTGAGGCTTACTATACAGAAAGACTCAATAACTAAACTTGGCCCGACCTGGGAGTCGAACCCAGGACCTCCGGGTGTGCAGCCGTACATGCTAGCCACTACACCACCGAGGCAGTTAAACCTTATACATATGTAGTGTACCAACTATCTGGTATCCATATCACAAGCCTCGAAGCTTACCATGGAACTAAATGGTGCTGTGTGTTAATGTCCCAACATATTTATTTATGCATTTAAACCAGAACAGAACGGATTCAAGCAGCCATAAAAAATACGACTATCTGACCTATATGTGACCAGGCAAATTCCTGGCTGCAATCATCAGATCAACTCAATGACATTATTGTATTGTCACTTGTACGTTATCTACAAACGTATAAAGATTTAAACGATTCCACAATAAGAAAAATGCTTCCAATATTTTATTTCACTATAAGTAGTCTGATAGAAATGAAGCTAAATAAATAAGGCATGTTAAAAATATTTAACAAAAATATTCATGTCTGTTTGCAACCGGTTACAGCTCGTTGAGTTCAATTTATTATATTTTTAGTGTCAATTGTTAAACAATGGAGGGAGCTTGAATGGTCACGCCGGATGGTTACTTCATAATATATATATCTATCTTGTTTTTTATCATTTGTGGTATTTCGTTGATCGAACTCGTTAAAGTAATAAACTACGAGTTTCAGTAGCTCTTTTTCCAAGATTTTTGCAAAACATTTTTAATGCGAACTGTTACTCGTATCAGAACGAAGGCTATGGGATATATGATTTTGTTTACAGAAGATACTACATACGATTAAGAAGGATTCAAGCTATAGAGCTGGTGTTCACTGACGTTTTAATTGACTGTTATATAATAGCCGCACCTCGTTAAGTTATACGTACATATATTTTTCGGAATTAGATAGATACCTAAATGTTCGCTATTTACGCCCACGTTAAAAATTCACACGTTTATTTTATTTTAATGTGAATCTTTATCTATATATGTGTTTATATGGGTTTCGTACATTCGAAGGAAAAAACTTAACATTCTATCACTGTCTTCAAGTTACCATAATATATGGTCTCACTAGCGACTCACCCTTGCTCTCGGGCTCGTGCCTGGCTGCGTTTTAACGGTTAATATGGAATAGATATTCGACCCCTTGCTCTGTGATTAACAAAAACAAATCTATCCCACAGGAACGGTACATTTTTCGGGACAAATTGTAACCTATGTGCTATTCCAGACTATAATCTATCTCTGTGCCAAACATCCAGATCAGTTCAACCGATCTGGCGTGATTGAGTAACAAACGTCCATTCATCCAAACTTTCGCATTTATTATATTAATAGAATACAAGTCTCCACTAAATATATACCTAATGCACATGAGCCATTTTTTTTTCTAAAAGTAATATATGTGTGTAGATGCGCTTTTGTTTATTTATCTCTGTTTCTTTTTTAAGATGTGCTATTATTTTATTAACATATAAAATAAATAAGAACGATAAGTAGCAACATTGTATGTGCTAATTATAGCAGTTACAGATTTAACTCGGTCATTATGCGATTGCAAGAATATCATTCACTGAAATAGCTCATCGTTGTTTATTTTCTTCAACACTCTTTTTTAGAACAACAGTTTAGAACTAAATATAAATAAAACGTATACATTTTCATTTCGACTTGACTTTGCATTATTCTAAACTATATACTAAAGATTTCTGATACCTTTATAATAGTTTTAATTAAGTTTTCTATCGGTATTGGGCAATATCGATAGATAAAGACGAATTTTTAGATAACGTAGCAACCAGATAAAATATGAGAATTACTACTAATAAAGAAAAATAATGTTTTTTTCTAATATGATAGAACTCTTGCGTTTGACTTGAATGCCAATTTAGAATCTAGGCAGGTTATTTATGTACGTACGCGGAATCGGATCTCTCGCAGTCTGGCATTATAGATACTAGGCAGTATCCCACTATGTCCCACAGAGAGACGGTAATAGATACTATATAATGGTCATAGCGTTTGTATTTTCATGAGTTATGCTTTAAAAAATATAGAAAAGCTAGCCGAACCCGCGGCTTCGCTCGCGCTAAAACTACAAAAAACAACTCTAAATTGGTAGGTTTCATACAAACATTCATCCGCTATTTTACCCTCTTATGGTATGAATTTCAAAAAATGCTAAAGCACGTATTTAATTAATTGTATTAAAAAGCATTTATACCAAGTTTCAAGTAATTCTGATCATAAATATTTTTTTTGGATTCTATTATAACGTGTTTTCCTGTGGGACTCATTCCCATAATCTCCCGCAGTAAAAATTAGCCTATGTCACTTTCTAGCCCTCCAACTATCTCCACATGAAAAATCACGCCATTCCGCCAAGCCGTTTGGACGTGAAAGAAAGACAAACAAACACACCTTCACATTTATAATATTAGTATGGATATGGATGTGAAGAAAGATATTATAACTTTATTTATACACATATTATATCGTGCCTATTACTGGTTGATATTCCTTTATTGTAAATTGTAATTGATACATTATTTTACTCATTTATCTTCAACTCACTGCATTGTTATCTATCGAAAGCGTAAATTTCATAATTTTTATTATATCGAGCCATTTTCCACGGCTTCTGTCGCCTGTTCTTGATTTCTCTTTTATATTATTTACATAAATACTTCGTTAATGAAATAAATGATAACAACAAAAATTATAATACTTTCCATTTCTTATCATGCTATTTGTTTTCTGGGATAGAATACTCTAATGTAAATAATAGGGTGGCCCAAAAAATTATTTTTATTTTCTTTTCGAGTCTCTTACGAAAATATGTTAGTTTATCACGTTTTAAGATCCCCCTTTAAAGCCTAGTTCAAAAATTATTTTTTAAAAAGTTTCAAAATCGTTGAAAATCTATTGTTTTTTATTGATTTTATTTATTGTTTTTCATTATTTCACTATTTTCTACTATATAAATGATTCGGATTCTGAAATTTTCAAGTCGATATTATTTAAATTTTAAAAATAATTAAGGGACCTCTTAAATTTTTTTTGAACTGCGCTTTGGATGGGGCTGTTAAAACATAATAATCATATTTTTGTAAGAGACTCGAAAAAAACTTGTTTTTTGGGCCATCCTAATGTATCTCTACATTAGATACGTCAAAAAGATTATTGACTGATTTGATTTTGAAAATATTGTTAAATGTATTAATATGTATTTATATAGAGAATGCATATGTATATGTTAGAGAATGAATACATAGCGAATGCGAAGCGTTTTTACATTTAAAATTATGTATATAAATGAGAATCTTATACTAAGCAACAGGTGCAGGTTTATTTTATATTTTCTTATCTTAGAGTGTCTTATCTCTATAGAAATTTTTTATAGCTACTATGATAATTGTATAGATAATTTATTTAAAAACAAATCCTACTTGGATATCTAATGATGTAAAAATATGAAAAATATATCTATAAACAGCATTTTTTCAATAAAAATATGTGAATAATATTATGTAAAGGCTGTAATGTATTTGTAATAATAAAATACTATTTCTTTATGCAGGCTTAGAACAGTTCAGCAAAGCATCGGTGTCGATGCTCCTTGGAGAAGACAACCCTGTGATAGCCGCTGGACGTGTAAGTTTTCTTAATTGCGTACATTTAAGCTAAAAATTAAACAAAACTAATTGTTACATAAAACGAAACTACGTTTAGGTATGCACATTTCTCGACATAAATAGTCCTGTCAAATAAAGTCTGAAATCAAAACTTTGGTACTTAACTTTGCATTTTTGATATAATACAGTTTTAATGATACAAAACCAATTAACCGTTAAGATTTTCGTGTTTCCAACCTCCGGCAAGTATTGAAAAAAATTTGTTAAAAGTGTTTTTTCGCAATTACTCGAAAACGGTAAAAATTAGACAAAAAGTTTTAATAAAAATGTGTAGAGCTTAAATTTTACATAAAAAAGGTTTCATGACTTTTTTCTCCCGTGAAAATTAACCGAGTTAGGGAGCTTTTAAGTTTAAGGGATGAACGTAAATTTTAAATAATCTTAGTAGCAAAATAAGCGATTTTTTTAAATTGCTCAAAAAATCTAATCTTTAATTTTAGAGGTACATATTTTTTCGCGTAAGAAAACCGCATGAACATAAGACTAATCTAGATCGATTATTGCCCTCCGAAAACCCCCACATACCAAATTTTAGCAAAATCGTCAGAGCCGTTTCCGAGATCGCCGGTATGAATAAATATACCTACAAGAATTGCTCGTTTAAAGGTATTCGATGTATACTATACTTATACATTCTAAATATGTTTACTTAGGCCTTCGGTGTTCAAACATTATCAGGCACAGGGGGCCTACGCGTTGGCGCCGAGTTACTCAACAAACACCTCAAGTATACGACTTTCTACTACTCTAGTCCTACGTGGGGTAAGTTTTTTTTAATTTTACAGGATAATTTTTAGTATTGTTTTTAAATATTTTAACTCCTTTTTTTTTAACGTTGGGAAATGCATTTACGCACGAGGTGTGGGACTCACCGGCAAAGCCAGTACTACCCACTAAAACCCAATAAAGCCTTCCCCCGTCTTAATGGGGCGTCGTAGGATCGCTTACGCATTCAACTACGACGCCCCGACGTTAGGTCTGCCGAAGCAGACCACCACAACCATGGGGTTGCTCCAAGGTCCACTTTGCTGTCAGAGAAGTACCAGGAGCAACCCGCATGGTACACCGCCCTCTGAAGAGGGCCACCTCCCACCGCCCACCGAAGTGGGCCACCTCCCTGTGCGTTTCTTGGCTTCGCGCCCGGTTGGGTTGCCGGGCACTACTGAGCCCCCCCACCACGAAAATATTTTAACTCCTAACTCATTCTTGGGAATGGCGTTTATTTGTTGAAATTTACCTACAAGGGACGTTTCTTGAAGTATATTTTTATATTATAATATACATTATATTATTAAAAAAAAGAAATATGAGAATCATTTCTCAATTGGAGTACATAATATTGTGTAACTAGTGACTCACAATGTACAGATTTGACTCAGTTAGAATTTTATTATACATATGTATAGATGTTATATATATTTCTAGAAAACCACCATCTTGTATTCGTCAATTCCGGTTTCACACAACCCCGTACATACCGTTACTGGGACGCGAAGAGTCGTGCCATCGACTTTGCGGGCATGATCGAGGACTTGAAGAATGCGCCAGAGAACTCAGTGATTATATTACACGCATGTGCCCACAATCCCACGGGAATCGATCCCACTCAGGAGCAATGGGAGAAGATCGCGGATGTTATGGAGGTATGTATGGACTGCGGTGTTTTGGTTTTGTATGTTTTCGTTGGTAAATGCATCTCTTGAGAACGACTGTTAGTAACTATTTCGCTTTTTTTTCATTTTAGTACAAATTTGGAGAATGTATCCGAAAAATTCAGAAAATGGAAAATAGCTAGTAGTGATATTTCTAAGATTTAAAAAATCACAACGAAATTCTCGATAGAACAATGCCTGACGGGTCAAGATAGTCTACATATCTCTAATACGATTTTCGCTCAAATCTGTTGAGGCGCTGCAATCTAAAGAAGTAACAAATATACGTTCACAAAGAATTCATTTAAAATATTTGTGAGATTGATTATAAAATTATTTGCTTCTGTTCTAATCAAACATAAGTCAAGACATATGGGGTTCAATATATTGTAGTAAAAATAGCTTCTATATTATGCTATTTACTGTCCCTCTATCAGCCAGTGCAAGTCTCGTTAAATTCGTTTTAGCCATGTATTCAGAGGTACAGAGAGACAAAAAATTCTGTAAATTGGTTGTTGGGGCTTTAGTATATATTATTATATATGAGTTCAAAATGTTGTATCTATTTGGACTGACATAGAAATATTTTGTGAAAGAACGCATGACAACAAAATTGTTCTGAAAATCTATATATTACGCTCACCAGCTTGCATTATTTTTAAATAAATGGAATGCATTTGGGATTTTTGCCAAAATGCAACTCGTGAACATGATCGTAGAACAATTTTAGTGATATTTAAATATGATCTGTATTATTGTATTAAAATTTTTAGAAGTCATAAGTAGCTATCATTTTTTTAAATAGGGTTATCTACATACACAATTCCTTGGCTCACTATTACAAGGTTCTATGTTAATTTTAATAAAGTTTAGTAATTTTTACATAGAACTTCGTTATTTTGTTATGGTAAAAAAAACAACATAGAACTATGTAAAATTGAATATTTTGTAGTTAAAGTGCCGCTATCTAGTGGTTTGTTTTTGCAAAACGGTAGCTAATGACACATAAAACCTTGTAGCATTAATAACTAAATAAGTACTAAAATTGTAACATAGAACCTTGTAATTGTGAGCCAACGTATTATGTCATGCTTGTTTAAAGAATGGATTAAATTCTTTATAAACTAAGTTAAGTAACTCTGTTAAGTTTAGATAAATCCTCGTTGTATTAGTGAAAACCGTATTAAAATCCATACAGTGCAAACTCAGTGCGGTGGATGACTTCAATTTATTATTTTAGAAGTTTCATTCTCCAAACAAGGGGGCATACCAAGTACGTTATCTAAGTATTGTACTCGGTCTTTTCACTACAACCCCGAATAGGGAAGTGAAGATATTTATTTTATTTATTTATTAGGTTTATTTACAATAACTTACAATAATACACACAAATATAAAAAATAGAACTAAAAACTAGGAACTAAATATAGTGATTACTTACAAATAAATACAGCATGCACAGAAATAAGTTTCTTAAACTATTATACAAAAAATATTTTAGATGTAAACAGTTTTTATTAAATTTGTCAATGAGTAGGTACAGTCACATTAATTTAACAATTATAACATTATATAAGACTATCAAAGCATTTCTTTAGCAATTTCGTGCAAATGGTTTTTGGGAACTTGACTATATAAGAATTTAAGAGTGTTACATAACCATGGGACTGGGGAATTGGCACCTGGGATCGTTTGGGGAAGTGGAGGACAAAGTGGAGTAATAGGCTTACGTGGAATTCTTACCGGAATTCTTAGGCTAAATTTATTTAACAATTTGGGACAGTCAATAAAGCCGTTCAGTACTTTATGAGTTAACAAGAGATCCAGAAGTTCCCGACGTTCATACAATGCGGTCATTCCGAAGAAGGCCAACCATATGGCATCAGGGCCTTGTTCTCTGGCTATGATATTATTCGCTGGGGAGACTTCATTGAGGCCTGAGTGTGGTGTCTGATAAATAAAATGAATATGTTGGGACAATAACACACAGCAACATCTAGTTCCATGATAAGCTACGAGGTGTGCGTTATGAATACCAGATAGTTGATACACTACACATATACAACTTTAAATAAGTACATATTATAAATACGAGTATAAACACCCATGGCTGTAGTACAAACATTCGTGCTCATCACACAAATGAATGCCCCCAGCGGGACTCGAACCCGCGACCGCTGGCACCGCAAGTAGGGTCACTACAAACTGTGCCAAAAGTATCGTCAAATGATGAAAAATTTGGAGAAATTGATAATTTTTATTTTTTAAACTACATTTTTTTCAATTATCATTGAAGAAGTGTACTTTATTGACCAAATTTTTATAAATTGATTACACCAATATATTTTTTGGAAAAAACGAAAAAGATCGTATCCTTAAGTTTTTAATTTGATGCTTAAACGGTGTGTTGTGAGAATGAAGACCTAAGTGTTGTATGTGCAGGAGCGCAAGCTGTTCCCGTTCTTCGACAGCGCGTACCAAGGGTTCGCGTCGGGCGACCTCGACCGCGACGCGTGGGCCGTGCGCTACTTCGTGCAGCGCGGCTTCGAGCTCGTCTGCGCTCAGTCCTACGCTAAGAACTTTGGATTGTACAGTGAGTTCACTTTTTTAAGTAATTTTAGGTACATTTCTTACAATAATATTAGCTAAGTAATAGCTTACTTAAAATGGTTTCGTTTATATTGGTCATGTGTCGTATTTATGGTTTTATTTACGGCTATTATAAATATGTCCACCATGTTCGATGTCTGGGCGAATGTTTAACGAGATCGGAGCTAAGTGACTTCAGCTAACCCAAAGCCAAAGTGTAAAAACGCACACGGCTATAGAACCTACAAATTACAAAATTTACCTAATATTAGCGTGCTGAGCGCATCATTTTTTTTAACATGTTATGTTTTTAATGTGTTTAATTGGACGTAGTTATGCAAAATACCTAGATTCAACCACAAAAACTTACATTTGAGAAAATAGAAGTTTTGGTAATATTGGTACATCAAATAACAAGATCGTAGTTTTTTTGAAGTTCTCTGAAATATTGGGTATTTATCTACTTTCTGTATATAAGTCGACACGTAGGTGTAATTTGTGACAGTAACTCAAAAAACTGTTTTCGTGGGCTGGATCCATTTTGCATAATTACGTCCAATTGGTCTGAATCTTAGCGTGATTTTATACATACATAACGCCATCTATTGACATTGATCGGAACGTCGTCGTCCCACAGACGAGCGCGTCGGCAACCTGGCGGTGGTGGTGTCGGACGCGTCGCTCGTGCCGGCGCTGAAGTCGCAGCTGACGTGGATCGTGCGCGGCATGTACTCCAACCCGCCGGCGCACGGCGCGCGCGTCGTCGCCAACGTGCTCGCCGACGGGAAGCTGTTCGATGAGTGGTGGGTGATGGCTATTTTAGCTTAGACCAGATTATACCTCTGATAAGGTGGAGTGAAAAAAAAATTTCTTTTCTTAGCTTTTGGGACTAGGATTTGTAGTTTGTAATTTTTCAAAAAAAAAAAATATTACTTAATATTTTGAGATGGTCCACTGATTTTTAATTTCACTATTTTAAATTCTTTTTTTTTAATGAATTTTTTTTTCTCTTGTGATCACCTTTGAAAACGTTCAAGAATTGACTAATATAGTCATTTTTACTCAACTTTCACTATATATATTTTTTAATTGCAATAATGCAATATTACAATCCACCCACCCGATATGGAAAGTATTTAAACATTCCTTTCGAATTCTATGTGGGTTCTTGATTAAATCTCTAAGGATTTAGGCTTCGACTTACGTATCCCGTGAGCGGAGCCGCGAGCAAAAATTAATAATAATTGGTTTTCCAAATGAGCACTAAAACCCAACCCAAACAAACCAACATTCTTTTTATTTATATCTAGTCATAACTTATAAGGAATTAGTAGTGTTATGTACATATTTATGGATATTTAGTTTACTAAAAGTTTTTTTTTCGCAGGAGAGATCACATCAAAATGATGTCTTCCAGAGTCATTCAAATGAGAGAAGCTTTAAGAGCTGAACTTATGAAGTAAGCATTGTTTTATTTTATGGAATAAAGTATATTCTCATAACTTGAAATAACAGTTAACATTTAAATTTTTACGTAAAATTTCATAGTTTTGAAGTCGGTGTACCTTGTCAATCAGAAACTTAGAAGATAAAATTTAATTAATGTCTTAAAACGTTCAATGTTCCAGGTTCGAACAACATTTTTAGTAAGGAAATAATAAAATTTTAAATTAATAATTTTTCACAGATTGGGAACCCCTGGCAACTGGGACCACATTGTGAAGCAAATTGGTCTCTTCTCATACACGGGCTTGAACGAAAAACAATCGGAATATCTCATAAACCAACACCACATATACTTACTCCGGTCCGGTAGAATCAATATCTGCGGCCTGAATCCAAACAACGTGGCGTACGTAGCGAATGCTATTCACGACGCAATCACAAAGTTCCCGGATAATGAGTAATTGGCTTTATTTTTTATTTTTTTTTAATTTTTTAAGGGGGTTGTGTAAGCGATTTTTTTTGGATACATATAGTATATAGTCTGTGGACTCAAGATGTATTTTTTATTTTTAATATTAGTATTGTGCGCGATAAAAAATTTGTATGCATTGATATAGAAAATTGTGTGCACTATTTTAAATATATATTTTGAGATTTTTATTGTATTTAATAAACTTCAACTATTTTAATCTGTGAGTAATTGTATGCAATTTTATAGTCTATAAGGGATGTTTATTATACAACAATTCGAGAACATATTAAACATTACACCTCAGTAGTATAAAATTACATTAAAAATTATAATAAATGGCAATATTGCTATATCACAAAGTAACAATAGCATTTATAATTTTATTTCATTCCTACGGCAGCTATTTTAATACTCAACATAATATGAACAACGAATATCGCATTTAAATGTCATGTATTTACAAACGATTTCACTTACACAACCTCCAATGAATTATTTAATTTACATTTATTATTATATATGTAGTGCTATTTACCACAATACACTATAATTAAACGTAACGGCTTTGAACTGGCAACACCAAATGTACTAAACAAATTCATAAATATATTTACCCATATTGGAATTAAATTATATTTTTAAATTCCAAAAAAAGATTATTTTTTCAAATGGTAACACTGCCGTTTTAGAACAAATGTGTGTTCAACCGAAACTAGGGGCCTTATTGGTCGATATGTAATCGATATTTTGGACAGCTTTTCAATCTCGCTTTACTAACAGCTCAGTATTAAGGGATTTAAAGCAAAAGTTTTGCTTATGAGACCAATAGAAGGAGATGTGATTGCCAAAAATTGTTTTTTTTGACAATATATTTAATATTAAATTTAAAATTATTGTTATAGCATTTTAATTTCTCAACATCGATTAAAAAAGTGCTACACACAGCGACAAAAAATGTCCTCACGAATGCGCGCTCATTAGAACATTTGAGCGGGCTTTTAATTTTCATTTTTTTTTGTGAAAACTACTTTAAGCATTGCAATTAAGGTTTAATTTACATTGTTATATATTTATTTCAACTAGATAATTACCTAAACACAATTGGTGACAGTTTTAAGAGAACTTTTGATTGGAATTGTGTATGTAGTATTTTTTTTTGATCGATGTTTTTAAGAACAAATATTGTAGTTTAATTCAGTTACTATTTTATATCCAAGTTATTAATATGAAAATCATATTAATCTGTAATAATATCTAATCCATAGATAATGTAGTTTTTTTAAATGTAATTTTGTCACTTTCTCTTGGTCTAATAGGTGAGTTATAGTTTCCTAGATATAATATTAGCTTCACAATTATAATAGATTATTTAATATTTTACATAGTTTATATTTATTTTGTTTTATTTAGATAATTATAAGTGATATTGCAAATATAAATCTTAGTTACATATGTTTGTTTTATTTTTTTGTCATATATTATCTATATTCTATACTAATATTATAGAGGCAGAGTTTGTTTATTTGATTTTTTGTTTGGACGCGCTCATCTCACAACTACTAATCTGATTTGAAAAGCCTTTTTGCATTATATAGATAGCCCGTTTATTGAGGAAGGCTGTAGTATATATATCATATAAAATATAGTCTATCTTTTCCATAATAATCGTTAAAACGTACCTAGGGAAGAACCCGAGCGAAGCAAGGGGAGTCGCTAGTATATATGCTATAAAGAAAATGTGATGGTAATACATTAGTTTTTTTTATATATATTTAAAAACGAGATAAAAATGCACTGATAAAATTTTAGTCCTTATAAATTATCATCGATATATTAAATATTTAGAAAAAAAAAGTATATTAACCATTTGTTCTCATAATCGTGGAATTAATACAAAAGAGAATATTTACCTCAGGGTATCTTTGTTCGCAGCGATACACGAGCCAAATTATGAGAACGTGATATGGCAACACTTAGTGGTGTTTCAGGATAATACGGTGAAGGTGAAATATAAATGTCAGTTTTTTTTACTTCAGAATAACATAAAAAATATATAAATGGTCCAAAATATTCTAAATTCAAAATAGTTAAGTCAATATTATATGTGATATAAATAAAATATAAATAATTTACTTACGACTATATATATCCAATAACAACTTGTTTTCTTTAACCCTTAAATGATTTTTAAATACATCTTTTCGGATATTTTTTTTTTAATTTTTTTTTTGGTTCCCAACGTTTAGAATGCATTGCAGCAATCATGGTCACGGGAGAGATTTAGACGTCCAAAGGTTTTATATACTTGTTACAGACAATGCCTACCCACTATTTTACAAAAATGATTACAAAAATTCAAAAATAGCACCAAAAAAGTACTTTATAATATTTGTTCTTAAAATATTTTAATAAGTATTATACATAATTAAATCATTAGATTATTAGTTGTAAAGTTTTATTTTAATTCACATTGAAAATAAAAGTCAAATTATCTACATATAATATATACTTCTATATACAATATTTAAACAACCATGTTTATGTTTCCATAGCTTCATTACTCTGTGCCGCGCCCGACGCCTGCGCCCGCGCACCGAAACGATTCATCACTGTAAAAAAAGCATCAAAATATTACAAAAACAAAAATAATTCAAACTCAAAAGAGTAGAAATTGTTGCATATTCAATTAATAAATTGAAGGCTTTATTATTATAACTGTGGATGAATGTTGGCTCAACAAATCTATTATTAAAAGAGGTAAAGGCCTTTATTTTTATGGAGATTAACTAATACATTATCCAAATATAATAAATGATTGAATTATAAGCCATCATCCTCTCCATCCACATCCATTCATTACTGCTAAAGGTCCACCATCTCGATGTAGCACTGCTCATTATCTTTTCCTGACTACGTCGGTCTTGTTTAATCCTTCTCTCGTAATACATAAAAAATACACTTAAGTACCTATGCAAAGACAGGATCCACAATCTCTATAGCATTGCATATATACAAAAAAATAACATCCTAGACACCTTTGCAAAGTCAATGATAAAGGAAAACAAACTTACTGCTAAGGTGCAGTGCAGTTACAAAAAAAATACACCCAAAGTATACCTTTGTAAAGTCGGTAAATTAATGTCAAACAAAAAAGAACCTTGTTCATTGGTAGTAAGGTCGAGCATCTCGATGTAGCACTGCTTGTTGTCGCCGCCCAGCGCGAGCGCGAGCGGCGCGTCGGGGCAGGCGGCCGCGCACAGCGCCCGCCCCACCTTGCACGTGCGCTCGCTAATCTGCAGCGGGGCCGACCTACGACCATGGTTATATATTTTTATTATAAAAAAATTCCGGACAAGTGCGAGTCGGACTCGCCCACCGAGGGTTCCGTACAAATTTGTAAATAATCTATTTAACATTAATTTTTAACTTTTTTTATTTTTTGGAGTTTTTCCTTTGTTTGTGATTTTTATACACCTAATAGGGACTATAGAACTCAGTATCTAGTATAAATTTCAACTTGCTAGGTCCACCCGTTCCTGAGAAAATCGGTTGTGACACACGGACAGACGGACAAGAGAGTGATCTTATAAGGGTTCCTTTTTTACCTATTGAGGTAGGGACCCTATAACGGGATGTTTATCACGTTTTTCATTTACTTTTCAGAGTTTCGTTTATTCGATACTGTTACGGGTATATTCTGAGATTGAAATTCTAAAATATTTTATTCGGAATTAAATTATATACTCATTAATTATTTTGTAAACTCAAAAATCTTGAGTAAAAATTAAATTATAGTCAAAGACAAGTCATAAACAATTTGCAAAAGATACAACAATTTAGCTGCTTTTTAAATGAAGCCTTCAAAAGAAAAAGCATAAATTGATTTATTATTTTGTTATGAAACTGTGTTAAAAGTAAATAATTTTTTTTATTACTTACCCAGATATATCCCAAGTTTTAAGTTTTTCATCGGAGCTGACGGTTATCATTAGTCCAGGCATGTTTTCACTTAAAATAAGACCTGAAATAAATATATTTGTATTACAATTAATTTATAAATTTAGCACATTTCCTACATTGAAAACCACCTCTACTGGAGCAATAAGATTTTCCTACTAACGATTACAATACGTCATAGTAACTACTTAACAGTAAAAAAAAAGGTATATAGACGTCTCAAAGTATATAAACCTTAGTCTCTCTCGTGACCATGATTGCTGTAAAGCATTCGAAACGTCGGGAACTAAAAATGAAAATAAATCCGCTAAATAATCCGAAAAGATAGTTTTATTTAAAATGTCAAATATTCGCGTAAATATAAAAAAAGTATTATGCGGTATAATATTCAATTGTTTATAATTGGAACCGGAATCTGAGTCGGATGTGTAAAATTCATCAAGTTTAATAACATTCCTACAAAAACCAATCGTATATAAAACAGAAAAGACTTGTTTTGCCAGCATCCTCGACAAAGAAGACCTAAAAACAAGTCCACTGCTCTTAAAGCTCCAAATAGTAACCATATCTTAACCAGAATCTTGTAAACTCCTTAATCCCCAATTTTGAACGCGATATTATAACCATTTAAAAAAAAAAGCTCATAAAAAGGCACGGACAAATATCTGTTGTGTTCGTAGACTCATTTAATAAAAATAAATATATTTAATATAGACATCACTTCACACTATACTAAAGAAAGATTTGACAACTAACTTCATACTGTAGTTTAAATCTGTCGCATCGTAAAAAAATTACTCTCATCATTTTTTTCCCTAATGTTCCAAAAGAAGTATAAATTCAAAGAAACATATAAAAAATATAATTAATAGGTATACCTGTAACTTCTTTCTCATGCGCGCTGACCGTCCACATTGGCTCGTCCTGCCTGCAGTCCACATACGCTACCTTGCCTTCGTTGTTACTCATCTGTAATATTGCATCTTTAGATTATACATTTTTACGGTGAAGGAAAACATCGTGAGAAAACCTGCATGTCTGAGAGAACCTAGCAAAACATGTAAAGTCCGCCAACCTGCGTTTAGCCAAGATGGTGGACTATGGCTTGATCACTCTCGTATTGAAAAGGGTTAAATACATACATACATTTTAGAAAATCAGACTAAACTTTTGCTTGGTAATTTCCGCAACTTCGAGACGAAAACTCGTAACAATAATATAATGGTTGAACAGTGTAGTTTCGTTTGTATGCATTCTACACACATCACACATTCGATAGTTCGTAATTTCAACTCTCTACCTACTACGGGTCATAAGATACAGCCTTCTGACAGACGGACGGACAGACGGACAGCGGAGGCTTAGTAATAGGGTTCCAATGACACTCTTCAAGTACGGAACAAAAAAAATAATTATGGTCGAAATCGACCCCTGGACGGACACAAGTGGCCATAATAACTCACAGCAAAACAGAAAGGGTTGTTAGTGTCCCACACAACCCTTTCTATCTCGGGGGGCAGCGCCCAGGCGCGGTGCGCGCGCGGGGTGCGGCAGTCCGTAACGCGCGCGCGCCCGTCGCACGCGCCCGACACCAGGGTTTGGGCTTCTAGCGGGTGGAAGGCCAGCGATTGGACCTGTTCAATCAATCAAAATATACTTTATTCAAATAGACTTTTACAAGCTCTTTTGAATCATCAATTTTACATTTTAAATTTAAATTAAATGTCAGTATAGTCAGTCCGTGAGGAATCTACCACCGGCTCGGAATGCAGTTCTGCTGAGAAGAACCGGCGAGATACCCAACAGTTGAGTTCACAACGACAATTGAAATCGGGGCTGCCAGATAACAGTCGTTAATTTACCCGACCGATAAACCTCAAAGTACCCGGTTTATCCCGCCGGCGTCAACCATGAGCAGAATACCCAAAAATAGTTTTTTTTTAAGTAATTTATTCATGTTTTATATAGAAAAAAGAAGGTACTAATGTAAGAAAAAGAAGTTCTCAAACAAACAGCTTTAAATTATTAAATCAAACATAAAAAAAAACTTAAAATATCAAATTAATCAGCTAAACTAAAATACCAGCTTTGACCCCGCTCAATGCAAATACCCGTCTAAATTACCCGCCATCAAAAATGCCCTAAAATTACCTGCTTTTCGGGTAATTTACCCGCCAATTCACAGCGCTGATTGAAATGGCATTTTTGAAGTGAAAACTTCTATAGGCAGGTTTGGATGTGGAGTAAATTCATGTAAGTCGTCATCGACATGGTCATGTGACGTGTTAATGCTTGTTAGCATCAGATGTGTAGCATCTCAGAGTGCCGATAGATGTTAAAACCAGATAAATGTGAACAGTTTTAATTTACAAATCGTAATTTAAGATCAAACGACTGATTTGAATATCCAAAAATAACAACTGTTTGTTTATAGTTTTAAGTTTTCATTTCTGTCGGCAGTCCTCATGAATGCTTTTTTTTTATACATTTTTATTAAATCAATTTATAATTTTGAGGGTAGATAGTGTCTATATAATGAAATTTAAGACGTCTAAAAACATAACAGGTATATTTACTTACTTTATCTTCAAAATAATCCAATTTAGTGTGCGGCGTGCCCTGGTCTAGGTCCCACAAGAGCACCGTGTTATCTGCAGACCCACTCGCAAGGACATGGCTGTAGCAAAAATAACTACTTGAAGAATGGCATGACAAAGAATGGAAAATTTTAGTTTTTTTTTTGTTTATGGTAGTTGCAAATACTCAACGGATGTCGCTAAAAATACGTTTGTATCTATGCCCAAAGCGAAAAGAACTGGGAATAACCATGACACACCGGTAAAGAAGGAGGATTGGCCAAAAACGTACATAGTTAAAAGTTACTGCAAACTTTGATCTCCCCAACCCCAAAACGTGCGTTCACCTTGTCGTGGTGGCGGGCTCAGTAGTGCCCGGCAATACAGCCGGGCGCGAAGCCAAGAAACGCACAGGGAGGTGGCCCACTTCGGTGGGCGGTGAGAGGTGGCCCTCTTCGGTGGGTGGTGTACCATGTGGGTTGCTCCTGGTACTTCTCTGATAGCAGAGTGGACCTTGAAGCAACCTCATGGTTGTGGTGGTCTGCTTCGGCAGACCTGCCGTCGGGGCGTCGTAGTTGAATGCGTAAGCGATCCTGCGACGCCTCATTAAGACGGGGGAAGGATTTGTTGGGTTTTAGTGGGTAGTACTGGCTTTGCCGGTGAGTCCCACACCTCGTGCGTAAATGCATTTCCCAACGTTAAAAAAAACTTTGATCACAATAAAAATATTATAACCTCTAAACTTTAAATTGCCTTTTTCTCATAATCTATTCATTATGACATTCCCTACTCCTTGCCTGTTCCCTTCACTTTTAGTTCGCGAATAATTTCTAATGTATCAACATATTCTTCTTAGTGCAGAGTGCTTATTTGTTCAAACTACCATTGAAATACATCTTTTCGGATACTATCTTTTCGGATTTTTTCGCGAATTTATTTTGATTTTTGGTTCCCGACGTTTCAAATGCTTTACAGAAGTCATGGGAGAGTCTCTCCCGTGACCATGATTGCTGTAAAGCATTCGAAAGATAGTTTTATTTAAAAAATGTATATTTAATACAAATAGAATTGACATTTAATACACATACAAAAAGTCAATAACTGTGTATTAAAAAACTCTTTCGGTAAATTGGTCGTTTGGACAAATAAGCACTGAGACGACAATATAAATATATGTAATATGTATCTTTCTTTTTCGCGTGTATTTCTATTTAATCAACGTTTAAATTAAACCAAAATATTATACGATTAAATGTAATCAGTCTTTTAATTCATTGGCTTGTAGAGGATTTCTGCTGGAAAGAGCCGATGGGAAAGTCAACAGTTGCTTTATAAAAATAATATTTGTTCACAGAAGATCATAAAATGTGAATCATCTATTCCAATATTATCAAAAGGATTTTTTTTTATTTGAGCGCGCTTTTAATCTTTTTTTTTACACCCACTTTGAGCATTGTATTTTAGGTTCAATTTACACTGTTGTATATTTTATATTCATTTCAACTAGTATAATTACCCAAACACAATTGGTGATAGTTTTAAGAGAACTTTTGCATGCGGTTGTGTATCTAGTACTTTTTTGATCGATGATCTTTATCACTATATATATGTATATAAATAAACAGACCTGAAATTTCTGTTCCATGAAAGATCTAGCACAGCATCCTTATGCCCAACTCTTTTTGTTTTCTTCTTTTTATTCGGCTTCTTACCGAGTTTGAAAGCTGGCTCGAGGCAATTTTCAATATCCAAGTCCCAAACTTGTATAACTGGATCCATACCACCTAGAGCACAGAGGTTACCTGAAAGGAAAACGAACTTTAAAAGACAGAACATGTCTACTATGTCTAAATTGTACTGCTGTAGAGTTGTGGTCACAGGTTCTATTCCCAACAACTTCATGAGAATCATATTTAAATTAATATATTATATAAATAAATGCCAAAGTTTGTAGGTGCATATGTTTGTTACGGAGTAGTACAAAAGCACTTAGGAATGTTTCCAAATGAATGAAAGTGGGCACAAGAAAGCATGAGGATTCTAAATCATTTTATTTCCCAAAGGGGTTAAATCTTACTTATATTATAAATGTGAGTTTAGATGGATGTTTGTTACTCAATCACCCCAGAACAGCTGAACGGATTTGGATAAAATTTGGCACAGAGATAGATTATAATCTGGAAAGGCATATAGGTTACTTTTCCCCCCGGACAAATGTGCGGTTCCCGTGAGATAGATTTGTTTTTGTTTTTTAACCACTAGTATGAATAAGGTTTGAATGTGAAAGGGGTATTTTTGAAGTTAGAAATATGGGAATTGGTGATTATGTTGCCGAAGAGAAAATATCAGGCGCAAAACCATGAGGTTATACTTAACAGACATGGTGATTATTTGTCTATAGTACTATACCATATAACATTTATATTCTTGATGGGGAAGCATCATTATTTCTTTAGTCTAAGTTTAACATCACAAGTGATTTTTTCCCATACATCAGCAAAAAGAAGTTTACAAAATTTCTTTTATTATATATTGTATAGTTTTTTAAAATGTTAAATATGTAACAATTTATATATACTTACCAGGTTGTGGGTCCGTGGGGTCATGGCTCAGCCACTCAATACAAAGGGGAAACCATGGCAATATAATATCATGATGTACATAGAATGATCCTTCTTCTTTGTTGTAAACTGTAATAAAAGATGTATTATAGGTAAAGTTTAAATGCTAGCAATACTACTAATATTATTCCATTCAATAACTATTTCTTATATTTTTTTCACATGGCATGTTTGGACATTGCTCACAACACACTCAAATTATGAAAAAATGCGAAGAGTTTAATACAAAAATAAAAACTGACTTCAAAAAAAACACTAAAGTAAATAAAATAGTTATTTTTCAGTTTTTAATATATTTTTTGATTATTTATTCATTCTTGAAAGGTTTAATTTTTTTCCTTTTTTAGTGTAGACATAGTAGTAGCAAAGAAGAAATCAAAAAGCAAAAAAAAAATCAGTAGGTGAAAAATCAATTTGTTTGTTTCAGCTAATCTCCAAAACAGCTGGACAGATTTTGACGGGACATTCACTAGCAGATAGCTGATGTTATAAGTAGTAACTTAGGCTACTTTTATTTAAGAAAAAGGGATTAGGGTTCCACGCAAAAAAATTAAAACCCATGAAATTGCGAACAAATTCCGCGTACCTAAATAAATAAATCTATAGCAATAGGCAATTATAGAATTAATATTATTATTATAAATATACTCACTATAAACTTCCAATACACTGGCATCTGTTTCAACATGTCCCACTAATAGCAGATTGTCATCGGGTTTAATTATGTCATCCTCTTCATCACTATCGGGTCCTTCTGTCTTTAAAAAATACAACACTAAATAAATTAGTTTTAATCATACTTTTATTAGGTTCACACTTCACTGGTAACTAAGTAATCAAATCTTGAATATCAAAAACTAGCGACTCACCCTCGCTTTGCTCAGGCTTGTCCCTAGATACGTTTTGATGCTTAGTATGGAATAGTTTTTTTCTTTCAAATTTTTCCTTATGTTTTAATGGTTATTCTGCTATTCGAACTGAAGACAGATCCAACAAAACAAAGATCATAAAAATCGGTCCAACAGTTCTTGAGTTATAAGTGTTGTAACAACCTGACTTTGTTTTATTATATCAATAATAACCTATTTATGACAGTCAATAATTATCTATTTCTACCAATTAAGTTAAATCATGGATGATTTCAATTATTTTTAAAGTACTTATCTATACCTATGTATATAATAATTAATATATACCCTCTATCTATTTCATACTGATCATTAAAACATACCTAGGGATGCAGTGTATAATAAATGAGTCCCTAGTCTATACTAATATTATAGACAAAGTTTGTTTGTTTGGATGCACTAATCTCAGGAACTTCTAATCCAATTTGAAAAATTCTTTTGTGCATTAGATAAGTAATTTATTAAGGAAGGCTATAGGCTATATATATCATCATACTACTATGCAAGGGAGCAGAGTAGTAATCATAAAAGTCAACAAATTGGGCAGACTTCCCTATGTTATTGTAAAACTAATATTTATAACAGAAGTTTGAAAGCGGGCCAAGCCACAACACTAGCTGTATGTGAGCCATACAGCTAGTGTCGTCTATGTATAGTAAAATTATAAAAAGTATTGAAATGAAATAAGATTTATAGTTTAACTTAAAGAGTATTACATCATTTATTACTTTATATGATAATTTAATAAGCTTACTCGTATTTGAATATTATCACCCAAGTCTCCTAAGTTTGGAAGTGTTGCTATTGTGCCAATACCCACAGGATTTGCTAGAATAGTACAGAAAATAATAAGAATAGGAAAAAAAACATAAAAAAGATAAGTTATTCATTGTACTGTAGTATTTCTATATAGAAACTATAGTTTTTCAAATAATATACATATGTCTTAATAGTCATACTATATACTGAATGGTTTTGTGTTTGAGTGTTTGTTATTTCTTCACATTATAATGGCTCAAATATTTTCATTAAAATATGGAATAGAGATAGATATATACGCTGTATTAACACAGGCTTATTTTTTTGGATCCACAGACAAATGGATCTTGTTATTAATGAAATAAAATGTGTTATCATAATTTAAACTTACTCGAGTCTTCCTGGTCATAATTTTCAAAATTAAATTCATCATTTGGATCTGCTGGTGGGTCGCTAGGTGCTTCTGCGTTTTCATGATCTTCATCACTTTGATCATCTCCAGCTTCTGTTATTCTAAAAGATTCCCGTTACTTTAAGTATATACCAATAACATATTTTAATAAAACGTATGTATTAATGTTGAATACAACATAATAACTCAGTATATTGCTATAAATCTTACCGTAATTCATCAGCTGTCTGTTTTATTATTTTCTCTAATTCTTTTTCGGTTAACTCAATCTGTAACATATTCCAAATGTTATTTACTTATTATAGCCGTAAGTTCGCAGCAGTATTAACATGCAGATTACCTTTTCTGGAACTGCTTTCGCTACACCACGACGTACGAAATGCATACATGATACTAAACTAACGGTCGGCGTTCCTTCTTCTTCCATTTTGAGTGTCAATTATATTGAAGAAACAATTAGTCAAAACTTTAAATAAATTTTTGTTTATTAATAAATTATTTATTAAACAGATTGTTTTTTTTTAAGGTTATGTTGTGTTCTCTCAGTTCTCACATTTTATTGACATTTGACAATTGACATAAAGGCAAAAGCAATTGACAAATGACAATTGACATTATTTATAACCTTCGAGCAATAACAAACATGGAGGACTCTTATTATACTGAGCCAATAGACCTATAGTTTCACTGCTTTATCTTAATAAGAGATGACGTAAGTTAGAGAGAGACGTAATAATAAAGTACCTGTAGTCTGTAACGATGTGAAGCCACGATTCACTTGTCAAAGTAACCAGCTGATGACTCACGGTGTTTTTGATATTTGTGATTATTTTAATGAAAACTTGAAAACATATTGTCTTGATGGCTTGTGTGGCTTACGGCTGTAACAGCCATAGTTCAAAGAAAAGTCAAGATAATCCAAATGTAACATTTCACAGGTAAGGGTTTTTTTTGGTTTCTCTGTTAAAATACTTAACATTTTTATGAAATATTCAAATATGTTTAAATTGATTGTTATATGACTCTCACTTCTTTAAATTCTTGTTGATTTCAGAAAGTAATTTTGTTTTTTAATCATAGTGATGTGGCATGACGTAACTGCATTATTACTTTACCGATTCGTTTTTAGAATACATGTAGACAATATTCCTTAAAATATATGAGCATGTTATAAATCAGAGGTTTAGCCATAATTTCCGCAGTAGATAGACTCACGTCACTAAAAGGTGATCGCAGTACTTGGTATACACAGGAAAATGCTTTTTCCCATATTCTTCATCTAGATCTAGATCTGACACCTTAGTAGCGGGAGGTGCTACATTGTTAATGTGTACCGGAGACCCTATGGCACATATAATAATTTTCTTATTATCTCATTTATCTTTTTACATTTTTCTATTAATTTAAAAATATTTTACAGATTTCCTGTAGATCACAATGAAAGGAAGCTTTGGATAAAAGCTTTAAGGCGCGACAATTGGGAACCCACTAAATATTCCCGTCTCTGCTCAAAGCATTTTGCACCTGAGTGTTACATTCAAGGGTCGAAAAGGAAGACCTTGCGTACTGGCGCTGTGCCTACAAAATTTGAAGGTTTTACTTACTTTAAAACGGTATGTGTTATATTTTACTAATGTTGTGTGTGAAAAAAATTCAAAATATAGTGACAACAAGTTACATTGTGACAGGTCGCAACTTTTCTTCTGGTGTTAGTTTAACGACAAATGCTTCACTTATCTTTAAACTTTTACATACTTCAACATATAGTAATCATATAATTATAATTTTTATTACGAAGTCACACTCATTGACACTACGTATTTGTATCATTACCAAACTACAACATACATATTACCAAACTAAATAACCAATTTTTTTTTCAAATTCAAAACTTTGCTGTTTCCGAGAAATTTGTTTTATGGTCTCGGAAGGCTGAAAATCACTCCAACTTCAAGCTGATGCTTACATTTAAAAAAAAACGATCATATTTCAGATAGGGTTCATTTTTTCGTCATGAAATTGCTGCAAAAAAATCAAATCAAATAATGAAACCAACACACAAATAACAAATAGATTCTATTGGAGGAAAAAAACAAAAGGTATACTTTACGTGACGTCCAATTTTTATGTATGGGGAGTAAATTCGTATATGTTGTCATTGACATGTTAACGCTTATACGATGACTACATTAGCGGGATACGGCGAATATTCGTGTTAGCGCGACAAGACATGAATATTCACGCGCTAATGTAGCCGCGCCATAACACTTAGAGTGCCGATAGATGTCAAAACCAGATAAATGTAATATACAGTTTTAGTTTACAAAATTTAATTTAAAATCAAACAATTAATTTGAATATCCAAAAATAACAACTGTTTACTTATAGTTTTAAATTTTCACTTCTGTCGGCAGTCCTCATGCCTGCTTTCTTTTTCATTTTTTCACGACTCGTTAAATTGTAAAGTTGGAATGTTTACGGCGGCATTGTATAAATAATAAGCGTCAAATTAAAAACATAAGTATACTGTTTTTTTTTCTTTCTCCCGTAAAATATAGTGATGTAAACAGATTACAAAAATTTGCTCATAAAGTACACTTCTTCAATGATTATTTAAAAAAAATGTAGTTTACAGATTAAAAATTATCAATTTATCCAAATTTTTCAACTTTTAAGGGTGTTTTTACGGGACGATTATAAAATGTTTTTATTTCTTGGACAAGTAGAGCTTAAGATGAAAGAAAAGTGCCCTATCTGAAAATTGATTGAAAATTTTCTTAAATTTAAACGTCTGACAAACATGGTCTTTCGAGACCATGAAACATAAATTTCTCGGAAACGGCAAAATATTTTAATTAAAAAAAAACTGTTGTGATATGTATTTCGAAGATAAAATTCTCTAAGCTTCATAAAAAAAAATCTCTAAGCTTAAAAAAAATATTGAAAAACTAGAATTAAAAACTGAGAAAAAATTAAAAAAAGGGTTTTTTTTGCAAATATCTCGAAAACTTTGAGGTTGTTGTAATAATTGTTGCATATAAAAGTTGTAAATTTTTACTAGACCTACAATTTTTGTATAGAACAATTCTTCGACAGAACGTCACAGTAAGCTGGAAATTGAAAAAAAACTATTTTTCAACATTTTTCATTCCCCATTTCCCGGGTATAGCTAGACACGGGGGCATTTCACTAATTTATCGATGTTATAACAAAATAGATAGATTTATCGATATAAAAATAAAAAAAAATTCTAGTGGCTGTTTTTTTGAATAATCTTCAAGCTTCTAATTACATTATCGTCTTTAGTCTAGAGTAGTCTTCTTAGTCTACTTTCATAAGTATGATGATTATCCAAGATTAACAATATAAATTATTATTATAGATAACATGAATATAATCGTAGACTGAGAATACTATAGACAAATTGATATCTTTTGTTGCATACACACAAGAAAAGGAACATCTTACGCGGATGTCGTGTAAAGAAATGAAACAGGACTATGAGTTTTTTTGTTTCACGGCGCGTGCCACGTATTTCAAGGTTAGCACACTACTTTGCTAAACAAAGTTTGACAATTAGAGTGCATCTAGCTATCGTCTTCTTGTAAAATACAGTTTTAAGTGCTTTAAAGTTAAATAAGTATTGTTATATTTTGTTGTGAACAATTTAGACTCAGTACTTAAGCCATTTAAAAAAAAATGGTGCGTTGTAGTGTTAAAGGGTGTAAAAGTGATAGTGGAACGAAAATACCAGACTTGTCTTTTCATTCGTAAGTACACCACTCTTTATAAGTCATTAGGTAACAATAACATTTTATTGTGTTCATATATTGTTTATTATGTACCGTAGATGTACGTTAATCGATAAAAAAGCACAAAAATAACAATTATTAAATCTAACCTAAGGACTTTGGTGCTGCCAACTTATCTGTAAATTTTTACCCACTATTATGGGAAATATGTATATAATCTGCAGTGTGTATTTTTTTTATTTTATTTTACTTGGGAAAGAAACAGTACAAAGTAATACAATAACGAACAAAACATAAAACATTGACCAATTAATTTTCCACAATTAAATAATACATAGAATAATGAGAAAATAAGAAATAATAAGTACAATTGACAGTTATTTGCAAGTAAAAGAAATACATTAAATATTAAATAATAATTTAGTAAAAAATAATTATACATTAAATATTAATTTAATTACATATCTGAAAGATATAATGGCTTGTTGCAGTTTTCCTGAAAATGATAATTTACGTCGAAATTGGATTGTAGCTACAGGACGAACAGATTGGACCCCAAAACTGTCATCAAAAATTTGCAGCACACATTTTGACAAAGAAATGCTATTCAAAAAGAAGAAACTTACACTGCTATTACCTAATGCTGTACCTTTTCCGGTAAATATTCAGTCATAAATATTCAGTCATAATCGTAACATAATAAGTTTCGACCCAGGTTTTATTTGTTATTTTTATCAAAATAAGTTTTTAATGTATATTGGCCGTCTTAAAAATAAAAGTAATAAATGTGACTCGTAGAAAAAGTCTAACTGCGTTTCAATATTATTCTGCTTTTAGTTATATATATAATACTTTTAAAAACACTTAATATGTTTTTAAAACTATTATATACTTACCTATTGCAAATTATTATTTTGTACATTTTATAAGCAATAAATGATGCTAGGTATATGCGACAGTGCTCTGTTTACTTCGTCATAACGAATCACACAAATTATGGGGTAAATTTTTCCTCACATGGTAACCCTAAATATGGTGATGTTTTTTTGTCCTTTTCTGCGACACGCTTTGCAGTTATCTATAGAATTATCTGTCTACGAATATATTACTTTTTTGAAGATGAGGGTATTGCTAGTTTAAAATAAAATGAAAAATATTACCCTTATATAAAATGGTGACTTTACCTGATACAAGTTCCAAGTTGTGACTTGCCGGTAGGTCTATCCACCACGAATACGTTATATATCTAACTCAATGTATTTATTTGGTTTAAGATGCTGGGTAAAAGTCCGAAGAAATATAAAGATAATGTAAAATAAAATTTTATTCAAAAAATATTAAGTGCACCATTTAGCTTAATCGTTTGTCTTAAGATATTTTATGGTTAGGTACCCAATATCCAAAAATTAAATATATAATAATAATTTACTTGACATATGTTAAAATTTAATTTATAACACTTCTAGTATTTCTGTAAATTAGCTATTTTATTTTTATATCGATAACCATAATTTTACTAAATTTCCGAAACATGATAGATTAAAAATTTATTTACACTGTAAGTAATGTGACAGACATAGACTAAGTAAAGGTTTTAGTACGGTATCGTAATTCCAATCATTCATAGTGTACTGACGATTCATTGGCAATAACAAGATATATTCTTGTTAAAAAATATTTTGATTCTCTTGGTAATGTTATAATAAGTGAAAGGCAAGTTTATATTAGCAAATTAATTTCGTTCAGTAATATTTCAAGGACTCTCGAATTTAAGATACTTATTTCATTGTTATTTGTTGTTCGTTCTGAGAAGAAAATATAAATAATGATATCAAGTGACCTAGTGAAATTAAAGTATTAATTAATGTTATGAACGAAAGTGTTGGTTATGATACATATTATTTTGTGCAAAATGAAAGTATTAAAATAAAATATTGTAAAATAAATCTATTTTACTTGGTAGTTGTCTATGCGTCTGTCAAAATATGTCAATAATTGAAAGTCCTTGTCATTAATGTTTTCAAAAAAAATTTTGATTGTATTTAATAATTGTTTGTGAAGCAGTTTTTAAATTAAACATGCGCTTTATATGATTATAAAGGATAAAATGTCTGAAGTTGAAAAATATGGAGAAACTTCGGCAGCAGAAGATAGTCCGATTATAGAATGCCGAGCGTGTTTGCAAATAATGAATGCAGACTCGAGCTTTTTCAACATTTTCGATGGATGGATGCCGCCTTGGGAAGGAATGGAGAATACCATAGCTGAAGACTTAGCCAAGCTAGCAAAGATTCAGGTATAAAGGCTTTTTATACTATTTTATACTTTAGTAAAAACTTAGTATAACATGTGTGTTCATAAAACTGGTTATTGTAATATATATATAATTATGCAAAGCTACCTCTATATTCATATCTTTACAGATATTGGAAAGTGATAAACATTCCCACATGATATGTGAAAATTGCTGTCAAGTGTTGCTCACAGCATGTAACTTTACTGAAATTGTTAGAAAAAATGATAAAATTCTTAGAGAGAGGTATGGTGAAGATTTAAAAGACTTCAATTCAGACAATGATAGAATCTGGCCAAAGCCAATACAAGTAGATAAATCATTACCATTTGAAAATCCTATTGATATTGAGATCAAGCAGGAAGTTGTTTCGGACGATGAATGTCCTGTTGCAAATGGTTCATATGAACCCCACAGAGAAGACGAACCTAATTTGGATATTGTTAAAATTGAGCCTGAAGAGATGATCCAGCAACAGCCTTTACAAATACAGGTTTCAGTTAATGGTAAGGTTTTATGTTTATATATTGAAATTAGAAGCAATCTTCTAATGCACAAATATGCATTTAATCAAACGGCTTATGATCAATTCATACCTCTTCATCTCAAGGCTTCGCAATCTTCCCCGAAAGAAAAAGTGTTCAAGTCAGGTGTTGGATTTTTGTATTGTTTAGCTCTTATTAATGTTATTTTAGTTTAGTCTCTACTTTTAAACTACATATTTATTAGTACTAATTCTATTCATAACTATAACATTTCTAGCAATGTGTTGGTGGATATTGAAAATAATAAAACAGGCTTTTTATATATTAAAACATTTAATTACATTATATATATTTAGGGTGGAGCCAAAAAAAATGGTTTTTTTCTTAACTTGGGGGTAAAATTTGGAGCTTATAAAAAAGAAAATTTAAAATTTTGCAGTGGTCCACTGATTTTTAAAATAATTAACCTGTCAACGACTGCCGAGCCACAGGGCGCTCGGTTAACAATTAATTTTTCTTAGAATTTAAATGTTAGGGTGTTAATTTAAATTTTTGCTTGAATGAAAAAATTAAAAACAAATATATATTTTTTCGCTCCATCCATACTATGTTACCACACACACCATATTATGTTAAGAGTAATCAAAAGTTTAAAATTAAATATTGTTAATAAATATTGATATGAGATTATATTTGAGTTTTTGGCCGATACAATTGTTATGTTACTAAATGGCATGTATAGGTGGCCCATTGCCTCATTGGTATGGGTTTCACTTTACTATAAGAGGATCAGGCTATATATAGTCCTTAGTTCCAAGTAATAAATATAAATAATATGTCGGAAATGATTCGATATAAAAATATCAGTGGTGCGAGACCCGAGATTTGAACCTGCATCACACGGGTTCTCAAGAGAGCCTGTTACCACTGGGCTACTATTTATGTAATATATTATGATTTGTAAATTTATTTAATTTTTAGGCATCTTACCAAATCAGCTAAGCCCAGAACAAATGGACGATTATGATGTGCATTTAACAAATGGTAATAGTGACAGCGGAGATGGGGTGAGTTTGATATAATAAGAATTGATAGTTTTGACTGTAAATTATAGTACTATTTTACTTTATCGTATAATTTTACCTGCTGCTCATCCTTGTTTTGATCGTTCACTTCTAAAAAACAAAACCAAATCTATCCCATGAGAACCATACATTTTGCAGGGATTAAAAATAGCCTATATGCTATTCCAGACTATAATCATTGTGCTAAATTTCATCCAGCTCCGTTCAGCCGTTCTGGCGTGATTGAGTAACTAACATCTAAACCTAATCCATTTAAACTTTTACATTTATAATGTTAGTAAGATACAATGACTACATATATAGTGACTTTGTTAGTTAGAGTTAGTCCCGGACACAAATAGAGGAAAGGGAGTTTATGTAATACCAAAACATTTTACAAGTAATATAGTGGGGTTCATTAAAATATATCAATACATACATACACAGATAGTAGTTGAAGTGTCTGTTTGTATTATGTAAAAATTACAGCTTTTTACTAAATTCATATGAAATTATATATGATACTTATAAGAAAAACACAATTTTTATTTTTTTTGTCTGTCTGTTTGTTCCTTCTAATCTCCAAAATGGCTGGGTTGAGTTTGATGGGGCTTTCACTGGCAAATAGCTGATGTTATAAGGAATAACTTTGGCTACTTTTAATTTAGAAAAAGAATTATGGTTCTGTTAAAAAAAAAACCTAGGGATGCATCCGAGCAAAGCGAAGGTAAACCGCTAGTTCATAATAAAAATTACGAATATACTAAAAAAAAACATTTTTATGATCAAGTATTTGTATTTGTTGTTTTTTAAAAAACAATAATTCTACATTTCTGTTTTTTTTTATTTGAATTAAATATTGAATACTTAATATAATAATTCTATTTAATTTGCAGTATACAGAAGGCACTGTTAAAAGTGAACCAGTTAGTGAAGAAGATGACTTTGATCCCGTATTATCTGATTTACCACTCGAGTGTATGCTTTGTGCAAAAACATTTAATATGGTTACTGGATTAAAGGTAAAAACCTATTTTTATATGTTAATTATTAAAAAGACATAAATTATATTTAACCTCAGTATTGCTAATATAATAAATTAATAATAAGTAAGTAAGATCAAAAAAGTACTAGATACACAATCCCATACAAAAGTTCTCTTAAAACTGTCACTGTTATAAAACATAAACTGTGGCATCGTAGAGCCCAAAGGGATGAATCAATTGATTTAGATGTTTTTGTTTGAAAAGCGATGTGATTCGTATATGGATTTTTTTGAAAGGTGGCTACAGTAACCTAGGTCTTATGCTGCAGCATCACCTGGAATCTGCAAGATACTCAACTCTTTACTAAAATTTATTGTGTCGAGGCTTTTTAAATTTTTAATTAAGAGAGAGAGCGAGTTATGGTTAAAATTGATTGTTATTATATTATTTATATTTAATAAGTGTTATGTTTGTTATTATTTGTTTCAGGCACACGTAATCGCACAACATTCGTACAAGTCGGTTAAAAGAAAGAGCAGCACTAGCTCTAGTTTATCCCCAGAGAGGAAAAAACGTAAATATATCTGTGCTATATGTAGGCGAAGTAAGTGTTTTAGTGCATGGTACTTAATAAATGTATATTGTATAAGTATATAATAATATACTTAATTTATTAAACACATTCATACTTATATACTAAAGTATACTTATAAGTATGAAAATATAGATGTGTGTCTGTACGTAAGCGTGTGTGTTTTATTACTCAATTAAAAGTTGTGAGAGACAGAAAAAGTATAATGTGTTTTTTGTTTATGGCATAAATATATTATATATTCAAAAAAGTTTTTTTACTTTTTTTGTTTTGTTGTATGTACAATACTAGCAAAGCTAGGTTGCTTCCCCATACAAACTTTCGTCCCCATTTTGATCCGTATTGATCAGTATTTTCGGAGCCTATTTGGTACAAACAAAAAAAAACCCGGATAGGTGCGAGTCGGACTCGCCCACCGAGGGTTCCCTACAAATTTGTAGGAAATCTGTTTAATTTTCAACTTTTTTTTTATTTTTTGGAATTTTTCCTTTATTTGTGCTGTTTCAAATTTCGTGATTCTTTTTTTTTTTTTTTTTTTAACGTTGGAAAATGCATTTACGCACGAAGTGTGGGACTCACCGGCGAAGCCAGTACTACCCACTAAAACCCAACAAAACCTTCCCCCGTCTTAATGGGGCGTCGCAGGATCGCTTACGCATTCAACTACGACGCCCCGACGGCAGGTCTGCCGAAGCAGACCACAGCAACCATAGGGTTGCTCCACGGTCCACTCTGCTATCAGAGAAGTACCAGGAGCAACCCGCATGGTACACCGCCCTCCGAAGAAGGCTGCGTACCACCGCCCACCGAAGCGGGCCACCTCCCTGTGCGGTTCTTGGCTTCGCGAGTGCACTACTGAGCCCCCCCACCACGACAAGGTGAACGCACGTTGGGGGGGAAATTTCGTGATTCTAGGTCAACGGGAATTAACATATAGGTTTTCGACCCAAAACCTATAGGGTACTTCCGGTTGACCTAGAATTGTAAATTTTTGTTACACGCAAGGTCTTACAGCACAAGTTAAGGGAAAATTCCGAAAAATAAAAAAGTTGAAAATTAAGGTAAATTTTGGTACTTACAAGTTTTCGCGAAAATATAAATTTGCCCATATCTTTTTATCGTGTTGACTCTTGATTTTTATACACCTACACGGACTATAGACCTCAGTATCTAGTATAAATTTCAACTTGCTAGTTCCTGAGAAAATCGGTGGTGACACACGGACAGACAGATGATCTTAAAAGGGTTCCTATTTTACCTTTTGACGTACGGAACCGTAATAAATCTTTCCTCTTTATAATATTAGTATAGATGATATAAGGATCTTCAAGATTGTGGGTTGCATTTAATTGTATTTTTTTTTATTTGACATCATGAATGCATAAATACTTACTGTACACAATATTGCATAGAAATTAAGTAATGTAATTTATTTTTGTTCTGTGTAAGTATCTGCATGAAGTAAAGATAAACTTATATTCGTATAATTTAAAATGTTATCCGTATTTGATGTTATTTATTTATATGGTATCTTTGAACCGCTTTTTCTATTTATAAATTACTAGCGATTCACGCTCGCTTCGCTCGTGTTCGTCCCTAGTTTGCTTCCCCATAGAAACTTTCATTCAATTTTTTACTCCCTTAAGGGATGATTTCCGGGATAAAAACTATCCTATGTTCTTCCCAGGGCCTCAAACTATCATCTTACCAAATTTCATCTAAATCAGTATATTAGTTCGGAGCTTATTCTGTACAAATAAAAAAAAAAACAAAAAATCAAATCTTTCCTCTTTATAATATTAGTATATATCTATGTAGGTTGCTGGAAGCCTAAATGCGTATGAATTAAGTGTATCTATTAAAATTGCGCAAGTAAATTCTATCGAGTGAAACATTTTTATTGTGGATTATTTCGCGGATTTATTTTGATTTTTGTTTCCCGACGTTTCGAATGCTTTACAGCAATCATGGTCTCGGAAGAGACTAAATTTTTAAATGAGAAAGTTTTCAAAGGTTGCTCTAAAGCAGTCGAAAGTGTAATTTTTATTGTGTTATAATTTTATATTATTTTCGCTTGATTCCCCATACAAACTTTCATTCCCTTTTTTACCCCCTTAAGGGATGATTTCCGGGATAAAAAGTATCCTATGTCCTTACCAGGGTTTCGTTTTAGTAGATTCAGAGTGTAACGTTGTTATAGGGTTCGGAGCGGGATTGTAATGAGACAACCACAAACAACTAGGTTCGAATACACTTTAATAAGTCTCCAATATAATAAGATATAATAGCTTAAATACTAACTTAAAGTAGGTTAATGACATCACCCTATTATGACACCACACGCCCCATCAAAACGAAAAAAAAAAAAAAAGAAATACATTGTTTTTTTTTTTACTCTACATACAATTTCGTCCTATTCTTATGTATAATTTCTTCCTTATTATTACGTAAAATTATAACATTAGGTTCCATATCCTTTAAAACTTTATAAGGACCAGAGTACACATCGCTGAATTTATTTCCTACTTCGTTTTTTACTAATAACATATCATTTTTATTATACATCACAGGTTTTAAATATTCATCATATCTATTTTTCCTTTTTTCTTTAGATAAAATTAAATTTTTTCTTGCATCAGCATGTGCTTTTTTTAAGTAAATTTAATTCTATATTAGATTTTGAACGAAATATTTTAACGCTTCAACAAGGTTCATCTATTGAAATACCTTTACAAATGGGTAAACTTGGCTATAATAATTATATAAAAATTCCGCTAAGATGTGAATTTACTTATTTTATGCGAACCGACTTAAAAAATGAGTATGTAGTTATGCCTAAGCAATTGAGTGATGGAGTATTTTTAGCATCTGTGTTGGTTAGCCCTATTTGTGGTAAAATTCCACTGAAAATTTTAAATACTAGAGAAGAAGAAGTAAAACAATAATTGCTCCGTGGAGGCAGAGTTCCCAGCTCCGTTTTGTGCGATTATAATTTCTTGCTCCTTGGATTGCTGCTTGCCCATATTTTTAATTTTTGATAAAGTCTTTGCCACAAATTCACAGTCACTCTGGATGAGATTTTGCAATATAAAAACGCCATAATTATAATTATTGTCTTTAACTTTACATTTCACTTAGTGTTTATTTTATCATTGCCATATACGGCCGGACACCGGACTCGCGCACGCGCTGGCAGGGTCGCCATATAGGGTTCGGAGCGGGATTGTAATGAGACAACCACAAACAACTAGGTTCGAATACACTTTAATAAGTCTCCAATATAATAAGATATAATAGCTTAAATACTAACTTAAAGTAGGTTAATGACATCACCCTATTATGACACCACATTGTACCCCCCCTGTAACGTCACAAACTCACAAACTTTACCTCTTTGTAATATTATTAGTATTAGTGTAGATTAGTTCTAAAAATCTTATATATACCCTCCAATATGAACATTTGGATTGTGCGTATTGGCTTGCGGCTAACTTCACTTTAATTTAATTTTTAATTATAATAATTTACTTATAGATTTCGCAACTTCCACCGACCTAATGGTGCACGAAACCTGTCATAATAAGAGCGTGTGTTATGGGTGTAATGAAAACTTTGATACGTTTGTACAGTTGACGAAACACAGACGGACATGTAAGGTTATTGCTAGTAAAGAAGTCACCAAGCTCAAGACACTGGATGATGTTTTAAGGTAAGTGTCCGAATACATACTTAGACTTATTTTGTAGCGCTATTCTGTAAGAACTTATGTACTCGACAGCTGAATCCGCGCTTATACTTCATATAACTGTACTATGTTCGCGGATTCAGCTATCGAGTTTCGGAAAAGTCGTTATAGAATAGACCTACTGGTGCCAGTGGCGTTACTAGCCTATTTAGACCCCAATGCAAAAAATGGCGCCCTTTTTGCCAATTTTGAAAACGAACGTGGTTCACAGGGAGATACAGTTTTCGATCTTCTCACTTTATTCAAACCGCTCTCACGGAAGAACGTAGTAAAATTTAATAAAAAAAACTGAGCTTAGAGGACCATTCATCGTTTATAGAACAAAGGTACGATCACAGTCCTCGTGGTCCTCGTAAAAAATAATATAAGGTAGGACATTTTGGTCTAGTCAATAAGTGCCTTTTTCGTCAACTTTTTTCAGCAGTCTCGGAAAAATATAAGCGAGGTGTCTGTGTCGATTCAGAATGGGAAGTCCGCTTGCAAAAATTGCAAAAGTTATAAACAATTAAAATATATATATGTATATAAAATTATAATGTAATTTTTTTCTTACGGTATATACTTTTTTTTATTACAGACCACAATCCAAAGAGCCAGCTCAAGAATTAAAGTGTACATCTTGTAACGAAACGTTTACAGATGTATATTACATGAATATTCATCAAGAAATTCATCATAATACTGAAGAAAGTGTGAGTGACTCAACACCTTTGAAAGTCTATCAAAGAAAAAAGTCATAGACACTGATTTATTGTTTTTAAATGTTGGATTCGAATTTCGAATAGTTAGTGCTATGGTTAGTTTTTTTATTGCTTTTAGGTTAAATTTTCAATTTTTTTTATCGCCACTGTTTATGATCTGTGGTGCAAAAAAAGTTTCGTTGTGGTGATATTTTGCATCAAATTATGAGGTGATTCATTATATTTTTAAGCTCTAGATACAAAAGTAAGCAGACAATTTTGTTTAATACTGTTGAAGAAAGTTATTTTTTTAGATTGAAAATTTTTTTGGCTATCGTCCACGGATAAAAATTTGATTATTCTTGATTTTCCAATATTTTTAAAAATGGTAATGTAAAAATGACTTAGAGTAATTAATAGTACATTTTTAAAGTAACTTTTAAAATTTTAAAAGTCATCAGCGATAAATACTTACACATATTAATTTCCATTACATTTTTAACTATAAAACTCATTTGAGTACCACAGAAATCGAGGGTTCGATTCCCGCACTGGACATAATTTGTATAAACTCTTTGTAAGGTAATCGCTACTAAGAAAGGACTGAAAGAAGACATGAAAACAAAGAAAAAAAAACAATACAGATATATGACATATTGTCAAAATTCCAAATAAAAAATATGTATGTAGTAATAATATGAAAAAAAAATACATACGTACATATGTATGTCGTAGCAATGGTTCATTGAGTGCGTTGTCGGTATACTTGCGATAATTTTGTACTCACTTATGGATTCTTTCCTAATGTTTTTTTTTATTCAGTACATCTGATGATCGCTTTATAATCTGTCTGTTTATCTGTGACAGCATAATTTCTCCAAAATAAAAAGAGAAAGTCAATCTTGGTACACACATAGAGTTAAGTGGCCTAATGACGGACTTAAAAAGCATAAATAAATAATACTTTCTTAGATTTATGCGAATAATTTAAATTTATTTAAAACTATGTTTTTGGATTTTTAGTTTAGTTTTAGTTTTCGCGGATTTATTTTGAATCAAACCAAGGAATCTAAAATCAAAATGAATCCGCGAAATAAAAGTAAATCAAAAAAAATAGTTTTATAAAAAATAAATACATAAATGAATTGATTTTAGATGCCAAATTAGCTAGTTTGATTTTGGGGTTATTTTCCACACATTAAATAAAATGTGTTTTTGTTCTATGAAGAAACTGTCTGCGAACAATTTGTTTTAACTATTTTGATCAACGTCCTAAAGTATTATTTATACTTTCAAACTGGTTTTTGATAAAAAACGCAACAAGAATGATGTTAATGACTTGTGTATACATTATATAATTGCAAAACTTGTGTGAATGTAATTATGTACATTTAGTATTTCAAACTTTTCTGCCGTCATAATAAAGAAGGTGGTAAATAACAATTTTGTCAAAAATAACTTGAATGTAGATTCAGAATAAGTAAAAAACATGCTACTTGATAGTCTTCCTCGTGTAGCTCTATGTCTTATGAATCCGAAGATACCATCCCTGTTAAAAAACTCCAATAGAATCCCCTCAAAAGCGACAAAAACCACATAGGAACCAATAAGATAAGCGTAATTACGTATTAACAACATAACATACGTATAAAATGACGACACGTTTGGCTCAGTTTGTCTATATATAATGACCCTACTTGCTGTGCCAGCGGTCGCGGGTTCGAGTCCCGCTGGGGGCATTCATTTGTGTGATGAACACGAATGTTTTAACTCCAGTCATGGATGTTTATATTTATAATATGTATGTATTTAATGTTATATATGTGTAGTGTATCAACTATCTGGTATCCTTAACATAAGCCTTGTAGCTTACCATGGAACTAGATGCTGCTGTGTGATAATGTCCCAACACTACTACTACTAAACTACTACGACAAAACTTCAAATATCTCGAAACTTCGACGAAGTTGTGGAGAACTTTTTTATGACGGCAGTATGATTTTCTATTGGAAAATGATATATGTCATCCCTCTAAAATTAATAATTTGTAGTGTTTTTTTGGGTTTGTAAAAGTTTACATGCATTTGTAAATCCATTTTGTCATTTCATTGTATATAAATATTTTATCAAATAATGTAATTTAATGTAGAATACAGCTCTTTTGAAACTGATCTATGAGTTTTATTTATATTGCACTAGCAGAACCCGCGGCTTTGCTCGCGCTAAAACTACGAAAAAAACTAAAAAAGTAGGTTTCATACAAACTTTCATCCCCTATTTTACCCCCATATGGGATGAATTTCGGAAAATGCTAAAACACGTATTTATTTAATTGTATTGAATAGCATTTATACCAAGTTCCAAATAATTCTATTATAACGTAATTTCCCGTGGGAATGAGATAATATCACGCGGTAAAATGTCTCCAGTCCTCGTTGTATCTCCACACAAAAAATCACGCCAATACGTCGCCCCGCGTTAACATGAAAGAAGGACAAACAAACAAACACACTTTCATATTTATAATATTAGTATGGATTGGTGATTTCCTTTGATTTTGCTTAAGGCCTAATTAATTGTCAGTAACATCGATCAAAAAAGTATTAGATACACAATCCCATGCAAAAGTTCTCTTAAAACTGTCACTAATTGTGTTATGGTGATTATTCTAGTTGATATAAATATACGACAATGTAAATTGAACCTTAAATGCAATTTTTAAAGTTTTCACAAACAAAGCCCAGTGGTAACGCTAACCAGTAGTCGCTGTGGAAATCGAGTGAAGCGAGTTCAAATCCCGGATCTCGCACCTCTGATATTTTCATGTGCGAATCATTTTCAACATGATTATCACTTGTCTTAACGGTGAAGGAAAACATCGTGAGGAAACCTGCATGTCTTAGAGAACCTAGCAAGTTTTCAAAAGACATGTGAAGTCCGCCAACCCGCACTTGGCCAGCGTGGTGGCCTTCGTATTGAAGGGAGGCCCGTGCTCGGCAGTGGGACGATAAAAAGGGCTGAATACATACATAGCATATAACTGACTTTACTACTTTCCATGTTTATATATATGCATCATCATCATCATCATATGCAGCTACTATAGTGCGCCGCTTAGTACCTATAAATTTTTAAAATAGGAAAATTATTTTAAAAATAAAACACCAATTCAAACAAGTAAATAAAATTTATTAAACGTATTTATATATCGTGTACAAGAAAATACATTATATTATAAATAACATTGTGTAATCCGCCGTTTGCCTTCACAGCCTTAGACCAAGATTTCGTTGAAAATGTCACAATTGAAAAATAATACTGACATCAAATAAATATTTAATATTGGAAATATATAAATGCCAAATAAAATATTAATCATAGTACCATTATAGTTAAGTACAGAAGAGAAAAGGAATGATTTTTAATAAATAAATAAAGGTTTTCTTTGTAGTACATTTTTAACATTTTATTCTTTTTATTTATTTCTTCAGAACAGGCGGCATAGACAAGATGTCATTCTATATGTTTACCATAGACATAGAGAGTGGACTGAGTGTAATTTTGTCAGCCGTCAGCTAAAAATGGCGAATAGGCGCAACAGAGACAAAACTAATATGCGGCCAGAATGAGTGGTCCATTCTTTAAGGTCTATGATTTTTTACGAAGTCTAAAAATATATATGGGAATGACATATTATGATTCTGACAATACTTTAATAAGTCATTTCAATATAACTTCTTAACTATTCCTAAACGATTGTCTATTCCTAAACGATTGGATTTCATCACGTTTAAGCTCGCTATACTCGTATAATGAAATTTCAGTTTAAATTTCTGATAATGCTTTTTATAAAGTAATTGTGCCTTTCGATACAAAATTCCTTATTTTCAATGTGTTTCAAATGTTTTTTTTTAATATAATTTTTTTCAGTCACTCATTAATGATACATAATATAAAATCATTTCATTTTAGGACAAAGTAATATGACACAAAAGTTTCAAATTTATATATATTTAAAACCAACGTTTTTATATGCAAACACAATGTCAATTAACTACCAACATTAATTCAATTTAAGGGAAATACGCATTTAATGTGCTTGCAACACCAAACAGAGTGAATAATACAATATTAAAGGTGAAAGAAAAAATCGAATTGAACTACATCCTATTACAGCGTGTAAAAGCAATAGTAGAATTTTGAAACTACATTTTTTAATGCTGGCAATTTAATTTCTGTTCAATTCGTTCAAAATACGCAAAATGTAAAGGAATAGATTCAAAATGTCCATATACAAGTTAATTGTAGCAAGGATGTATTCCTCTGGGGAGAGTACAGTCATCATCTGTTGTGTGTCGAAGATTAGGAAGAAGCTAAAGAAAATGGCGCCCGTGAAAGACAGTGCTACTTCAAAGGCAGAGCTCTGCAGGAATATTTGAATTAATCCTCCAATGATGAGGACACTGAGGCCGGCGACAAGTCTAAAATATAAAAAAAAATAGTATTTAATATATTTGAACCAAAAAATACATAAATATTAATTTGAAATCAAAAAAACTGAATAAAATTGTCCATATTGTTCTCATTCTGTGAAAACCCAAGTGATTTTGAATAATGGCAACACTAATGGACATAAATGTACCACATAGCAAGACTCGCAGCAAGTAATAAATTATATGCATGTCTCGAACTGCATAATACAATGTTATTTCTACACCATATGTTTTCATCTTTTTAGTTGGTTTTTTTATTTTTAAATATTATTTTTTTACAGTTTTTTAGCCTTCTAGACATTTGGAGTTTTTTGATAATTTCTTATTTATAAACATATGATATATTGCATATATTATTGCAATCAACTCTTAAAACCCTTCATTTCAATACCTATTGTTTAGGTGATTTTTTTTATAAAACACAAATCGGCGCCTGAAATTAAGTATTTTTAATAATATGCACCTATGAATTATTAAAATTGATTAAGCCGTTTAGTAATTACGAAGGAATATTGATCGAAGGATCAGATAGACATACATACTCGCCGCAATCGAGTAATTAATTTTTCACTCACCCATATCCAATGAAGGAGAAGTCACGCTTGGTGTTGAGAGTGTATAGAGTGAGAGAAAACACCACTGTAAATGTTAAAGCCAGTGCCTGCAGTACTACAAATTTATCGCAGTATGACACTACAACGCCAATGGTGAATGCTTGAACAACCGTCTGAAAAATAATACGGATTCATATTCGTGAATAATTTGGATAAATATAGCGCTCGCTTGGGAAACTTAGTGAAGCGAGTTCAAATCCCGGGTCTCGCACCTCTGATATTTTCATGTGTTCATTTTTACTATATTTCTTTTTAATATTTTTAATAATATCGTTTTTTTATTAATAGTACATGATTACCACTTGTCTTACGGTGAAGGAAAACCGTTGTGAGGAAACCTGCATGTCAATGTGAAAAATGCAAGTTTTTGAAAGACATTTGGCCAGCGTGGTGGACTGGCTTGATCCCCCTCATATTTGAGGGAGACCTGCGCCCAGTAGTTGGACGTTAAAAAGGGCTGAATACATTCTCATACGGATATACCTTAACCAGGAATGAAAAATGGGTACTTTTTATCCTATTAATTAGTGAATTCTAGTACTATTTAGCCTTTTTTAACATCCCACTGCTGGACCTCCCACACTAGCCAAGTGTGGGTTGGTCTTTACACATGTCTTTCGAAAACTTGCTTGGCTCTCTTAGACATGCCGGTTTCCAATTTTATCCTTTACCATACCAGCATTGGTAGTTATGTGATAGAATGCTCCTGTCTTTTATTACATTAAATATATTTTTTATCCCCAAATCTATCAATACATGGCGCTGCCAAGTTAAAATATATATATATATATATATATAAAAAATATAGTTAAAGAAAACCTTTTACTTAGAGCTGAAGCTAGTAACTTATATTACAAAATAATATTAATAAAATTAAATTTATAAAACATTCTTTGAAGGTCACTGGACAATCAAAGAAAAACCTTCAAGAATACAACACACTTTAAAGAATACAAACTACAATTTTTAAAACTGTTTTCCTCAACACTCATCTATATTGATGTTTTTCCCCTCGTCAAGGTGAGTGTACGATTCATACACATTCTTTTTATTTGTATACTTACAAATGCAGCTAAAAGATACAAGTTGGCCGGGTAGTCCCTCCTCTTTATAATTAAAGCAAATAGAGTTATCATGCTGAAAATGAATGCGATGAACACCATCCAGTCACTGAAAAATATATTTAAAAAAAAAATTATAAATGTGGATTTGATTTTAAACAACCATTTATTAAAATTTTGAGCTTTATTGAACTTAAATACTTTCAAGTGTTTATTGGTATTGTGTATAGGCTATTATCAAAAATGTTATTACTAATTTTAGGCTAAACTTTATAAGGCTTGAAAGTTGAAGGACATAGACCACTTTGTTTTGAGAAAGTTAAATAAGTGAGTTTTTAATATAAACTCTCTTGGATGGCCTAGATTTTGGGTAGTAATAAAAAAAAACTTTTAATTGTGGTATAAGAAAGAGTAAGAAGGGTCTAGAAGTTTTATCAGTTTTTATCCTTAAAGTGATAAAATTCAGCTATACATACATAAAACATGACTTACTTTTGATGTATGAACCCTTGTACAGGCTTAACAAGCATAAACACAGAAGCTATTGCTACAGTTGCCAGCAATTGTACTGTAAGCAGACCATACACTTTTCTGATAAAACCCAAACGAATCTCTTTATCTGCATTCATCACATTATTTCTGTAAGCGAAGTCATCCTGAAAATTTGAATACACATAAATAAATGTTTACACATCATATTGAGTTCTTTGTAAAATAGAGTACATAGTATTTTTAAGAAGCCTACACTATTGTTGGCTTCCTAATTGTGACCAATTGTATAATAGTAATCTTATAAATTCAAAAAACATAAAAATATGTCATTACTTCAATAATATTGTTGCATTTCAAATTTCATATTGTAATCAAAACGTTTCATATTATTTAAGATCAAAGTGTTGTATGTAGTTTTATTGCATTTAAGAACTCTTAACATAGATACAATATCATCTATCTTATCTCTTAAATATCAGAAAATTGTTATTGGATTAGGGATTCTTATTTTTTTTGATTTGAACAAAATTATAAACATTAGGAAGAAAAACATGTGATTTATCATCAATCATAAACATTTTTAAGAGTATGTTTTTGCTTCAATTTTTATTTGTATAAGTGATAAACAAAATCCTTATTTAAATAATTGAAGGCCATGATGAAATGTACCATTTTGATTATAGTGATAAATTGTAAAATTATACCTCCATACTCTCTTTTCCTCCCAACTCACAATCCTCTTGAGCATACATTAGTGGTATGCCAGCCATTATGTCCACAATTTAACGATTTTGTACAATAAAAATGATTCCTTTAATTGTTTAACAAAATTATTAGCAATAATTCAACAAATAAAAATTAATAGTGAAAGTGACGTACACAATTGCTTTGATAGATTGTCAAGTGTGACATAAAAAGATACAGATAAAAAATTAAAACCAAAAATTAGAATAAAAAATATGAATTGAGAGACAACAATCAAGATTTATTCAATAGATACATGCCCGATTTCACCAACGTCACCTAAGTTTAAGGGATCCCTAAGCATGGTTAGGGGGCTGTTAGGGGACAGTTTCTGATTCACCGACAGTTAAGGGTCACCTAAATATTAAAAGGCCCCCTAAATTTAGGTGCTTGAGATATGGACTTAAAGACGATCGTAAAACGAAATTTAATTTAGGGGACTTTTAAGCTAGGGATCCCATACGTAGGTGGTAGCTTATGGGTTGTTGGTGAAATCGGGCAACAGTAGTTTTAGTTTGAATTCCTTAAATCAATATTTATTATGAAAATTTGAACATACGTTAAAAAAAAATGTTATACTCAAAGATTTTGAACTGGTAAGTCCAGTTCCAATTTAAATGAATGAATGGGATTTTTAAATACATAAGTATTCGCGTAAATCTAAGAAAGTATTATTGAATGCATTTGCTGTTAAAGAAATATCTCTTCTATATTTATATTCTTAATTTAACATCAAAATTGTGATAAAACAGTTGTCTTTTTATAGCCGCTGAGCAGATCTCTTCTGGCATGTCACAGAACTAATTTCGACAGAAAAAGTCACTTAATTTGTACAAAGCGGTATCAGTACATATTAGGTATATATGTGTAAGTGTGTTTGTTTGTCCTCCTTTCACGTCATCTTTCTAGAGATTGTTTGTAGTTTTAGCGCGAGCAAAGCGGCGGTTTCTGCTAGTATAAAATAAATAATAAGGAAATCTAATCATCGTCAATACTGGTGATGATGATATTTTCCAAGTGGCTATTTTCGGAATTAAGAAGAGCGGTACTAGTATCTACTGTAATAACTATTTTAATTTTTTTATCCTCTGTGATATTTTGATCACTGATTTTCGTCGTCGTTTATAATGTTTTTACTTGTAAAAAGCACGACGAAAATAATGACTTTGTCAATGTGAGATGATTTACTCATAGCCAATACATAACTATTATATTATCTAAAATGTACTTATATTTATATTATGTATTTTTTCATAAGTGATGAAACTTTAATAAAATCAATTTCTGCGTGTTTCTTTTTATTTTCCTTCAGCACTATATCGATTGCTCTAGGCCATAGGGCGTTTCCGCGAAAAGTAAATTTGCACTTACCACTTTATTGACAGCGTGCCCTGATTCAATAGTAGCCTCCACAATATTTACTTAAGCAAAAATACTGAGCAAGTATGTGTAAAGCCTAAAGGTATATTTTAGATCACATAATATTATTGTTATTTGTTATAATATTTATACTCATTCCTTTTTTAATATTTATTTTTTCTGTTTCTGTAAAAAAGAGGAAGAAGAAATAGTTCAAGTTCAAAAAAAATGCGAATAAAATTGAAAAATCAAGATATTCTAAATTAGATTCTTAGATAAACTTAAATACTAGGCCTAAAAGTAATAATTAAAACAATTCAATTGTTTTTTTTTCGCTTTAATGACTCGTAATTTGTATGTAAAATAAGATAATTGGAAAAACTTTTGGCATAAAAAGTATACAATTACCATAGTAGTATAAATTAAATCATTTTAAATTGGAAGTTTAATACCATTAAGTACTTATATTTAACAAGACGCAGAAGATCGATTAATAGCCGGACATAAGTTTTATGGGCGATAAAAGTTTACTGTCATCGGGGGTCGAAAGGTCGGGGTAATTACATTTTTTATAGTGACTTCCAGTGCATTAGCAGTTAAGGGTTGACAGGTACTTAAATAAAATAAAAAAACATAACTAAGTGCAAGTCTCATCAACAAGGCCCTATATATAATTAAACAAAACATTTGTATTACATTTGTATTTATGAGTAATAAAAAGAATGTATCAGGTACCTCCTAAATGTCGAGCTTTCCTCAATTTTTTTCCATCTTGTTATATGTTAGGATTTCCACTGGTATCACATAAAACTTGTTAAGAATCGGATACGTGTAATATTTAATTCTATCACTTCTGACATCCACAGTTATTATTGTAAAAGTGAAAGTGTATTTGTTTGTTTGTTTGTTTTGTTGTTTTTATAAAACCTACTTTTTGTTTTTCTGTAGTCTTAGCGCGAGCGAAGCCGCGGGTTCTGCTAATGACATTGACAGAACGACAATTTAGTAAGAGGTTACGATTGATTTACCTCTATCTACGGATTCATTCATATATATATTTACAGTTTTAATTTTATCTAAGTCTTTGTAAAGACGCATAACAAATTCCTCTGACTTCGCAGTTTTTCATAATATTCAACACAAAGATTGCGAGTAGGTAGACTGGCTGTATTTCGAAATGACCTTGACGTGCCAACGTATTCTTTGGAGATTTGAAGTTATTATATGTAAATAATCACTTTGGGGATTCGATAAAGAAAGGCAAGTCTTGTAAGATCAGTTTCGTATCTATCCATGGTTCACAATGTATTTTTCTAAATCTACTGCTTCTATATAGAAGTTCAAAAAAGTATGAATATTATAATATGTATCTATACGCTATGTCACGTGGTCAGCAATCAGAATATACCATTTCCACATATTGTTTTTTATGCGAGCAATTTCGATTGTAGGAAGCTAACTTGTCTAAAACTTTGAATACTATAATATGCATGTATTATACATATACCTAAACCTTCCCCTTGAATCCCTCTATCTATTCCTGAAAACTGCATTAAAATCTGTTGAGTAGTTCATATAACGTTTAGTATAAATTTCTCAGAGATGAGATATCTCCCGCAGTAAAAAGTATCCTATATGTTGACCCGGATAATCAGCTATTATAATACCAAATTTCATCAAAATCCCTCAAGTGATTTTTCCGTGATGGGGTAACAGACAGACAAAAATTCTAAAAACTATAGATTCGGCCTCTGTATCGATGATAATGTCTATTTCAATAAGATTTTCCAAAAAATATTTAATGCACAGATTCGGCTTAGTTGCAATTTTATTATATGTATAGATTGTAATGTGGTGGTAGCCCTCTAGAATACTGCATTGGTACTTCGCATCAAGTAGTTTAGATGTGTAAGTACTCTAAGTATGCACTTCCTATAGCACTTTGAATTTTATTTCAAACAGGCAGTTAGATTTTATGTATTTGCTGTTATATTTTATTTAAAGTTTAAAGTAAATTAATCAAAGGCTCAATGCGAAACTGCATGGTATTAGATAGGCCTAAGCTACTGGTATTAGTGGATTGAAATTCCACACGCAACACTTTTATTACCCCGTCTGTCTTGTACTACTTTATAATATTAAATGAGCAATTCTTGTATATACCTATATTAATTTATTACGTATATCTCGGAAACAGCTCTAACGATTTGGATCAAATATTGTATTTAGATAAGGTTTTGCTTTTTAAGTTTATCTTTTCTGAAAAAAACACAATTTTTTACAAAAAATATGTATTAAAGAGTGCCTGTATGAATGTGTACACGCGCAAGAAGTAAAACTTCTGTAGGTATCAATCAGTACTCTTCATGAAATTTAATTTATGTTTTAAATAATAAGGATAGGTGAGATATTAAAAATAACGCATATTAGCCATGTTACAATCATATATTTATAGAATATCTTTTAAGTTCGTCGCTAGGTACGTTTCAAATATATATAAATAGTTATTACCCAGCGTTAGCCATATAAATTTAAATATGGTTGTTAGGTATTCTTAAATAAGTATTTTTAAATTTTATAATTCTTTCATAAGAACCTTCTGACAATAACAAACAGAATAAAAAAAAATATTAGTTAAATCGGTCCAGCCGTTTACGCGTGATGGCATGACCAAGGGAAATAGGGATTCATTTATATATATATATATATATATATATATATATATATATATATATATATATATATATATATTTATAAGATATAATAGATTTGTAAGACAATAACAACGGTTACCATGGCAACAAACGTACGTACATTTTTTCGTAACGCATTCACCATCTTACCCCTTTTTTTTTAACGTTGTGAAATGCATTTACGCACGAAGTGTGGGACTCACCGGCGAAGCCAGTACTACCCACTAAAACCCAACAAAACCTTCCCCCGTCTTAATGGGGCGTCGCAGGATCGCTTACGCATTCAACTACGACGCCCCGACGGCAGGTCTGCCGAAGCAGACCACAACAACCATGGGGTTGCTCCACGGTCCACTCTGCTATCAGAGAAGAACCAGGAGCAACCCGCATGGTACACCACCCTCCGAAGAAGGCCGCCTCCCACCGCCCACCGAAGCGGGCCACCTCCCTGTGCGTTTCTTGGCTTCGCGAGTACACTACTGAGCCCCCCCACCACGACAAGGTGAACGCACGTTGGGGGGGGGGGGGGTGGTCACCATCTTACCCCTAAGTCAAGCGTGCGTAAAGAAGTTTTACTTCAAAAAATGTTAATAACTGTTCAAAAATAACGTAGAGTCATTGCTGTGACAAAAATTACATTCTATCAAACCAAAATAATCAACAAATACACACTCATTTATTATATTATTAAGGAACGCGTATGATTGAAATGGTATAATGTTATATTTCTTAGGCGTTACTTATTGCCAGAGCCGGATTTAGGATAGAGCAAGCGCAGTTGCAGCCGCGAGACCTGGAAATTTGTATTTCTATATTATATGTGAAATTCAGTTTTAGCTTGCACCATTTTTAATTATTAGCATTAAAATAGATTTTATCATGACACTTGCACGCATGAAGCATTGCCCGCGGCTCTGCCCGCGTTCAGATGACCAAAAACCAAATTCTTAGGTTTTACATATAAGTATATATACATTTACATTACAGTTTTTGTTTTTTTTCTCAGAAATGAGATATTTTCCTGCGGTAAAATAAATATCCTATATGTTGACCCGGATAACCAGCTATCATTATACCAAATCTCATCAAAATCCGTCCAGTGGGTTTTCTGTGATGCGATAACAGACAGACAAACAGACAGACAAACAGACAGACAAACAGACAGACAAACAGACAGACAAACAGACAAACAGACAGACAGACAAAAATTCTAAAAGCTATAGATTCGGCCTCTGTATCGTTAATAATGTTTATTTGCATAAGATTTTCCAAAAAATATTTAATGTACAGATTCCTCGTAATTACAATTTTTTTATATGTATAGATATAGATTTTAGGATACATTTAGTTACGAAAGTGTTTGTAGTTTTAAAAATGATTGAACTTTATTGAAAAATTAATTAAATATAGAGAAAGCTATGAAACACTAGCCTTTCTGGCCTGATATTGACTGTAGCAGGTAATAATCAGCCTCTCTTGCCAATTAATTTACTGCTCAGTTCACTAATGCCCGAAGAACTGGAAAGGTGCCAATTTCCTGAATATTTCATTTATAAAGTAATTCAGGTTGGATTTTCATGTGAAAATGAAATTTATAGGTATCCTTTCGTAGAAGCAAAGCTTATTCGTTTGATTGTAACTAGTATTTGCCTAGCGGTCAAAGTTCGACCAAAATCATTATTGAAAATTTCAGAGATATATGAATAGAATTTACCTATTCATAATAAAAAACTCTCTCTTATATTTTTTTATAGATGGTATACAGCTGGTTAATAGCTATTAAACAATTTAATATATATTCCAATTTGTATAATTTAAATATAATATTTTATTATCGCATGAAATATTTTACTATGTAACAATAATTAAGCGAACAGACAAAATTGTGGACAGTCTTCAACTTCTTGTTATGAGCTTGGGTAAACGAAAGCAACATTCAGTGCATCGAAACTATTCATTAAGCGGTTAGTTTTAATAAAAGCAATGTATAATGGACTTTATTAGTGTTTAATAAGGATAAAAATTCCACATTAAGCATCTCAAAGCCGAGCCTTTCGTGACGAGCGTCATAAGGAGGTTATCATGGTTGAAGTTCCATTGTCGCGGACTCGACGCCCGTTTCGAGAAATTTAATTAGAATTCCCACGAAAATTTCCCTCATAAAGATGTTCGAGATAAAAGAGTTTAGGAGGCTTGCGGGGCATATTCCAGCAACACTCGCTACGTCCTTGTAACTAATGCCTTAAAGTGCCGAAATGAGGAAAGTTCCTTGGAGATTTTATGAATTGCGGAAGTTTTGCCAATTAATGGGATGTAAGTCAACACGTAATTAGTCATTGTTCTCTGAGATTTATTAAAAATCTAGTGTTGTTTATAGTTTATGACGTCTTAATAGATGGCGTAATATATCAAATATATTTTGGGAACAATGATGTGTGATTTATGATTAATTATGTAGTTAGATAAATCAATTTCTCAAGCACAGTGTAAATACGGTATAAAAGGGTTTAATTCATTTCATTAACGACTAACGACTAACCCTCGCTTCGCTTCGGGTTCATCCCTGGACAATAACAAATCTATCCCACGGGAATCGTATATTTTGCCGAGATAAAAGTAACCTATGTGCTATTCCAGACTATAATCTATCTCTGTGCGAAATTTTATCCAAATCCGTTCAGCTTTTCTGGCGTGAAAAAGTAACAAACATCCATCCATCCAATCTCACAAACTTTCACATTTATAATATTAGTATGGATTAGTATGGATAGTATAAGTATAGTCGTTGTTAGAGGTACATATTTGTTATACTTTTAAAAGGCATAAGCGATATTAAAGAATCCACGCACAATTTACCTACGAAAATGTACCTTTACATAATGTAGCATGAATAGAACCTTACCCTAGATCTGAATCCGACACGCACCTATCATTTTTAACTTTACCTTGTCGTTATATTGGTAACATTGGACGTTGGTTTGTTGCAGTTCATCTTCAAATGATCGTGAAATTCAAAAAATATTTTTATTTAAAAAAATGATTCGTGCTCTATTTTCTATTGTCACAAAAGTCTTTGTTTCTCCATCACATAAAGGCCTCGTAGTCAAATTGTTTGCAATGATATTTTTTCGCACGATTAAAGAATAGCAGCGCTTACGTTAAGTAAAGAATGCTAGGTGATATTTATCTGTAATTGAAAATGTACCAATTCGTCGCGTCGCATTTGTGAAATGAATGGAAATTTCATTCCGCACTCAGTTTTCAGTGAATTAAATGGTTAAAACTTCAGGTTTAATTTGGACACTGTAATTCTGGTTATTAAAGCTATAAATTGTTAGAATAGTGTGCAGGTGCACTTTGAACGAGTTCATTTTATTAATGAGACTGTATTGAATCACAAAATTATAGTACATAATTAAAAAAAACTCTATGTTATGTATCTTAGTAGGGTGGATGTAGAGGATATTACTAATGCTTACTCGAATAAAAAAAAAGAGACGGAGAGTGGAGAGAGTAAGGAGTTACTTTATTGTTTTTATTTCTTCAAGCGTCAGTTTTTTTGCTTATTTATATACATTTTCTTGATTTGGTGCATTTCGCAAAAGTTTTCTTATTGTAAAGGTTTTGCAAACAAATGTTGCACATTAAATAAATTATCCAATTTAATTACACAAAGCTACAATGACTTCAATCGGTTGAATTAACACAAGTTTCAGGGACTTAGACAACATGTCATCGTATAATTGTTGAAGAATAGAAATTAAAAAAAAAACGAGTGTTCTTAATTCGCCCATAATTGAAAATTTTAATTTTAATTATAATTGAAACAAATTATATGAATTGAATTTATCTATCTTTATAAAAAAATATTTCAATTTTTTTTATTAATGAATTCTTATTGACGATACACTATATATATATATATATATATATATATATATATATATATATCTAGTGTAAGGTAGTTTGAAATTTGTGCGCCGTCAACGTTGAAGAGTGGGGTCTACAGAATAGTATTTAAAAATGTGTCGTTACCTATTGCAAAACAGTTATTCATATTTTTCTCATGTGAGTGGTTATTATGTCAAAATTGTGATTGAATATTAAAATAAATAGTTTGTGTTGAAAAGTGTTTCTCTCTGAGCATTTCCTTTTAGCTCAGAAGTGAGATGAACTATTGCCCACAAGATCGAAGTTATTATAACAAGTGACTTATTACTGCCGTTGTTATTTTCATTGAGTTTAACGTATTTTACTGTGAGTGTGTTTTAAATAATGGGGCGTCATAAAAAAGATAAAGACCGTGAATCTCGATTGCGTCGAAAGTTATTAAAAGCAGTGGAAAAACAAAAATTAACGAATAGGTTAGATGCACTAGAACGAGAATTAATAAAATACCGAGATACGCGTCATATTAGTAGTGAGTCATGTGTAAGTGATGAAGTGAATTTAGTGAACAATCCTGTTTTGCGTGAATCTGATGTCCCGTTGATATCGAACGAGTCTCCGCGTTGTGTGTCGGTCTGTGAGGGACCACCTACAACTGCCGCCATGGCGGGACCGGCTGTGGCTGGAATTTCCACAATCCCGCCCATGGCTCCACCTTTCCTTACCGAGGCTCCAGTGCCTCTGGTAAGGACACAGTCAGTACAACCAGGCCCTACTTTGGAACAAGGGCACATGGTGGAACCTCTATCTTCCGCTCCACATTATGCGGTAGGTGCTACGCCATCAAGCAACAAAGAAGCATTATCAGGTATGCCAAGTACTGATAATTTATTAATACAACCATCCTGCTCCCCGGTAGTAAGATATGTGGGTCGGAATGATCCGTTACCCGAATTTGACCCTCAAATGTCAATGATTACAATGGAACAGTGGATTAGAAAAATAGAAGGTTTATCTAACATGTACGGTTGGGATGAAAAAACGATAATATTTAATTGTACATCAAAATTGAAAGGTTATGCCCGTCAGTGGTATGATCAATTGAGTGACTTAAATTTAAATTGGAACGAATGGAAAATACGACTATTAACGGCTTTTCCTTCCAACCGTAGTAAATTAAATATGTTACGTGATTTGGTAAATGTAGTTAGACGACCCGAACAGGATTATTTGCAATTTTATTATGATAAGTTAGCTTTAGGTAATGCGTGTGGTATACCTGAAAGTTTGATAATAGAAGCTATCGTAGGAACAATTGGCAATGATCTTATAGAAGTCGGGGCAATATCAGCCGGTTGTCGTGACTCATCATCGTTATTAAGATATTTGTCATCATTTGCACATCCATTAGTAATAGATCGTAATAAAAAAATAATAAATTATGAAAACAAAATAAAATGTAATATATGTCAAATGCGTGGTCATATTGCAGCGAAATGTAAAAATAAATTGGGTCATAGTAGTAAATTTAATTTATTGTGTTCCTTTTGCAATAAACGTGGTCATACTGAAAAAGACTGTTATACAAAAAATAAAAAATGCAGTTACTGTGGTAAAAATGGTCATATTAAGGATGAGTGTCTTAAATTAAAGAATCGTAATGCAAATAATGAAAATAATAAAACTAATAAAACCCAACAAGCTGTTCGCGTAATTAAAGATATTTCGGGTAGTTCAAAATATTATATGCAGATAAAAATTAACAATAAGCCAACTTCAGCCTTTATCGATTTTGGTAGTACGTGTAATACAATAACTGAAACAGTTTGTAAGGAATTAAATTTAGAATTTTATACTTGTACGCGTAATATCGTTATAAGAGGTTTCGGAGGCTCAAAGATAATACCAATTGGCGAGGTTGTAGTAAATGTTAATGTTGATGAAGCCATTTGTGAAACAAAGGCTTACATTGTTCCTGACATTGCTCAGGACATTGGTGTTATCATCGGGCAACCTTTTACGGAATATCCATATGTTTACGTGATTAAAACTCCTACATCATTAAAAATTTACAACGCAAATATTTTAACCGAATTACCGAACATACATGAAACAGCAGATCGCATTAGACTCGTGACCGATGAAACTGTCGTTTTACAGCCCGGTGTTAATAAAATTGTAGTATCATGTTTACAACCGATTTTTGATTCTGTCTTGATAAATAATACGGAACATAACACTCCGCGTGCTGAATGTATCATTTCAACTTGTGAAAACGATATGATACAGGGTAAAACTGTTTTAAAAGTTTTTAATAAGACTAACGATTTCTTTAGCATACCCGAAGGACATTGCGTTGCACGTGCAACTATAACATGTGGTACAAAACAATATAAAGTAGGAGAAAATCTAGAACCTTACGTACTAGAAAAACTTGAAAATATTTTAAATGATTATTCAGATTGTCTCCGGTGATGAAAATAAAATTGGCAAATGTTCTACTAAGATGTGCATTGAATTAACCGATAAAAAACCTATTTACTATAGACCATATCGTATGTCTATGGCTGATCGTGAAAAAGTACGCAGTATAGTGAATGACCTTAAAGAGAAAGATATTATTGAAGAATGTAACTCGCCTTACGCAAGCCCTGTACTTCTTGTATCTAAGAAAACCGGTGAATCGCGAATGTGTGTAGACTATCGGGCCCTTAATAAAGTAACTAAAAAAGATCGCTATCCTTTACCGTTAATTCAAGATCAATTAGATCGGTTATCAGAGCAACGGGTGTTCTCGTGTCTAGATGTAAAGGCGGCTTACCATTGTATTCAAATAGAAGATGATTGTAAACAATACACTGCTTTTATAACTCCGGACGGTCATTTTCAATACAAACGTATGAGTTTCGGTCTAGTTAACGCACCGTCAGTGTTTCAAAGGGCGATGGATGAGGTGCTTGGGCCTTTACGATTTACGTGTGCCACAGCGTACTTAGATGACATTCTTATTTACTCTCAAAACAATGACGATGCGTTAGATCAATTGCAAGCGGTATTACGTAAGATAAGGGACGCTAACATGACTCTGAGACTGGACAAGTGTTCCTTTTTAGTTTCTCAAATAGAATATTTGGGGCATGAAGTTACTAATGGCGAAGTTAGACCCTCTAAGTATAAATTAAACGCCGTTCGTGACTTTCCTGCCCCTCAAAACGTACACCAAGTACGCCAATTTATGGGCTTAGCGAATTACTTTAGGAAATATGTTTCTGGATTTGCTTCTATAGCACGTCCTTTAACGTTGCTTACTAAGAAAGACCAACCTTGGCTTTGGGGTGACGATCAATTGCAAGCCTTTAATCGAATTAAATCTATTTTAGTTAGTCAACCTGTTCTAGCTTTATTTAATCCGCAAAATGAAACGCAAATTCATACTGACGCGTCGAAATTAGGGCTTGGTGGTATATTAATGCAAAAGCAACCTGATGAGACTTGGAAACCTGTCGCTTATGCAAGTAGGCAAACTACACAAGCCGAACAAAAGTATCACAGCTATGAGCTGGAAACATTAGCAGTAGTTATGAGTTTGAATAAATTTAAAGTTTATGTAAGTGGCATTAAGTTTACTATCGTTACTGATTGCAACGCTTTAAGATGGACTTGGTCTAAACGTGATTTATCGCCTCGTATAGCACGTTGGTGGTTAGAAGTACAAAGCTTCGACTTTGATGTGGAATATCGGTCGGGCAAGTCTATGGCTCACGTAGACGCATTGAGTCGCAATCCGGTTTCTGTAATGCGAATCAATGAAAAGGATTTAATAGAATATTTACAGTTAGAGGACGATGCAATTCGTTCTACTATAGATCAATTAAACAATGAGACTTTAAAAGATAATACAAGAGGTCTAGCTAAAGATTACGTTGTTGAAAATAATGTTTTATTTCGCATTATAAATAATAATAAAAAGGTTGTGGTAGTTCCGCGTAAGTCACGTTGGTCCCTTGTACAAAGTTTCCATGATAATAATGGTCATGTCAATTATAATAAAACCTACGATGCTATAAAATCTAAATATTGGTTCGGTGGTATGCGTCGATTTATTCAGAAGTACGTTTCTAGTTGTATTTCATGTCAATATGCTAAAAAACCAACCGGACGCCGCGTAGGATTATTACATCCCATCGATAGAATTGCAGTGCCGTTTCACACAGTTCACGTGGACCATTTGGGTCCTTTTTGTAAAAGTCCTTCCGGTAAAATGCATATACTGGCTATTGTAGATTCATTTACGCGTTTTATCTGGCTCGAAGCCGTACGGGATGTAAGTTGCAAATACGTATTGCAAACATTTGATCAGTTAATAAAAACATTTGGTGTTCCAAGTCGGATAATAAGCGATCGAGGTAAGGCATTTAATTGTAAAGATTTTAAAGAATATTGTGTCCGTAGGCAGATCAAACACGTCATGACCGCTGTAGCTAGTCCTAGGGCGAATGGCCAAGTGGAAAGATTTAACAGGACTGTATTAGACGCACTTATTTCATATGTTGGAGATGATCAATATAATTGGGAAAAATATTTGCCAAAAGTTCAACTTGGTCTTAATTCTAATATTAATAACAGTACTGGTAAATCCCCACTTGAATTACTTTACGGTTTTCGCCCTAGGTTGATAGGTGATATCATAGCGCCCTCGAAAGATAACGATTTAGATACCATAAGGGAAGGTGCCTTAACACGTTCTGCCGTTATGTCTAAGGTAGCGAAACAATATTTTGATAAAAAACGGCGAAATGCATCACCATTCAAGGTCGGTGATCAGGTTCTTGCCGAAAGAAAAATAATTCGTAAAGGGTTACGTAGTGGCAAACTAATGCCACGTTTTGATGGCCCTTTTACAATTATTAAAGTCTTGCCCCATGACCGATATGTTATTGAGGGAAAACATGGTCGAAGTCGGCCATATAAAAATGTACTAGCTAGAGACAAATTAAAGCTATTTCAATCAGAAACTCATTCGGAGTCAGATTAAAATTGCTTATGACTCTTTCGGGTAAAATTTATAAATTAGTTATAGTTTAAGTACGGCCGTACAATAAGTTAATTATGTTAATTATATAAGGATCCATTAAAATTAAATTTTGTCATGAATTATTTTATTGTTTTAATAGCGCTAGCCTTAAGAGGCAGGACTGTATATAGTCTCATTCACATATAAACAAAAATATATATGACTTTAAGAAGTCTCAGAGTAATTTTACAATATGTAACCACCTTTAGAGGGGTAATAGATGTCGCGACATTGTTAATATAAAATAAAATTAAAGGAGTCTCAGGACTTCTCATAGCCATTAAGAAGGCTAATTTTTACCGGTCATTAAGAAGACCGAGTTTTACCAGTCTTTAAGAAGACTGAATTCCACATGTCTTTAAGAAGACTGAGTTCTAGCAGTCATTAAGAAGACTGACTTTCGTCATTAATGAGACTTGAGTATTATTAGTCATTAAGAAGACTCAGGCTTACTAGCCATTAGCACTGCTGAAATCATTCCAGTCACTGGGAAGACATTTTATTAAAGCCATTAAGACGGCTCTTCATGTATGCGTATGGCTAAAAGTCATCTTTATCGATAGTGCGTTATCCATACGACGAGCTGCGCGGGTCGCACAGCAGAATCAGGAAGGCCGACTGTAAGGTAGTTTGAAATTTGTGCGCCGTCAACGTTGAAGAGTGGGGTCTACAGAATAGTATTTAAAAATGTGTCGTTACCTATTGCAAAACAGTTATTCATATTTTTCTCATGTGAGTGGTTATTATGTCAAAATTGTGATTGAATATTAAAATAAATAGTTTGTGTTGAAAAGTGTTTCTCTCTGAGCATTTCCTTTTAATATATATATATATATAGATTAGTCCACTAAGTAAATACGGTGTAGTAGTAATGCTCTAGAAAGGACGAGTCAAAATAATATAAATATATTGTGAATAAGTTGCATGATAGATATCGCAGTGCGTCTGCGATTTCATCGGCCCTGCGCAAAAATTCAAATAATAATATACTGCACTTGGAGTTTTAAATTATCGATGACCTTACCCTCGAATCTATTTATCGTAGCTTACACTCTGAGTGCATACAATATAATATGCATGAATTTATCTGTTGGACACTGATCAGCGCGACCTTTTGGCAATTTTATAACTAAACTAAACAGTAGCCAATGTGTCATTTCAGGTGGTACATGATCTGCTTACTAAACATCCAAATCCATCCAGCCGTTTCAACGTGAAGGAGGATAAAACATAGAGATACACACATACAAACTTTCGCTTCCTAATGAAACGTTTTATTAGTCATATTCGACTTAGAAGTTACGGAGGTTCCTTCTATAAAAACAAACCAATTTTATTATTCTTTCGATATATACATATATACATAGGTACGTACGTATGCTAATCAAACATGTAATCCTCTCCTAAAAACTCGCATGTGTTAACACTAGCGACTCACTCTCGCTCTGCTCGTGTTCGTCCCTAGTTACGATTGAACGTTTAGTATAAATTTCTTAGAGATGAGATATTTTCTTGCAGTAAAAAGTATCCTATATGTTGACCCAGATAAAGAGCTATCATCACATGCAATTTCATCAAAATCTATTCAGAAGTTTTCTCGTGGTGCGTTCCCAGACAGACAGACAAAAATTCTAAAAACTATAAATTCGGCCTCTGTATCGATAATAATAAATATTTCAATAAGATTTCCCAAAAAATATTTAATGTACAGATTAAACTCAGAATTTTATTGTATGTATAGATTAAAACTATTACTGAGCGTCAGAAAAGTCGATAGCACGTTTAAATGAATGCTCAAAGCTAGAGTTTAATGAAGTCAAAAAGAAAAAAAGATTTTAAAAACAAAAAGTATACACTAATAGGATTAGCAACAATGTCGTTGGATTTATTGGTCGCTCGTATGTCTAAAATATCGAGAGCCATCATGGCGTTCACATAAAGCTTTATTCATAGGAAGTACCAAAAGGTAATGAAATACCTGAGCTCTTTATAACTGGTAGACTGCTCACGTGGAAAACTGGACCAGTTTCATTTTAATTGCAAAATGAGGTCTCACTGTGTTAGCTTTGGCATTTCATGTTGAATTTATTAGGAAAATGTAGTATAATAATAGTATCTACAGTTATTTAATGATTTAAGTTATCTTAATTTACAAGTCGACTAACTTTTTTTAAGATTTTTTTTTAATTTTCTATTAAAACGTAATAGTGCCGTCAATATTATAAATTTGGAAAAAAAAAACTTACTTTTGTATGATCATATTTTTTAATAATCTTAAAATGGGATTTTCTTTTTTTCCGAATTCGTTTAATTAATAAAATAATTACGTTTTTAGTTGCGTCTGAAAAGTTCCTTGAAATGGAGTTAGCCGAGTTGTTAATTATGGTATTGATTAATA